AACTGACTCCTTTGGAAAAGTCATGATCCGAAACTTACAGGTTTGCATTTGATATTTTTGTTCTCTCAGTGTGAATTGGGTCTACAACATATATACATACAAAACGCGGATTAATCAATCTATTTAGAGCCGGCAAATTGAGCTTAAAGGAATCCATGCATATCCCGAACTAAAAGATCAAGAAACGCGATTTACTCGGCTTAAATGGGATGGAGCAAAAGCTGTGGATACCAACACAATTCACGATCAATATCTTGATCGAAGTGATATTTCAAGAATGGCAAGGCTTGAGATTTTGGATGAGCTGGAAGAATGGCATTTGCTTGCTGCTCATTATTGTGTCGCCTGGGCTTACAAATCAGCTACTGCAAAAGAAGCGTTTTCATGCGTCCAACTTGATCGCAAGTAGCAATTGAATCATGACAACATGTGTGAATACAAATCGTGTTATACCAGCATTTGAATATATCCGATCTTTTTGTACTTAACTACTACTACTGCTATCATTACTACTGCTTATAGCCATACATTTAGCTTATCCAGCCATTGCCATCCTCCAATAAATAATGTGGAATACCTACTATATACCACATGTCACGATGTGGTAATAATGCAATATGCATTGTTCTGGGATTTTCTTTCTACTGTGAAGGCTTCAAGGGTTATGTATGTACAGCTTTAATGTAATCGATGTATGGATACATGTGTATTGTGTGTGAGAATCATATAAGCTAATTTGTCTTTTTGTCACCATCAGTAGTAGCAGTAGCTGCGGGCGACTGCTGTTGTTGTTTTTTCTGGTCTATGGACACTGTTTCTTTGGGTTTCCTCGAAGACGTTATGCCCGCATGGGTATATACGATTGTTCCGAGAATGACCAACCCCGTTCCCATTTGTGCGCCCACGCCAAAATCGTTGTCAAAGTAGAAAATGGAGATCAACAGCGAAGTAAACTTGCGGAGGTTGAGGACAAGGTTTAGTGTCAGCGACGAAGCAGCTGCGGTCATACGATTCACGCCAGCAATGCACACATATCTAGAGAGGTGTCAAAAATCAATTTCATATGCAGAGGCAATACAAGGAGTCACACCGCTTCACACTTTTTTTCTCCAAAACTAATTTTAAAAAACTTACTGTGTTAGCACATTAAGAGCCAAGAACGCCCATAATTTGGGTACAACAATGGTATCCAGAACAGATCGGATCGGTTCAGGAAGCAAGGTCGAGAGGATCTGGCCCAACACGGGTACCTGTTTAAAAACGACTGGAAGTGGCGCAGCAGGCGAAGCATTGTATACGGCGACGTTTTCCATCAAATCCTTGTAGAAGAACACGAACATCGGCAAAGCTAAAAAATGCTATAATATTACGAAAATATATTACTTCCAGTAAGTCTCATAGGCCCGAAATGACATGATTATTACATTATTAAGCTACTACTCTTATCCTTAGAGAATCCCTCCCACTTTTGCTCTTTAAATTACCGTGTAGAAAAGTCCTTCTCGCCATTGCTTGCCATATTTCTTGTAGGTCACTTCTTGGATCAATCCCATGCCAGCTGATAAAATCATGCCAATGACCAAAATAGTAATGCCGATCAGAAACTCGCCGGTGTCTGCCTGATCTTCGCCCTGGAGATGATGATGATTTAAGCTCACGGACATCAGCTGCAGTCCCGATATGCACACAGCACGCACGCACATACAGAAAGCATATCACACTTTACCCCTTTTGCAGATGGATTGGCGTTATCCAACGTTGCCCAGACAACACCCATTGTAACCAATCCAACACCAATCACTTGACCCTTCGGATACCTGATAGCGAAAGAAGATGGCAACGTTGAGTCGCCCTGGGTGTTCATGCCATGTGCCTTTATCTTTCGGGAAAGAGAAAGAGAGAGGGAGAGAAAACGATTACCTTTTCCCCAAGATCACGGCGCCCATGACCATGTTTGCAAACAAACCACCACTGCGGAAAATGATATGCAATGGCATGGATATCCGGTAACCAAGCGCCAAATTGTTAAGCACTGATACAACAAAAAATATAGAGACAAGAAGTAGCCAGCGAGAAAGCGGGACTACAGTTGGCTTTAGTCGCGGTCCGTAGCGACTCCATTCAAGGTGATGGCGTAACCCTTCTAATGCCACAAAAGCAAACTGGCCGAATGTCACTAGCTGCCCTGGTTGCAGAGAAAAACAGCAGACGCGCAAAAGAAGAGGTAACACGTTAGAAACACGTATAGCTTTTCCCTTGCTGATCCCTCATAGTGAAAACTGTATAGCCTACCACTTTTAGGGACATCTCTATATGATTTTAAGAGAAGTCAATGAATTAGCTCTGGTGCTCAGATCGTGTACGATAAAGTGTAAGAAGGAGAAAGGTGCGAATTGAGGCACTTACTTGACAATGACTTCTAGAGCAAACACATTACTGCAGCAACCGCCAAATATAAGTGAAAGAATTAGAGGGAATTCAGGCGCGACTATACGTGCTAGTGATCCCACAAAATTAGGTGAGCTATCGCTTGTCATTAAAAGAAAAAGTGTGAGAGAGAAAACAGGTACAAGATGCGAGGTGACACAGTAAAACGCAGGAGCATCCCAAATTTATAGCCAATCAGTTGCTTCGGACCAAACGGGGAAAGAGCACTGCGGCGTCGGACTATTCTGCTTTAATAGTTGTTTGATGTACTTGCAGACACAGATCAAGAAGAAATTTTACATACAGAAGGCTATAGTATGATTGGCGGGGCGCTCGGGGCAAAGGAGAAGGGAGAACAGAAAAGAGGATTGATTTTTAGGTATATGTTATACTGCGCAACAACGACAATAGCTACTATGATGATGACGATGATTTGGATGACTTTTTTGGCGATGATGATTTCTTTTTGGATAAAGCGTACTCTGGTTTTGAGACGACCCTTCCTTCTTCACCGATAATCTGATCACCGTTCGACTTGAAATCCCATCGTACACCGTTTTCGGGAAATTCGTTCCACGTCGGCAGACATGAGCCCCACCCATAGTCAAAATTGGCAGTGTCCTCTGTTTTGTTATCGTTATCATCGATCGTTGGTTTGTTTAGTCAAACGCTATCGTAATCACAGTTGCATTCCAAATAAGAAACGGGTTCTTTCGGTATGGCTTACCTGGACACATGCACTTGCCAAAGATACCGTCGTCCACGCAATGAGCAAAGTTATCATGCTTGTAGCCGATATCATTGAAAAAATGCACCTCAGACTTGTTCAAGAACATACCGGCTGCTAGACTATGTACAATTGCGTCTCCCCATCGTTCGTAGAAAAAGTTGCCCGTGGAATCCAGGTAACTGAAGTATGCCTTATTTTTTAAATCATAGTAATATAAGAATTGATAAGTCATATATAAGCATAGTCTGGATAAAAGTAGTTTACATAGTTATAGTCGTAATAAACAACTACTTTCAAGATAGTATTAGGTAAAAGTTATTGTACCTGATATCTATTATCTCGCCACAAATCCAAAGAAGCGATTTCAAAGTTGGACCAAAAATGACACATGTTGTATCCGTTTTCCTCGTCACCAAACATGCGTAAAAAGTTTGTTTCCAGGTTATTTGCGTGAGCGAATTTCATGGTGTGGTCCCAAAGCGTTGGAATCGTTTGTGGAATCTCTTGGAGTGTGATAGTAAAGCTGTACTTTTTGTTGTTGTCTTGCATAAATAAGAATGGATCATAGTCAAGGTCGCAGTAAAAGTGGACGCCTGGTTCGACACGCCTGGTTAAATTAAGAAAGGGTACATGAGCGGCTTTATATGTAAGAAGAACTAGCGGCATTGATAGCGGAAAAACATGGCACTTTACCAGTAATAGTCATATTTAGCAATAAGTGGATGACGGTAGAAGAAGCCAGAATTGAAACGACACATGTGGCGGTATGATAAGGATCCGCCATAGAGAATGTTTTGCGATTGCATTTCTGACATTTTTTCATTCATGACGGTCTGGTTGACCGAGTCCGGCACGGACCACATGGAGTTGGGGACCAACCCGAATTCAATAGGAGCATCGGTGAGTTGTCGAATGGAAGTCTTGAAAATCTCGGTGAATGGCTCGTCGTTGAGAAAAACATACGGGTATTGATACTTTTTATTGAACCGACTATATTTTGGTAAAGAAAGATAGGGATGAGTTGAATGCAAAAATGTAAGACGCTCGCCTCCTTTCCCCCACTGTTCCTCCGTGTAACTTCTGTATACATACTCTTCAAATTCTCGGATGGTGCGTCGCATCGGTCGTAATTCGTTATTACGGCATAGAATGACAATAACAGCATTGGCTCGCTTTTCTTCTAGTTGTAGTAAAGAACTGCTGTCTTGATGCTGAGAAGGTAGTGCTACATTAGGGCTGCTAGTGCTCGTCGTATTGGTTGATGTTGTCGCAAGAATAGTATCATCGTTGCTGTTGTCAACAGGGAACGATTCGTTGGATTTCTGCTGTTGTTTTTGTTGCTGCTGGGTGGATGATGAAGGTGGAGTAATCTGAATTGGGCTTCTACCGCTTGTGACATCTTGCAATAGCTTCTCCTCTGGAGAAGATGGTGAGATGACGAGTTTTGCATCCTGTTGTGCCATCGATTTGTCCTCGTGCACGACAGTGAAACATGCAGGCTCAGATGTTCGTGATACCCAGTAGAGGGACCCAAAGTAGAATACACAGACTGCCGAGAGTATTATAAAGTATGAGGACGTGCTACGTCGCATTGAATGAATGACTAGGGATTTAGGTAACGGGCAAAACGAGAGGGAGAGGAGGAAGAGAGAGAGAGAGGGTGTGTATGAATGAAAGCAGGAAGAAGTTTAAAAAAGAGAGCAAAGAAAGCTAGAGCGCGCGTTTGTCGGGCGAGTCTTTTTACTCCATTTGAAAACAGCACGCCTCGGAGCCCTGACATAATTATTATGACAACAGGGGGTTTAATTTCTGTTTATTCCCTCCAACACAAATACGTGTGCTTCCGCTTTCAGTGGTAACTGCTGCCCTAGATTCAGGTCAAACACACTTGCAAGACTTCCCTGTTTCCCACTTTGAGTGCCTTATTCTGTAGTAGGGCTTGATATCTACCCTTCCGGTCCCTGCTGTGTTGCGGCGACCTGTTCTTGAATCGCCGCACAAACACATTCTCTCTATTTTCTTCCGAAAAAGGTAAATTTCAATTCCTTGGCGTCGTGCTTTTTACTTCTTTTTGCCGGAGGATGACAGTGAAGATAGCCAACAGCATCATCGGTAACTACCGAGAACAAGCGACAGCGAAACATTCAACCACATCATAATCGTATCTGATGCAAGTAATTTAAAATTAACTCCACTCTTCCGGACGCGCTTGGATTTTATCTCCCCAAATGTGTCTATACACCGTCGATAGTACATAATAGCCTACTGCAGAATCTCATTTATATTTCTTCTTATTACTATTTTGTGACTATCAATAAGATTATTATGAAAATGATCGACACCGCCTTTGTTATATTGGTACGAAACGCGACCTGCGTCACACAAAGGCTACAGGTGACAACCTAAAAAGGAACTTTTTTTGTTCCGTTTCTTGGCAAATAATTCGCATTTGGTTTATTGTGCTGTTGACAATGTGGTACGCATTATTGTTGAATCGTTCGACTCTTCCGCTGGTAAATGCTGGAGATATGTGAAAATAAACTCTCCTTCGTGATCAGTAATGGAGATATACAAACAATTCACGCAAATATGTGGTGAAAGTTACTACACTGACTACACAAATAAGCAGCAGTAATGAGCATGCTTTCATTTCTGCATTATCATTATTGCGCACCACCAACAAACTAACCACTTTAAGTAAACTATGCATGCTAAACTGCTCTAAATGCAACTCACAAACTGGTTACTACCGAGAAGAAGTAGTATGTCTCTCTCTAAATGTGTATATCATCTCTCACTGTTTGTTGTTTAACGTGAAAACTCTGAACTCTTATATGATTAATGAGTTTATTCCCTAAATGTACACGTTCTTTCGTAAAAGAGCAACGTGTGATATGCGTTAGCAGTTACGGAATAATTCCCATAGGCTAGACCAGCCCTTTTATACATAAGACAGCTTAGTCACTTAAGCAAAAGCTAACTAGAGCTACTCTCCACAAATCAAGACATATTGGGACTTTACTGTTATCGTACCACTTATCATTAACAATGCTGGTCATCGAGAATATAACTCTCTCCTCACGTTGACTGGCAACAAACAATAAGGGAAAGGGTCCCTTAAGCAATGAGCCGCAAAAACCATGTTGGCTATTATTAAAGGTTTTAAGCAATGCAAAGTGTACTATCCTAAACTATTCATGCTTAACACCGTTGTGGCGTCCATTGCAATTGAAAAAGTTAAAAAAAAAAAAGTTGACATGTCACGGCAGCAAACCAAACCGGAGTTTCCACATGACCAATCAATGGGAGACCGGTGGGGAACAACAAGAAAGAATATGCCCGTCAAAAATATAAGGGAGGTTCCTTAAAACAATACCCAACCCCACAATGCCAGAATTTAATAAGCATAGCAATGGTCCTTCCGATACTCCACAACAACCTCATCGATGTAACGGTCATTTAGAAGACGTTCTTGTAGGCTTGTCTAGCTGGCCTATGGACGTCTCTAAGCCATTCGGCGTTTTCTTGCAATGTTTAAAATCGCAACCAGGTAATAAAGCGAGAGAGAGAGATTGGTTAGAGTTGGCAAAACTGTTCAAGCTGCTGACAACATTTTTAACTTTTCTATCAATAACAAAAATATCAAGGACAAGAACCTCTTCGTTGTTCCCAACAACAACGGAAAGAAAGCTCAAGTGATTCCACTTTGACTAATTCCAGTTCCACCACTACAGCAACGTCGTCCCAGTAAAACCAACAACCACACACATAAAAGTCACATAGAGCCATGGAACCTTTTTTTGTTGTACAGCATAATTTCCAACCAAACCACATCATTATAGTGTATAAATATATCTTCGCTACATCTGTACTTTTATTGCTATTATTGTAGTTTTTGTTTTTTTTGCGACGAGGTAAAAGTCTTGTTATTAATGTACATGAACGCTTTTTCTTAATCGGTCTTGGGAGGAGCAACAGTCAGGTACTTAGTCATGTTGGGACGCGCACTAAAAGCTTCGATGAACTTGGCAAGGTTGGGGTATTCCTGCACATTTAAGAAGAATAGCATTCCAGTTTAGTTCAAACGATGGACGAAGGCTTTGGGAAATAGCTTTTGTTGACTTTTTACCTTAAGCTTCTGTGTGCGCCATTGATCGTCGATGGTATGAAAGACCATGAAGTCAGCATATGAGATCTAGTGGAATAAAAAAAGCAAAAAGGTTGTTAGCAGGACCAAAAATTTATATTAAAGCACCAACCAATCAACGAATATACTATTATACCTCAGACCCCAAGATGTAAGGGCCTTGGTTAGCACCGTAAATACGTTCGAAACGGGCAAAATGTTTAGGAGCTTGATTCTTTTCGTAATCCTCTTTCAAAACCTCATCAGTCTAAAGTGGTTGTTGGTCAGTTACAGTCGGTGTGTAGTTTAGTAGACAGTATGAACTGGCTTACAGGGTTCAACCATTTTCTGAGGTGAGCATAATACCAATCATCGACGAAATCAGCACAGGCATCAACGAACTGTTCTTCATCATCGTTGCTGCCTCTGTACTTGCCTAGTGCATTTGTGTCGGGTAGAGAGAATTAATATAGCTTTCAGGTATGAGTGAATCATATCCATTACCGAATTTTTTGGACAAGAAACGCAAGATCGCGGTGCTGGCAAAGTACTTTTTGCCGTCAGCTTCGAGATAGGGGACACAGGCACAGGGATGGCCTTCGTCAATCAACTTTTGCTTGACAGGCTCCCATGCGTCGCGATCAATGAGCTCGTACTCGTGGGGAACGCCAGCGTCTTCAAGCAGCAGCTTGACGGATTCACCGCGACCCCGGGCTGTTTGGCGAAATCACCAATGTCAGCAACCAACACAGTTATAAGATGATAGTTATGTCCTTACTTCCAAAGTTAAAGTAAACAAGCTTGTACTTCTCGAGGCTCATTATTTATGATGACGATGATGACTCCAAAAAAGAAAAAGGAAAAAAAAGTACACACAGAAACTGTGAAAACGCTCACTTATTATAGTTCCCAGTTAAAGTTAGAGTTTTTATATGTAGCGGAGGAATGAATAATACACAGATATAGCATATTTACGTATAGAGCGAACATTCTATGATCGCACCGAAAGCTACGTTCCGGTTCTTCCTCTTCATTTTTTGGATCTACAATGTCGCAAAGGCACGTGGTGTAACATCAACCCGATGGCCGAAGAACAATACAGACGAAAAATATTTGTAAGCAAGTATACAGAGTTGGAAGAGTAGTATGTAGTCGACTGAGGTATTACGGAAGGTAACCACGGCAAGTTAAATTAATGGATCACTGCAACCATGTAATTTGTAAGTGTATAAAATGTGAATGCCGTCTAAAGGCATGTGTATACATTTACAGTATGCGTACAACGACAAAAGCACAACGACCTGGCAGCAGTAACCGAAAAGGTCGCATGATTTATAGCTTATCAATGACATCATAGAATTCTAGAAATTTTGAAAGTTTCCATGCATACAGATCAACTTAAATTGAGCAGTAATTAGACGTTAATGCAACTCAAGCTAGTACTCTTGGATACTTGTGGCTCGGTTGCTTTGGTGGACGACGAACTTGATGAAGCGCATTCAAAAAAGGTCCCTTATTTGCCTGAGCCACTACTGCTGGTAGACAATAGCAGACAAATAAAATAACGTAGCAAATGGGCATATCATACACGGCTGTTGTAGAGGAAGGAGTAAATAAATCTTCTTAATATCTGGGGATTTTTTTATTATGATAACGTCATATTGTTGATAAAAGACAGAGGGAATAGGTGCCTTTTGCGTTCTGTTTTTTTTTACTCGGTCTTGGGAGGAGCAACAGTCAGGTATTTGGCCATGGTGGGACGGGCAATAAAAGCTTCGATGAACTTGGCAAGGTTGGGGAATTCCTGCACATATAAGAAAAATAGCATTCCAGTTTAGTTCAAACGATGGACGAGGCTTTGTGAAATGACTTTTAGTGACTTCTTACCTTGAGGTTCTGGGTTTGCTTTTGATCATCGATAGTATGGTAGACCATGAAATCGGCGTATGAAATCTAATGGTAGGAAAATGTTAGCATAAGCTAAACGCACAGTTCACCTCTTTAGATATAATACCTCGGATCCCAAGATGTAAGGGCCTTGGTTATGACCATAGATGCGCTCGAAACGAGCAAAGTGCTTCGGAGCATGATTCGTTACATAATCCTCCTTCAAAGCCTTGTCAGTCTAAAGTAGTAGCATTTAGTTTAGATTGGTCAACCGTCAGCGTCTTGGCGATTTGCATGGGTGGACTTACAGGGTTCAACATTGACTTGAGCTGAGCAAAGTACCAATCATCAGCGAAATCAGCACAGGCGTCCACGAACTGCTCTTCATCATCGTTGCTACCTCGGTACTTGCCTGTACACAAAGAAAATTGTTTTGATTTTTAGAAACCATTTCTTTCTTTGTAGGTTAAAAAAAACAAGACCTCCAAGAGTCGTGGTGATTAAAAATTTTACCCAATTTCTTTGTCACGAAACGCAAGATTGGGGTGCTGGCAAAGTACTTTTGGCCGTCAGCTTCGAGATAGGGGACACAGGCAAAAGGATGGCCTTCGTCAATCAACTTTTGCTTGACAGGCTCCCATGCGTCGCGATCAATGAAGTCGTACTCGTGGGGAACGCCAGCGTCTTCAAGCAGCAGCTTGATGGATTCACCGCGACCCACGGCTAAACAAAAGAGGGGAAAAAAATTAAAAGTATATGTGAGTACTTTTCTCTTGAATCTTTTTTTGGATCGGTACAACTAAGAACAAGATATTATCAAGACGATAGCCATATACTTTACTTCCAAAACTAAAGTAAACAAGCTTGAGGTTTGCGAGGCTCATGATGGGATGGATATGCTGACAAATTAAAAAAAAAAAAAGACAAAGAAAGTACACGTATGAAAAAGAAAGTGCACCCTGTTTATATAGTTCGTCGTCGAAATTAGAGTTTAAAGTTTCGAGACGCGTTTGTGATTCGTTTTGAAAAAGCAACGCTCAACTATATGTCGCAACAGCACGCAATCAGGGGCCAGACGGTGTAACGTTATACGTAACACTAACGACTGCATGTTGCGGCAAGAGCAAGAAGCACAGGTTTGTATTTGTAAGCAAGTGTAGGAACAGAAAGGAAAAGTTTGTATTTGTAAGCAAGTGGCTAGTCGACTCGAGGAATAGGGAGACGGTGAAGGGGGATCCTCCAAACCTCCTGGTAATGGAATAGCCCATAAGAAAAATTGTTTCGTTTACTATATTTAGGCATATTCAAGATTACGTCGATGTGTACGTCTCGAAGAGACATCTGTTAAAGTGTTTCTAGGCATTAGCGTACTGATGTAGTGGTATAGCAACAAAGTTTGATGAATTTATACAGCTAACAATGATGGATTTTGAGGAAGCGTTATCGGTTTCCAATGTATTACAGAAAGATCCATTTTTACCAAGTAGTGTAGTATTAGCAGGTTTTAGAGCTATAAATACTGAAAATGATGACATTCCTATACATAAAGGAAGGGGAACATTTTTAAAAAAAGAAGTTATTATGTACAGAACATGAGGCGAGAAAGATGAACACTGAGGAAATATAGAAATAGAGAGAGAACGAGAGAGAGAGAGATATGCAAACAGGATGCAGTACTGTATTGTGTATATAAAATGTGTGTGTGTGTGCGAGCATGATATGTTTAGAGAAGATTGCTGATAAATGTTGGTAATATGTTGTGATAATGTGTAAGAAAAAGGTGTGAGTGAGGAATAATATCAAAGAAAGACGGAGGGAGGAGGGGAGAACTGCAGTGTGTGATATGTGTTAATAAAAGTAGGATAGGTTGTAAAGGTTAGTAAAGGAAAATGATAATGATTTTTTTTTGTTACTGGTACATGAGCGTCCGTGCCCATTCATCTGCAACCGAAATGAGTTCGAAAGTATAATCGGCTGGCTCAATACTCTTGGGTGGTTCCGTCGCGGAAGTAGATGATGATACTGAACCGGATGATGCTCCCTTATTTGCCTGTGCCATTGTTGCTGCAGAGGTGCTGGATGAGGATGGCAAACATGACGGATCGAACGTTGCAAATGGTGATGGGACAAGTCCGGCAGTGGTAGAGAAAGGCGCCATGGTCGTTGTTGCTGGTCCTTGCGTAAATGCTTCGGACATGGCGACTGCAGCCGCTGCTGCTGCTGCTGCCGCTGCCGCTGCAGAAACGTGTTGTTCAGCATTAGGAGGAGCAAACATGTTACTGCTCTTGTTATTATCTTGAACAAGATCCGTAATGGCTGAAAATGCATTGGCGTATGATAATCTACTCGCCGTCGTCGTCGTTGTTGTGCTACTACTATTACTATTAGACATGTGTTGTTGTTGAATGGAGGGCAAGGTCGTGTCCGTGATTGAGGTGGTTGCATGAGGTGGTTGTAAAGTCAAATCGACCAGTCGTGCAAAGTTACGCATGTCGCGAATAGGCACATGTTCTACTATAGCGCGAACATCCTCCAACGTCTTGCGGAACTGCAATTTCGCATCCTCGGCGATTTGGATGACGGGATGCTCGAAATCAGCTGCATGCGTCAGGGCAGCGAAAATAGCAGAGAATGCAGTGAGGCCAAAGGTATACATGAGATGGGGATGGTGGATTGTCAAGGAGACAAGATGGGTGATTGTATTGGCCAACGTCCGACGTCGTTCACGATGGAGTCGTTCGTCTTGGTATCGACAACACATGACCAACGACAGTTCTAAATCGTAATACACAAGATGCAGATTGGTCACAATGGATGAAGCAGGAACATTGTTGTGTGATGGTGACCATTGTAATGTTTCTGGCAAGCTGTCGCGCCACTGGCCAACCTCGTCCAATAGACGCAACGTCTGATTCTCTTCTTGTAATGTCCACAAGCCGTTGGTGTTGCTGCCATTGGTGTTTGCATTGTTGTTTCTGTTCTTGATGTCGTACGCAAAGAAATGAATCACACGTTCCATCAAAATCATCAACCGACAGAGCTGACCAAATCCTTCCAACACACTGCGTTCCTGTACATCGTCTTCGGGTAAGGGCGTTGGAAAATCCAACGCAATGTCCTTGGCACGTAACATCCATGGCCGCTCCGTCATGCAGCTTTCCAACTTGTCCATCACATAGCATGTCCACAGCACCCGCTTGCGTAGCTCCACATCAAACTGTGACATTTGACTACTGTAATTGGCCGTATGCAACCCCAATTCGAGACACATGCGAACGGCCATCCCGCTATACATCCAAGCACGACTCGATCGATGCACACGTGAATGATCCATATGATTGCTGTTGGAGGGATCTTCGTTGTTGTTGTAGGATGCCATGTACAGCAATGCAATCACCGTGGATACACGCGGCACATCCAGAAAATCATCCACCAACCGCCGCGCTCGGTTGTAAAAAATATGGCTCCCCGGAACAGCACTGTCCTGAACGTGTCTGGCTGCATGCGCATACATAATGTTGAGTAACAAGGGTGTGATCAATGGACCCTTGACATTCAAGTGGTCGAAAAACATGCTCCTCGAAATCGTGGGCAAAATCGGATGGCATTGGCTGAAAAACACATGGATCAGATGTTCCTGGATCGGCCGCGATGGCATATCAATGGGTGCCGTGTAGTAGTGTGGCAGACTTGGCTCGGGTGACCAGCGCACAAAGTCGCCATAGTTGCGCCATGGAGTAACATTGTCGTCGTCGAGATGAGGTGCGTCGTTATGTAATGTCAGACGCACAAGCCCATCCGTGAGCTGCTCAATCATCTTGTCTGGTCGTGTGCTGGCTCGATTCGTGTTGTTGCTGTTTGTGCTAGTGGTGTTGGCAGTACCTCCAGGAGTCGTTGATCGTTCGATCCCATTCGTACCGTTTGCAGTTCCGTTGACATGGTTACCACCTGTGTGGTTATGGTTACTGTTGCTATGGTTGTTGTTGCTCCCGCTGTTGTTACTGCTGCTACTGGTACTGTGCTGGTGTGGTGGCGATCCGCCCGAGAACAAGGTGTCGTTTTTGTCTTCTGCCATGAAGATCTTTTCTTCCCCGGATCCAACTCCTGCCGCCGCCACCGCTGCTGCTGCTGCTGCGGACAAGCGCTGTTGTCGTTGCTGCTGCTCCTGAGCACGTTCTGCAATGTCCTGAAGAAACGTATCGGACACGCCGTTGTCGATCAAGGGATCCAATTTGATGTATGTCTCGTCTGAGTTTTTCAGATACATGCATTTCCGTCGTCTGGCTATAATAGAAATATATCACATCGGGGACAAAAGATAAGCTTTCCACATACAGACAACACAACACTACACATAACACATTTGTTTCCTGTTCTTTTCACACACGCATTCCCCCCCACCCACCACACACATACATCCTCCCCCCAAGCCAAGCCAACCCGACCCGAGATCGATCATTTGTTTACTCAAATACCTTTGCACTACCGAGAGAGAGGGAAAGAGAGAAAAGAAAAAAAGAGATGTGTCAACAATAGCATAAAGAGATAAGATAATATATACAAATACGATGCTTTACCTGCATACAAGGCTGTTTTCCATCGCACTGACCATGTTTCATAGTACACAGCAAGCACAGGCCGAGAGAGGGGGGGAGAAAGAAGTTGTTAGTTACGTCTCGTCATGTATAACAAAGAGAGGGAGAGAAAGGACATTCAGTGTACCTTGATCTTTTTCATCCGACATGGATGACAAGCACGGCCCACCTTCAATCGTTTATGTCTGCTGTCGTCTACAGATAGACCAAAGCCAGTTAGCGAACTCAATGAATTGATGAGGAGAAAAAAGGGATCGGCATATACTGGTCTTTATGTATTATAAGAAAGACTGGAATTTTACCTCGAAGTGGCAATTCCAAGGTAGCAAACATGGTGTGCTCGATTATATTGTTATATAAACGGACCGAAAAAAAAATAAAGAGGAACAAAGAGTAGTAAATAATACAATAGCAGTAGATATAGTAGTAGTGCCTGTTTCGAAGAGGGGAAGGGGGGGAGAGGATTTCCTTTCTTTTAGTGGGGCCTAGGCTGGAATAGTCCTAGGTCAGGCAATCCAGTCAGTCAGTCAGTCAGTCAGTCGCAGTAGTAAAAAAAAAAAACTACAGAAAACGGGGTTTTGGGTTAACTTACCTATTGATTTATTTTTTTTCTAAAAATACCAAGACTTTCCTTCTCCTTGGATTTCTTTTTCTTATTAATATTCGGCACTAGGCGACGAACGAAGAAGATGAAGAAGTGTTGAAAAGAGAAGAAAGTGATTGTATGTGTCTGAGGACGAAACAGAAAGAGATAAAGGCGTATGTGAGAAAAAAAAGGCGCTCTTTATTGCAGGCTTTCAGGAGGTTGGGGAGACAAGAGGCCCTTTTTGCCTGGCTTTTTGCCTTTGGTAGCTGAGATGCGCACACACATACACACACACACACTCTCTCTCTCTCTCACACTCACTCACACTTTTTTACACAACAAACAACTCCCAATGGGTTCGAGTGGGGAAGACGCTGAGCCAATCAGAATGCGCATTTGAGTTACTCATAATGTACCCCGTCGCTTCGGTATATCATTCAGCCTCCCCCATCTCTCTCTTCTTCTTCTTTTGTGCATTGTTGTTGCTGCTTATGGACACGCACGTACGACAGCAATAACTTTAGCTTTTATAACAATGAACGCTAAAATAAGCATGTCGATCTCTCTCTGTTGACAGAGCGACTGTCAGCATGTGCGCTTGGTAATATCGATCATAGGCTTCACTCTTATGTGTTCTGTGTCTTTCTGCGATTGGCAGTTCTACCTGATTCCCCGCTCTACCCAAAACACAGACCCGCCCCAACCGATGTGATCGACGGCCGGAAACAGAGGAAGACCAGTTCGAGAACAACGTATTCCAAATAGAGATATGCACTGTAATAAAAGATACATGAATTTTTTTTTCATGAAAAGTAAAAAGATGTAAAACGTTTTGTGTTTATAGGGTATTGCGATGTGACCAAAAAAAAAAAAGTTGCTTGCTCGAGAGAAAGGGAGAGAGAGAGGGTGTCTTTGGGTGATGGGATGTTTTGTTGGTTAGAGAAAAGAAAATGAATAATGTACATATCATGGATAATGGGTTAGTAAGAGTAAAGAAAGAATATAAGGAAAGAAATATATATGATTTAATATAGTATTATCTACACATCAACGATTCGTTGCACTTTGCCACACTCTTGTAGGTGTTCCCCTCGGTACTTGATCAGATACTCGCTGTTCTCCTTCCAAGTCACCGTCTTGTTCACTGGACAGCCCTGATCATCATCCACACTCTCAGAGGTTAGCACACACACACACACACACAACACCCCCCTCTAGGTCGCCATAGATGAATGGGGGAAAAAAGTTACCTTGCTGCTATTGGAACACTTGTAGTATATGCTTTTGTTGCCTGTCTTTTTCTGCACCGTGTTGCCGTTGTTTTTCCAAAAATAGCCATCTAAATAAGGGTATTCGCGCGTCTCGACGATTTTGGTGATTGCCTGCATCTCTCGCCGTCGACGAGGCGGTGGCCGTGCCATGCCATTCGTTGGAGATTCTTGTTGCGATGGTTGTTGTTGTTGTTGTTGTTGTGACGATGGAGGAGAGGGATCAAGGTTTGTCATCAAAGGTGAGGCGTAACTGTTTTTTTTTTATAATTGAGAGAAAAGCACACACCCCCACATCCTCTATTAGTCACGTACACAATCAATGCAAACACTAAAACAACAAACAAAACAAACCTGCTCATTTGTAATAAAGAGTTGTTGGGCGTGGTATTGTTGGAGGATGACGAAAGCGTTTCAGGAGAGAAAGGATTGTAGTCGTCCAACGATGACGGTGGTTCACCATCGGATGGCGCTAACAGTATACCAGATCCAGAGTCTCGACGACTACTGATAGCATTGTTGTTATTGTTGTTGTTGTGGAAAGAAGAAGAAGATGCTGACGATGATGGAGGAGGAAGAGGTGGCGGACTCGCACTCGATTGTCGACTTTCTGTTCCTGCATGTGTCGTCGCAAACATGTCAGCCATGGGTTGATCTTCTTGGAGCGTCGGTGCTCCAGTGAGAAACGAGGATGTGGCAGCAGCAGCAGCCAGCTGATGCTGTTGTAACAGTAACATGTCGAGCTCTTTGGCCCGTAACTTGGCCTCTTCGGTCCTCCGTTTGTCTTCCTCGACCTTGCTTAAAAGAATCAACTTTAACAGCTCAGGCTGGGAACGATAGTACATGAGCACTTCTTGAAGATCGCATGAGATGGGATTGGCTGTTGCCATGGTTTGTTGTTGTTGTTGTTGTTGCTGTGGTGGTTGCTGGGGCTGTTGCCATGGGTCCGCATTGGCATCGCAGTGCGTGGTGGTGGCAGCGGCAGCAGCAGCAGCAGCAGCAAAGAGAGAGTCGTCGTCGGTTGCAACGTGTTGGAAATAATGGAGTGGGGGAGGGGAGGTCATGTCGGGAGGCGAGGCAGATGAAGAGGATTCGCTGGCACTGTTGTGGAAAGGGACCTGTTCATGGTGATAAAGAGGTACAGGTTTGGTGTTGGCGTCGTTTGTCGTGATATGTGTTGTCGTTGTCCCAGCAATCGTCGTCGTGTCCCCTGCAGCAAAAATATACTCGTTCATGGAGGAGGGGAGGGAAAGGGGGTGGAGGGGCAATCTAAGTGTGTGTGTTTGAAAATAAAAGAAGTGAAGAAACAAAAAAAATAAAGGTGGATGGTAGTTTATGGGTTGGGAGTGAAGTGAGGTGAGTGGGCGCGCGCGCGTGAGAAGTTGGGAAAATCTTACAAAAAAAAAAAAAAAGGGTCTTGAAAATTCTCCCTTCCCTTCGTCTACGTTTTGTAACGCAAAAAAAAAATCAACAACAACGCTGTACTCCGATAAGGGCTTATGGTTGACACCGATCCAATCATCATCTGAACGCAAGAATAAAAAAAAAACCTGTGTCCCACCCCCCCTCCTCCTCCTCCTCCTCTCGCTCTCTCTCTCTCTCCCCGCTCACTCAGTTCATAGCAGTGGGGGAGACCGTCAGAAAGGTAGAGAACAAAAAAAAAGTGGACTTGCTTTTTTGAGAAATCAGCCCATCGATAGCCCCGATGATGGAGATGTGTGGTGATGATGATGATGATGCGTTGATGTTTTGATGGTATCAAGTGAAGTGACCTCTCTCGAATGGAAGAAAGGTTTATTCTAATTTAGTTGGGCATGTTGCCCTTCCATCTACTTTCTATTTTGAAATCCCCAGGGGGTAAGCGCCCCCCCCCCGCATCTCTATAACAGTACTGCCAGCGCACGTATCCAGAGTAGCACACAGTACACAGAGAAGAAAGAGCACTCTCACACTCACAGAACATACAAGCAATGGAAAGCGTATCAGATAAGCACAAGAGAGAAAGCTTAAAAAGGCAGGTTCCACGCACTTTGCACCTTTTTAGGCGTTCTATACACTTTTTGTAAATCAAATTCGCTTTGCTGTTGTTTGTTGCCATGGAGAGCTCCATTACTCTATCCCCTCCCCCACCTTTTTATTTCCAACTTGCCACGCTTCCATGTGTACACATGAACCACACACACACACGCACGCACAGGTACAACCTCAGCCCTGGGATTTCTCACAGTGATTGCTCACGCTATGGTGTGTACATAAGCAATTCGAGAGAGAATCAATGTGACCCCAGATAGGAAACGATATAAACGCTACTTATTCTGTATCACAACCAAAACGCTCTCTTCACACACATACTCTGCCTTTATCAGCCCTTGTTCCCCGCATAATCTCAGCTTCATCTTGCAGCTAAACCTACTTGAATCATCGCATCATCTCTTTTGTCGCGGTTTTTTTTTTTTTTTTGATGGCTTGCTTGGGATATGTGCTAAGCGGTGCAGCCACGTGGGAACTCTTAGGAAGCCCCATTTCTGCATGCAGCCACAGGTGTCATTGTATACAACCTTACCTGTTTTAGGCATTGCCGTCTCTGTTTTTTCTCTCTGAGCGGGGAAGATTGTGCGTGTGTGTGTGGTGCGGTTTTTTTTTCACTTATCAACATCAAATCATTGATTTCATAATAAGATAGTAACTCTGATTCTTATTATTGTATAGTCTGTATACTATTAGCCTCTCAACTAAACCAAGAGTAACAAGCCCTCATAATATGCTCTGAGAGCTAATATGAACAAGGAGTAAGCTCTCTCTCTTTCTCATAATACTAGGTAGCTAACTATGTACTATACTCACTCGTAAGGGCCGTTTATTAAATTCGAATGTAGTGAAACATGCTCTTGGGCACCCGCCCTCACACACATATCGCCGATGGGTTTGTATCTGGCTGAAAACGGAAATACAGCCGAATTAAATAGTTCGGCTCTTTTTGTCTCGGCTTTTTTCCAAGCAACGAAATGCGGAGTGATAATGATGCATCATCATCATCGTCGTCGTCGTCGGGGGAACAAGGAGGCGACTCATAATGGCCTGAATATAATAGTCGTGTCATAATAGCATTACTGCCTTTTTTTTTGGTTCACGATGTAAAGATACAACAGGTTTCCCCGGCCAGAACACGTTACATTAAAATTTTCGTACGCAATAACGTGGTGATCACCCCACATACTCGCTCTACCTAGATTTTCTCTTTGATAACTGTGGTGTTACCTTGTTTTGACGTTAGAAAGCTGTTTGTCAGAAGAATACGATTCACATGATCAATGGGCGGCGTGTCTTTCCATTTGGAATTATTAAATAACCCTCGACACCCACTACCTGCATTCGTTTCAGGATAGAGTCCAAAATCCCGGAAAACAATAAGAAAAAGAAAACTGTCATGGGACTCGCTGGATCCCCACTTTAAGAACGTACGAAATAATTCTAGTTACACAACAGCCAGCTTTTTTTTTATAAAACGTACATGTATAAACATCACATAGTACAGCAGCAGTTTAGCAGGACAATGCACGTAAACGAACCTGCATGCTTAATCTATTTGTCAGCTTGCATTTATGCACGTTGCCGGCATACATGTTATTTGCTCTGCCTGTCTCGGATTAATAAATCGAATTTGGTAAATTGAGTAGCGAGCCCAGATTTGCTTTTGATAACCAAAAAATAACAGGCAAGTGACATCTGGATCGGGAATGAAAGAGAAATGAGAAGACAGACTGGAATAAGCAGGCCTTCTTAGTTGCTGTTGTTGGTACGACCTAGTATTTCATTGAGTAGATATTAGAGAAAAGGCTGTGTGGTGACTCTTGTTCTCGATAAGATCGTTTTTCTCAAATGAGGGCAAGCGCTCGCTCACATGTTGTGTGTGTGTGTGCTTCTGCCATGACTGTCACTTATTACTTAATGTACTACGTAACCTTAGCTAAGCATGCGTTTCTTTTTTTGTATCTAATTTATGGTCAAGAAATACGGCCACTTTGCCTTTTATTCTTTCTGACTGTTCTCTTTCAGCAAGAACAATTTTAAATAGGATATGATTTCGATGATAATGACAAGCATTCATATATATAGCTTTACAGTACATAGATTGATAGCACAAACATTAGAAAACCAAGAGAAAGAGTTTACTACGACGGCTGCTCTTTTTGTCTGCGCTCGCAATTCTGGTCGACATTTAAACACAGCACCATGGATGGGATAGAAATTTATACGCACTGTAATATACTACGCATTGAGGCTTTGTCGCAAGAAAAAAAATTGGAGGCTACCAAAGAATCAAGTAAAAAAGCAGCACCAATGTTTATCATTACGCGGACAAAACGCAGGTCCCGGAACATCAATGACACCGTATAGCTTTTGCTCGTTGTTCGGTGATCAGTCCGTTGCTATGGAGACCAGAACATAACTTAAAAGTAGTATTGGTTATCGGTAGAACACAAACGCAGATGAGAACCCGTTTGTTGCTATGGGAACCAGCTAATCTATGTTAGCTTAAAATAATTTTGTCACTACGTTATGGCTTCTGATGGCTGGATGATAACAGAGATAACTCGTAATCTTTTCTTTTCTATTCATCCAACATGATGCGGTATTGACTTTTAAATAAAAAGATCGCTATTGATACCCCTAATCATATAAAATGTCACGAGATAAGAAAAAAAAAGAAGCGGCGTGAGTCGCTATTACATACTACCAAAGACGCTCGGTGGTCTCGCCACCCGTAATAATGCACGCTGTTATGTCATGTATTACTGCCACGTTTTCATTAAAAATTCGCAACCTTCTTTTTGTTTCGCTCCATGATGAGCTGCTTAATACATACGTATAAAATCCATCACTGTTAGTTTACTAAAGCTACTGCTATGATAACTTCTTTTATGAAAACATTGGTTTTTACGCGATACTTTTTTTTGAGGGTCTAGACATCAAACTTGTTATGATAGTTAATGAGAAAAAATTCGCGGACTGATCGTCAGCAATAAGTCGCACCTCACATTTTTGGACCTTTAGCTCTGCCGTTTTACGACACACAATTAAAAAGGAGATATGAAAAGTTTATTAAAAATAGATTTTCGTTTTGTTTTTTTTTCAGGAACTTACAGTTCATCATGCGAGCAAGTATAACACACGGGCCATGATCAATAATGAAGAAAAAAAGATATGACGTTTAATATATATAAAGGATAAGCGCTTTGTAACATTGGAGAATTACCCTTCTTCTACGTTTTAAGTTTTGAAAACATTATATAAAAAATGATGTACATAAATCATCAATCATTCATTGCTGTTTTACATTATATGTCATAAAGGCCGTGGCTATTTACTGTCGCAATTGTTTTCTTATATGACACATGAAGGGAAAAAAAAGGGTGTCTCCTGTCCATAAGGGGCTAATACGGCATGAACAGCCAATAAGCTCTGATGCTCTATATTATTCCATACAAAGAGATCTTAGGAGGTATTATACCCGGAAAGGGAGTTAGCGAGCATATGAAACATACTTAATTATAGGCAATATTAGATTATTGCTTTGGTTTGCTGTTTTGCTTGAATAAGATACATATCTTGCAATTCATGATCGTTGCGTACATCTGTAGTTAATAAAGGCGAGCGCCATTACGCATTAATCTTTTTTTGTTGTTGTACGTATTCGTTATTCATCTACAACTACCTGATTACTACTACTAGTACCGTTAATCACTTTTTCCCTTCAACTCCTTGTTTCTAAAAAAAAATGCTAGATTTTAAATATTAAAAGGACTTTAAGAAAAAAATAAAGAAAGTCTTCTTTTCTTTTTCCTTTTTCTATCTTTAAATCTCTACGAATTCCAAACATGTCCAGCGTTTTACAAAGGACGGTGCTATTGTTATCCTTGCTTGTGGTAGTAGCCAACCAATTGGTTACGGCACGCACAGGAAAATTTTTGCATATCACAGGTAACACACATTCACTCTTTCTTTACAAGATGAGAAGAAGAGAATGCTAACCATCATCATAACGCACGGTTAGATATTCACTTGGATTCAAGTTATGTGGAAGGATCTGATCCTGAGCAACTGTGTCACCGTGGCACCGGTAATGCTGGCCCGTTAGGTGCAGTTAGAACCAAATGCGATTCATCGCCTGCGTTGGTAAATAAACAGCATATCATCAGCACTATTTTTTATTCCAGTGACCAGAAGCCTAATACACTGTCTACTTTTTAACTCTTAGGTGAAGAAAACCTTTGACTTTATCGCCAACAAGTACAGTGACGTTGACTTTGTCATTTACACTGGAGATTCAGCACGCCATGTAAGGGCTTCATTCACAGTTCTTCCGCAAATGAATTGTATTTGACAGATCTGTTTCAAAAACTTATCTACTAGGATCGCGACGATGATCTTCCACGCTCAATGGAGAACGTCATTAACGAACAAAAAGAAGTGGTTGGCCATTTCAACAAGATCTTTGGCCCCAAAGTGGTATGTATCACCGAACTTGTACAAATTGAACGATATATCTTACCATAGTGTGATATATGAACAAAGCATTAATGTGCATGCATAATTTTATTTCGTCTGTGTTTGTTGTAGTATCCAGTCATTGGCAATAACGACGTAGAGCCACACAACAGCTGTGACGAAAACGACGAGCAATTCAAAACCATTGCATCTATTTGGCAACCGTTAGCTTTGAATACGAGCAATCACCATTACACTCGGGGAGGTTATTTTTATGAAGATGTCGTGCCTGGCAAAATCCGCACAGTGCATACAAACACATTGCTCTTTTACAAGGATAACAAAAAGGCCAAGGCCGATTGCAAGAGCCCTGACGGCATAGGGTCCATGCATTTGGCATGGCTTAAAGATGTTTTGGAAGAATCGCGTCAGCAAGGTTATAGTGTCTACATTTTGTAAGTTTTCATGACGCAAAAAAAAAAAAAACTGGTAGGGGTTCTTTAGTAACATTCTGTTTTATTTTACTTGTGTCAATTTTAATAGAGCACATATCCCCCCTACAAGTAAAAAGGGTAAAGCCTACTATACTGACGACTGTCTGGATGGTTATCTGAGCTTGCTCGGTACTTACAAGGAGACCGTTGTTGGGCATTTTGCTGGTCATTATAATAGTAAGTGTTTGCGTGTATGATGTTACCGGTAGCAGTGCCAAGCAAAACTTTATATTACAGAAATCTCTGATCATTTTTTTTCTGCAGATGATATTTTGAGCGCCATTGTCGAGGATGATGGCAAATACAAACAGCTTAGCGCACTCAAAAAGAAAAAGACAATCAAGCGAAAGACCGTGAAATCCAGTAATTTCATCACTCCACTGTTCAATACGCCCTCTGTTATCCCTACATTCAATCCTTCTATCCGCGTGTTCACTTACGAAACGGAAGGCACAAAGTATGTACCTTTTTTGCTCGTCACAACAGTACATGTCTTTGTGTGTGGGTGAGGAAAAACTCACATCAATTGCTATCTAAAATAGACAATACCCAGTGGGCACCATTCTGGACTGGCACCAGTATTATTTAAACATGGATGACAACGGCCGAGACTATGAGTTGGAATACCAGGCATCCAAACTTTTCAATGTCAACCACTTTGACGGAAAAGGAGTTGAAAAGGCGTTTACGTTGATGTTGGATAATCAGTCTGTCCATAAGGAGTACCTCGACCATGTCACTGTGAATACCGACGACAACGATCAAGATGATGACTAAAAGGAGAGAGTATGGAGCAGGGGCGGGGGGGGGAAGTTTAGCAAACATACCCTTTCTCTCTAACTCTCTCGCCCTCGCCCTCGTCCTCGAGAAAATTTATTTGCGCTAGATTATAGAAGTTCCTTATCCCCATTTCTTTGAATGCATACCTAATAGTTTGAGCTTATTCATTCTGTTATGTCCGTAATGTCCGTGTATGGCAGTTGTCATTTCCAAAACACACGGTCTTTCCAGCAACAATAACCAGTTAAACTTTGTTAGTTGCTTACATCCCGTGTTTTTCCTTTTTCTCCGCTAATATTCCTCCTTTTTTCTGACAATTAAACATTCCACAATAAATGCTTTCATTGATATTTTCATAGGCAAAGAAACAGCAAGATGATGATAGACACACAGAGAAGAGGAGGGGGAGGATTTGAAATCTACAAGGAAAAAAGCGTTGGAGGGGGGGAAAAACACATAGTAATGATATCTAGAAAAATACGGGGTTGTCGGCGGCGTGAAGGTTTTTCTTACAACTTTTCGGTCATCTCGGGAACAGCCTTGAACAGATCCTCAACCAAACCGTAGTCGGCAACCTGGAAGATAGGAGCGTCGGCATCCTTGTTGATAGCAACAATGGTCTTGGAGTCCTTCATACCAGCAAGATGCTGAATGGCACCAGAAATACCTAAATAGAGCAATACATAATTCGAGCGTGAGAAAAAAATGCCTCCCATTCCTCCCTCCATTCCATTTTATCCAAAATCAATCAGCGCATCAACGATTACTTACCAACAGCAACGTAGAGTTCTATGAATGAACAGATCATACATAACAAGGGATATAGTTGAGTAAATCACATCAATAAGAACATGGCGCTACACCTTTGTAGAATCTTACCTGGAGCAACGATCTTGCCGGTCTGACCCACTTGAAGCGAGTTGTCAACGAAACCAGCGTCAACAGCAGCACGCGAAGCGCCCACAGCAGCACCCATCTTGTCAGCCAAATCATACAACAACTTGAAGTTCTCGCCATTCTTCATACCACGACCACCACTGATGACACGGTTAGCAGTACCGAGATCAGGACGATCGCTCTTTTGGATCTCCTCACCGACCCATTCAGTGACGCCAGTCTTGGCGACCTCAGGAGCGGCCTCGACAGCCGCATTGTTACCAGCCTCTTGAGCGGCCTCAAAAGCAGTGCCACGGACAGTAACGATCTTGACGTTATCACCCGACTTGACGGTAGCAATGGCGTTACCGGCGTAGATGGGACGAATAAAGGTATCTTCGGATTCGATACCGGTGATATCCGAAACAGCAGCCACGTCCAAAAGGGCGGCCACGCGTGGCAAGACGTTCTTGCCGACAGCAGTATGGCCAGCAAACACGTGCGTAAAGTTGTTGGATTTCGTGACTTGGACAAGCAAAGGTGCCAAGTCTTCGGGCAAGTTCTTGCTGTACGAAGCATCGCTGGCTGTCAAGACTTTGGACACGCCAGCGTATTTGGCAATCGACTGTGCAACGGCATCTTCGCCTCCAGCGACCAAGGCGGTGACAGTACCTCCCAATTTCGTGGCAGCAGTCAAAGCATTCAACGTAGCACCGCTAATGGCGCCATCCTTGTGTTCGACGACCAACAAGGTGTTGGCACCGGCGCCGGTAGCATAGAAGCGTTGTGCGAACAGGGGTCGTGCCTGGTTTATTTTTTAGTAATGAGAAAAACACGTCAAATCAGCCAAGGGATTCAGAGTACACAACCGTCCATATTTATATTATTTCCTCCCACCTCTCTTTTTCCTCAATTCAAAACAATTTCATACCTTGACAAAAGTGCGTGCAGTATTGGCCAACATGTTTTATAATTAGTGGGTGGAAGGGAGAATTGAGTAAAGAGAGAAAGAAGGGAAAAAGCAAAAACCAGGTTTTGGCTGACCGGTAAGTCCCGACTAAACGCTCGCTATGACTACACATTTTCACATGCCCTGCTATCGAGTTTATTTTCCCACCGTCCCTCGCCTTGATGTAATGCAATATGTTTACTGGAATTTTTATCCAACCTTCTTCTTCTTCTTCTTTCCTTTTACTTTTACTTATCTTGGTGGTTTTCAAGAACTTTACACCAACTGCCGACTACTCAGACCAAAGACTCGGGCTTGCGGGAGGGCATTTCTGTTGTCTGGTATTGGTGCTGAGAAATCTAGCGAAAGCTTGCCACAGATCAAAAAAAAAAAAAGTTATGACTCAGGCTCTTCAAGGCGTTGTGAAATCATTGGTTGACAGCCGTCCGATTATTATTAACAAGTTCGCTCATCTTGATTAAAAATGTGTTGATTCTTGGATCTTTCATATTCTCTTAATGACAGCTATGCCTCATATATTCTTAACTCTACGAAAAAGAACTCATAGCAGAGTTACTATGGCAACCGTTAGAGTAAACACAGCAACCTATTCATTTGTTAACCACGGGAACCGCTTTCTTTTCTTACCGTTGCAGTAGCAAACCGCTCATGTCGACAAGTTGCAAACTATTGTTTTTTCTCTGATTCGAGGTAGAAATGATTTTTAAAAATATGCAAGCACTTTTTATCAGCCCATCTACTGTAATCTTTCTTTTACCCGGCCATTGGCAGTTTCGGTTCGCGGCGAGTAAAAGACGTGGTGACGATGGACAGAAAGGGAGGAGGCAACGGGGTGACTGAGGCGACAAGAACCAATCTTAAAAGAGAGATTAAGAGAATATACGTGTGAAGGATTACATCTTATAAGGGAGATTTGTTGGTACTTGCACTTATTCTTATATCACATTAGGACATTAGTGTAATGTCATGCAGTAGCAACTGCATCATCCCGACCTGAAGAACGGGAAATCACCTCATCCGGAGAGGGTCGATCTTTTCTCATTCCACACAAAATCCCGATGTACGAAAAAAGAAAACCTTTCTATTATCCATCCCGTCATTTGCCAAGGCTTAAAAGGAATATTGATATCATTTTGTTTCTTTTTCTTTTCTTCTCGTTGTTTTACCAGAAAAAATAATAATAAACAAGAACTGTAAACGCCAAAGTAAAAAAAAAAATGAGCAAACCGGCATCACAAAGCTCGTTACACAATGATAATGCTACTGACAGCAACAACACACAACCACAACCAAAATGGAAAACACTATTGACAAGAATACTACGTCCTCCTCCCTTTGGAAAAATACGAAAACCACTCAAGACGTCACTTGCAATGCTTATTGGAATTATAATGACTTTGAACAATCGCTGCCGAGAGGCCATTGGTCAAGGTACATTGCTCATTTGCATCGTGCTTGTGTTTTACTTTCCTTCCAGACCTTTTGGCGTGGTGTTTGAGGTAAACAGAAGAAGAGAATCCGTGTGCTTTTTCTGTGTGTGTGTGTGTGTGTGATTCCATACTAAACTTTTGTTTCTCTGATATATACGTATAGGATGTTATGTTTGGTACATTAGGTGCATTATTTGCCTCAGCGTATAGTTTTCTGGGTTTGTAGTATTTGATATTCCTTTTGATGCAAATGACTCGATGATGGTGATGCCGCACAACGACAACAACACAGGCTGATAATATATGCTTATGTACGAAACTAGCAATGTACTGTGCCGACTTGGCACGCGATCCGGCGGATCCAGTAACTGTTCAACCCGAGTCTAGTGCTGTCCTGGCCATATTTTTCCTTGTAGCCGTGTTTTTGTTCAGTATAACTCGACTAAAAGTACCAAAAGGTAAATTCATAATCTTTTCATTTACTTAGATATACAAGTTAACATTCTTCTCCTCCTTTTGAAGCCAATTTCGGATGTGTCAATGGATGTATAGTACTTTCAGTAAGTTTTCTTTTAAGGTTCGTCTAGCACATTAGTCTTCTTCTTCTAACTGTATAGTGAAAGTTTACAATGACCGAAAGCTCTGTAATGCGTGGTTTCCAACCTAGCTTGGTTGTAAGTTTTAGGATGTACATATAGTTCATTTACCACAACAGTACCTAACCACTCTTTTAAAAACCACATATTAGTGGTCCTTTATGATCCCTGTTGCCGTGGGCGGCATCATTGCTCTCGGTATTGCAGCATTGATCTGGCCTGACGACAGTATCAGCAACTACATGAATATTCTTCAAAAGGCTTTGGAAGGACAGAATCTTTTTTTCAAAGAGCATGCCGAAGGTTTCTTATCAACGTCACCAACTGGAATCAACACGACGCTACCATCACTACACGACCGTGTACAAAGCAGCATCTTGTTATTGATCGACAGCAAACGCGCCGTGCACCGGGACATACTCTTCTCCCGACTGAACGGCAAAGATATCAGTAGAATCACCAAACTCGTCAAGGCAATGAGGAACCCGTTACACGGTATTGGTGTAAGCCAAATCATGAAACGCGATTTCTTGCGGTACAGTGTACAAAGCATGGGAGAACAAGTTATACATGATGAAACTGTTGAAAAGCAAATTGATCGAGAAAACGACGACTTGTTGACTGCACTTGGAAATCTCAAACCCGTATTCCAGCAATTGACGGACGCACTCCATGACGCGATGGACGACTGTATCGCAAGGTTTCGGATGCTCCACGCGGTTCCTGCTCGTAGTAGTATTAACAGTTTGCTTTGGCCGTTTCCGCGTCTACTTTATACCCATCGACTACGCAAATCTGTACCAGCAACAACAGCATCGCTGCATAACATCACCTCCGACCAACTTGAAGATCTGTTAAAAGAATCTCATCGCGCTGTGAACCAGAAAATGGAGACAGTGCTGGCAACACATTGGGAAACGCCGCTACGACGCCATTTTAGCGGCCTGCATTTGATCTCACTCTATCGATTTGGTATTCAAGAATATGCCGGCACTGTCATTGAGCTACTCAAATTTGTTGAAGAGGCCGAAACCACGCGAACACAAAGGCGTCTTTGGTTTCCGTCAAACAAGTCGGTTAGGAAATGGCTGACGGATACAGAAGCTACTTGGACGTCTTCGGCAGCACATAAGGAAGGTGAAGACTTGGATGATCATAGTGGCAATGATGATCCAACAGATTTGACCCTGGTGCGGACGCACACTCGAGCACGCGATGTGCCTGGCGGTGATTATAGCACTCATAACGACGGTAATCATGCAGGTACGGGTGGCGGCGCATTTGTTTTTTCGTCCACTGGGAAGTGGTATCATCGTGACCCGGATGTGGATGCACCGGCTACTCTGGTTCAGAAATTCTGGTATGATGTGTTTCAGGCGCGTCAATGGATGCGCGAGCCGACGACGTTTTTTGCTTTTAAAACTGCTGCAGGTACAGTCCTCTTAGCCATACCTGTGTATCTTCCGAATACTGCAGAATGGTTTATCGAATGGCGGTTTCAATGGTGTTTGATTATCCTCATGTTATGGATGGTACCTAGCACGGGCATGTTCTTTTACTCGCAAGTATTTCACTCTTAAGAACCTTTGTGATGATTGTGTGGTGAATGAATAACGTGATCAAAGTGCTGATATGAAAAAATTTAGGCTTTTGATGAAAACGTTGGGAACCGCAGCTGGCGGTGTACTAGGCATTGTGGTATGGGAAATCAGCCAGGGAAACCCATACGGTCTGGGCATCGTTATGTATGTGGTCCTCGTTATTGTATATTACAACATGATGTATAGACCCACGCTGCGCGTCTTTTGCATTGTAACGATCATCACCATGCTCCTGGTAAGAATACCTATTACCCATCACAAAGAAACGGATTCTGACTTCCTGTTGTTTAACTTTCTTACAGGTTATTATTTACGAGTATCAGTACAGAGTTGGTGGTATGGTGGGCAATGATGAAGTATGGACCGTTGCAGGAAAGGTAAATATGGAAAAGGGGAAAGAAAGCCAATGGTTTATATAACCGTAACTGTTTATGCTAATTCTCCCTCTTTTTCGTGGAATGATGAATCCATGTGTATAATAGCGAATGCTTCTGGTATTAGCAGGTGTCCTTGCAGCTTCTGTCCTCTCAATGATCCCAGAGCCCAACGTGGGTCGTGTTGAGCTCCGTAAACGATTAGCACAGACGCTTCGTGACATTGGCCGATTGTACGGCATTCTCACTTCTCAGTTCATCGTTGAGTATGAGGATCGCTCCTATCTCAACAAAGATCAAGCCAAAGGTTTTCGTCGAATGGTGCTTGGCATTCAACGTCAACTTGCTGATGAACGAGTATTCCTGAAGCATTCACGTTTTGAACCTCCTTTACGAGGCCGCTTCCCCTTTGAAGTCTACAAAACTGTATTGGAAAAAGTCGATAATATGGCCGATCTCGTGGCAGACATGGTATCTTTTGGTGCATCAAGACGGGATAAATTTATCATGCATCAGACTGACACTAACAATCACTCTTCTCTTGCATAGGGCTTTGCAGTAAAAGATCTGAGCCCAGTTTGGCGTCGACAGATTGCCGCGACATTGAACAAAGAACGTCGCCATTATGTGAGTAATTGTGATGAATCGATATTTTACTTGAAGAATATATCCTTTTTGGTTGGCTAATATGAAAATACTCCCCACCTTTCTTTTCTATGTACTCAATGTATGATAGCTTGCATCCATCATGACGACGATCAAACTATTATCTGCGACACTTGCAGCCAAAATGGCATTACCGCCTTACATGATTTCACCTGGTACAGCTCGTCGTCAGTTTGTACAAGCACTGGACAGTAACGTCCGCCTAATTCCGGAAGATTTGACGAACCCATCGTTCCTGCGCTATAGTACATATGTCGTAACGAGCGGTACCTTTGTACAAGAACTTCAGGATTTGCTAGACGCAGTAGAAGATCTTGTTGGAGTTGAAGATCCGCAGGAATGGCTTCGCCTCCATGTATAGACGATGATGTTAGATACCTGTTCGTATGTAATTTGTATATATTGCGTTTCTCTGTATTACTATTATCAATAATTTCTTCACATAGTACATAAAGCAAGTGCCACTTCTTTTGATGGAAAGATGGAGTGAAATCAAAAGTTCATATTTTGCTAGCTTCCAACTATTGAGCAAGAATGCCGCCTCTGGCAACCGTAAATACTTCCCTAAGCAGCTGCCTTAGCAGCTTCCACTGAATTAGATCCGCTCATTTGTTAGATTATGTATAATGCAATTCTTTTGTGCTGCTGCAGATATACACCGGATTTATCAGCAATATCAAAGGGACAGTTCTTATATACAATTTTGAGCCTATTTCTGAATCTTCTTTACTCTGCTAGCGACCAATTTTCCGATGATTTAACTTTATATTTTACATATTACAAAGTAGATTTTTACACATAGAACTGTTACAGTATACACCTGAATAGAAAGTATCCCTGCTACTATTTCCTATCGAAGGCTTAATATCGACGCTTAAAGTTAATTTTCATGTCGTCGATAGAAATGATGCCGAAAGCGACACCACGTTTCTGAATACCATCCTTGTGGATCGACTTTTCAGGTTGTTCAAACGAATACTTGCGCACTGTATATATTGTAAGAATAGCGTAGACAAAAACAGATGAGCACTGTAACGTAACAAATAATAGTAAGAAGAGAAAAGAATGATTTTCATCAAACTTACGGAGCATAGACAATACCACTCGCTGTTGAGCCAAGCTAAAGTTCATTCCAATGCACTGACGACCTCCATTAGAGAAGGGGACCCAAGCTAATCCTGAGCCTGGTTGACGCTCAGCTTCACCTCCTGGGGCATAACGATCTGGATCAAAAGACTCGGGATTCTTCCAACAAGCTGGATTACGATGTAGGTTGTAAATATCCAGATCAAGAAGAGTTCCCTTTGGGATGAAGACTCCACCAATTTCGCAGTCTGCAGTGGCAGTACGTGAAGTAGTTGCGATCAAAGGGTTGTGGAGTCGCAGTGTCTGATGAGTACATCACAAGGCATTACATATTGGCAATGTTATAAAAGAATTGTTCAGTCAACAATGTATAGTTGTCTAAAGTTGCTGCTGTTGTATTAACCGTAACGACGACATACCTCTTTCATCACTTGGTTGAGATAAGTCATCTGCTTTGTTTGCTCAACAGTAGGAAGGACATCTTCAGGTTCGTCGCCAAGGATACTGATCACTTCTTGTCTGGCTTTTTCTTGAATGTCCTAAAAGAAGGTATCACACAATAATTGTTACTACTGTTTTGACGGTTTTGGTAGCGCTTATGAGCGACAACAAACAAACTGTATAGTATTTGCGTACAGGATTTCTTGCAAACTCGTAAACAGCACAAGCGAGTGTAAACGCCGTTGTATCATGACCTAAACATCAGAATCAGAAAATGCTTACAGATGCCAAAGAGTTTTCTTATCATTTTACCAGCCAAGAAAAAAATGCACAAGTTGCTCTATTATTTGTTATTTGTACAAATGGTAATGTTAGTAGTTGTCAAAGATAATTTATATTCAGAAACGAAAAAATGGCTAAAAAAACCCCCCTGTCAAAAATAAAGATGAAAATCATATTAACCTTTAACTCCTCATTTGACATGACAGCACCATCTTCTTCATTCATTTCACTTTCAATCATCAAGGTTAACAAATCCTTTTCGTTATCCTCAATGTTGTTTGCCTTCTTTTCCTGAATCACTTGACGTTTGTTGATGATAATCGTGTCCATCATCTTTAGGAAATTGTCCAGGCTCTTGTGGGCTTGCTGTCGTTTTGGGAACCAATGCACGAGCTTGGTATCAAAAACGGGGAAGAAAATGTAAAACGGTTTGATCATGCCTTCTTTGACTTGGTTATACCCATCGACCCATTCATTATGCTTATCAAGCAATGCATTAAAATTAAAACCTAAATTTAAGGGTTTAGTCGAATTGCCTTCTGTTTTGTGAATTGCATGTGTGGATAAAGTTGTCCTTTCTTACCGAAACCAGCAGTGCCAATTGCATCAAGCGCTAGCCGTGTGAACACGTCCATCACATCCACATCTCCTTCGTCAAGTACTTTAAACATAGTCTGTGTCAGGTTGCCGAATAATCTTACAGGAAATGCTCGATGGAAAGCAGGATTAGCAATCTGTGATACATATGTATGAGAAGCAGCAGCATTTTCAATGTTGTTGTTATTGTTGTTGTGTATGAGTAAACTCTTCTCTAATAATCATCGTACCTTTCGATGGCGTTTCCAGTCTGGGCCATTTAAAAAGACAATGTTCGGTCCCCCAATATACTTTTCGATTAGTGTATCTTTTACGCCCATTGTTGTCTCAGACTTTGGGAATGCATCTGAATGATAACGCTAGCTTTTGATTAGCAAAGAGCATAGTCGATGTTTGTAATCATTGGCCATAGCAACAGCACATCGCTGTTGCAATTATTAATGCGCGTGCTGCTTTTACCTGTTTTCAACAGCATTTGTTTGGCTGCGACTGGATCGGCAATATCAACAACCCAGCCTTCAGCGCTTAGTCGCTATAACAAATTTTGTTGATAAATGGTGGAATGGGGAAAGTGCTAGTGCTTTCTCTACCAAGAAAAGGCTCTTACCGCGAAAACGCCTGTGCTAGCATCGCGAGCAGGTGCAATGACATCACGTGCGTAATCTTGCACAAGACCGTTGTTGAAATAATACTTGATTGCAGTCCACGAATCGCATGTCGGAATGTGGCGCAATTGCGGTGGTGGCAGACTGATCTTGGTATAAAGACGATAGAAAACCAACGCCAATGCAGTAGCTGTGCCCAGGGATATCAATGCACCTTGGTGGCGCTGCAGCTGTGGCAAAACATGCGTGGCGTAGAATTGAATTATTTTGTCCAGTTTGGGACCGGCTAGCTCATTGGCTTGATGAATAAGCGTGGATATCAGAGGCATCGCTTTGCTTTCGAGAATTAAGGAGTAAAGTAAAAGAAAGAAAGAGCTGGCGAGGATAAGCCCATACAAGAGAAAAGAGATAGTTAGAGAAAGTTGTATCACGTCTATTGTTTATAATCGAGTGGAGTATTGGAATTTTCTCGACGACAAACCCGTTGTGCGCGGAATTGATCGTTCGCGGCGAAAGTTGTGCACTAACACCGCGCCTCTACCTACAACTTCATACGACCATTCCCTCAGCATTAATGTGGGGTAATTACTTTTTTTGCTTTCTCTCACCCTATGCTTTTTGTCCGCATCCACCAAGTATAGAAATCTTACGTGTCCTTTCCTTTCACTGAATTCTGTCAGATCCTGAGCAGTAACTTTTCTCGTATAAAACTTAACAATTTATTGGGCGCACCCGAAGGCAAAGCAGTAACTCGTACTTTTTTCATTATTCGTTGACACACCGCTTTTCTTCTAAGTTAAATTGACATTGCTCACGCTGTCGCTGCTTTATCAGTCATACACATGTATTTTTATGTCAATAACGGTAAACTTCTTCCAGAATTATGTGACAGTGCCGGAATAATGGAAAGCACTGCGCTGGTTATGTGTGCTATGTATTTCGAGGTGTCTCCATGTACAGTATAACAACATAGTCCCACTCTGTATAAACTGTGTCAAACAGCTGATAGGTTCGGGCAAATGGTCGCACCACCGGCAATGCCGGGATCCGCTCCAGTATTTTAAGCTGGACGTTTCTTCTCTCAAGACACTGTCTCATGATCAGTTACTTAGACATCTTGTAATACCACTATTACTGCCAGCTTCATAACAACAGCAATAATGCTGCACGGTGAGAAAATACGTACGACAGCCATACGGAGACCGGATGATTTCTGGAAGTGCGGTTCTTCTCTTATCTCCGCTTCGCATGATCTGACAGATTGAATGAATGATTTATCAACTTCATACAGTTGCCCTGCTTTATTTGGGCCAGTTTTCACTTCTGACATATCTATACGTAGCTGCGTTGACTTATTGCTACCCTTCATCGAAAAAACGCTCTGCTGAAAAATCGCGTGCTTCACTGTATAGCTCAAGTAACCTCCACCGTTTTTAAGAGTGTCGAGCGATATAAGAGAAACTAACATATCAAAAAGATTGCTTCTCACTTTATGGTTGTGTCTCATACAATGTATTCCTCCTATCTTTGCAGCAGTGACGGTTCCGTACTTGCAACAAACGAGAGCAAGTAGTAAATTCTAAGCACTGACAATGTCAGCTTACTTTTTAGTCTCTTTGCACGCATTACAGTTGTATGTAAAGTTGAATTGATCCAATATAATAGTACCCTTTTTTTCTTTGAATGTTCTTGTGATTACCAATAAGAAGAGGGTCACTCGTTTTTAAATGGTAATTACTACATAGGTTGAATGCTGGTAAGCCTGATCACAGACACATCTGTGTGTAGTTCCTCCCGCTCTTTTCATCGATACACAGGGTTTCCAATGGTAGCACGACGGATGGTCACCAGCTTGTTTCTGCTTTTCATGACATTCGCAGCACGGAACCTCTGACGACCCGTGCGTTCCGACACCTATACACTGCCAAACTACCCAATGCCCTTTCGACCAAGTTTGGTGTTCTTTCTGCTTCGCGCTGGCTTCAGTTTTGGGACGCCACGAAGATGTTCCACCCAGCCCGCAACATTTGGTTCCGCGCAATCCACCACACACTCCCACGTGTTGAACGCCTCCACGCAATTGATTTAACATTCATGCCGGTCTGCTTTGTCTATAATGTCGTCAAGCAACTTACTCCCTCCAACATTATCTTATTTCCTGTCCTTTACGATGGCAAGTCTGGTGCAAAACATGGCGATCGGCCTTTTAAACCGAGCCACATCCACCAACAGCGCTTTTCGATGTCATTGTCAACCTGAACTGGCCACACGATTTACCTTCTCTAGCCCCTCATCGAGTCATGGTCGTCCAAGCTGTTCTCTTAAGCACTTGGTGCGCTTACTGGGCCTTCATCTTGATGATGTGCCTTTTAATACTGACAATGCTTTTCCTCCTACCCTCACCCTCCTCTCTTAGCTCCAACATCTGCTGTTGTCCGAGGATGATGAATTATAGACTTTTTTCTTGTTATACTCGTAAGTCTTATTGTATCTCTATCCACATTACATTTACACATCCACACATCTCTGCTCTGTACGTGTGTCGGATTTCAAATAAACTGGCTCCAAGGGAATTAATCAATATTTGGTGTTTATGGTGGAAATAGTAGATAATACTACCTTTAGCTAGTAAAAAATGCAGTTATAAAGTTAAAACATATTAATCAGTAAGAAAATGTATTTTATGAACTAAAAAAATAGATTAAAAGTCTGAACTTGAAATGGTGGATTATGCGATAATTAGTTGTTACGGATTAGTTCGCCAACTGGCCCTACAAAAAATTGGAAACCCTGTGTGTTCACTTCTTGCTCGCAACAAGTTATTATCATGGCAGACAATAAACCTCTCCGCATTACGATGGTAACCGTTTCTGTAACTGTTTTTATGGGAGACAATTTAATATAATACTAATATTATTTTATCTCCAGTGTTTAAAGAATATTTTGGTAGTAGCCAAGATGCATCTCTCTACGAATTCGTTCAAAAAAACCAGGATTATATCATTCAAAAGCAAGAACCATGTGGTAATATTGGTGCCACTTGGAATCAGCATTTCAAGAAGGCATATATGCATTACTTTGATGGTCGTAAACCACCGAAATCAACAAAGTCTGTAAACTGGGGTTACTTGTTATTGAAGTTATTAAAGGTACACAATAGATAACACAATTTTGTTTGGTAATAACCTAATCGCAGTTGTTCTTTTTCTTTTTCAGAAACAAACCCCCAGTTCCCATGCGTCTATTGGTTCAAGCACTTGTCACTCTGGTGAAATCACTGGCGAACTTGCTGCTCCCTCTGCTAGAATTTTTGACGAACCTGCTAAAACCGCTGCTGGTACCGCTGGTGCACCTTTTGGAACCTCTGCTGAAATCTCTGGCGAATCTGCTAAAACTACCCCGTCATCGTCTACACCTCATATAGTTACACCGGAATTTTTTGAATAGCTTCAAAAAAGACCATGAAAACATGCGTAACTCTTCTAAATGGACTCTCCCCTCTGGACTCATCGTTGAAGATAAGATGCTTGAGTATGGCGTCACACTTAATCATGAAGAGCAAGTTTCTTTTTTCTTTTGTTTAGAATGACTATATACTGAAACAAATGACTAACCAAATTATCGATAGTGCAACCCATTCATATATTCTAGATACAAGTAATAGAATATGGCTCAAAAAATCAATGACCCTGACTGGAAGGATATAATGGAAAAGATTAAGGTAGATATGGAGCCACCAGTGGATAGTCGTACCAAATCATATCTTCAATCATTTGCTGGCAAAGTATATAGTATTTGAAACCAAAGCTTGTATGCATCTGAAGTGATTACTAACAATGCAAACGTATATAATATATAGCACTCATTTTAAGAATTTATGGAGCAAGCACGAAGCAGAAACTTTGATCTTATCACTGATTTCGATATGGACTGGGCACAGTCTACAATTGAAACAGCATTATGACTATATCCTACCAACTATTTCCCTTTAACCAATCAGACTGAATCCAATATTTTGAAGAGAATATGGATATTCATTGACAAGGCCTTCGATGATTTGCCAGTGGTTGTTAGAAGGTAATAAATCTATATCAGGGCTTTGATGGCATTGAAGCTAAATTTTCTTCCTTGTCGATATCGATTAAATCCCGATATAAACGTAGTCATTTCAAAGTGCAATTTCTCTATGACTTTTGATCCAATCAATATGCAATAAAATACTTCATACATTTCAGATGCTACTGGATCAAATATAAAACTCCGCTTCCTGTTATAGTAATTATGGGGGACACTATATGCTTTTAAAAATTACCAATACTTACAAAGCTTGTAGTGTAATATAGGGATCCACATGGTTCAGTTCGGTTCGGTTCTTAAAGGGAACCGAACCGAACCGTCTAAAGCAAGAACCGAACTGACTAGAACCGACGAGAACCGTAGAACCGAAGAATCGAACCGAAGAACCGAACCCATCATATATATAAAAAAGGCAAGATTCGGTATTTTTAAATGAAAGCTGATGTGTGTGTTCAAATGTTGCGGTATACTTGAATACTGCAGTAAAAAAGAAAAGTTTATTATTGTACATTGAACAGCGATCTCAAAATGAATAAGAGAAACAGAATGTAAACATTCTTATACGATGTGGGTCATTGAGGCTCAATCCATAACAATTAATTTTACTGTAAACAGTAAATTAATTTTAGTTATTCCTTTCATAGTTAAGCTAAGCTGCGTCCAGGTGTTCCTTGCTTAGAGGAGGGATTTGCTCACTACCGTTGCACCACTATAAGGTTTGAATTAAACATAAAAGAATATTATAGTTTAAACAGTTTAAACATGTTTATACGAAACATAAACATATTATACAAATTAAAAAAAGTTTAAACAATTATCTTAAACGTTTCAAAAATAAAAAAATTATAATCTAATTTTTTATTTTTTCTTAAATATGTATAAACAATTATATATATTCAATTAATAGAATATTTTTTAAACTATTATTAAGAATTAATACCCATTGGGGACCAGTCGAGGTTATAATGATTATGCTCTGGTTTATTAGTACTATTTGGACGAATAGCCACAATGGGAACTAATCATTAAATATAGATTTATATTACTAGTATTAATTTTGAATTTATTTATTACTTAAATATAATTAATAAAACATTTAATTTAATATTTAAAATCTGATATCATTTTTTAAAAAATATTTTATAATTAAATCTTTTTCGTTAAAGTCTTTTTCATTAACCCAGGAATTTTGAGATTCATCATAATCCTTCCACTTTACTAAAAATATGTAATCATTATCATTTAATTTATGTTCTAATATGTTTTCTATTTCATAAAAGCTGTTATTTTTATTTATATCTCTAATTAAATTTATATTTATTTTTCTAGCACTTTTTCCTTTTTTTCTCTTTTTCTTATTTAAATTTTTATATTCGGGAAAATCAATTTCTTCTATTTCATTATTATAATTATTACTATCAATTATATTTTCAGTATTTTCTAAATTTTCATTATCTATTATCATTTTATTATTATTTATATCTAAATCATCAAATTTTTTTTGTATTTCTGACATATATTTTATTTTATCTAATTGTTTTATTTCATTATTTAATACTATATCAATTAATTTATTATCTGTAGGAAACTCAAAATTGTTTTCTATCCATAACTTATGATGATCTTGTGTTATAATATCAAATGTTTCTGTAAATATTTTTATATTTTTTAAAAGAAATGCTACTTTCATTTGTAAATTAACATATTTATAATCATCTGTTTTTAAAGTAGAATTATTAATTGAAAATCTTTTAAATGTATTTCCCAATTCACAAAATTGATTTTCTATACTTGACCTAAAAGAACCAAATACATCATTATAATGCTTTTCTTATTTATTCAAATTTTCATTAGGCTCTTTCCTAATTGGATAAAAGAAATTATAATCATTTAATTCTATATTTTTATTTTTACATAATTTTTCAAATTGATTTATAAATAATATATAACCGCCATCAATAGCAATAACATCCCTTTCATTAATTTTATTATAAATTTTCATATTTAGAAACATACCTCCATCACTACTCACACCACATAATTCACTATCTGAAACTGTAATAACCATATTATTTATATCTGATAATACCTGTGTCCTTAATCCAGCTGTTTTTAATTTATATGACCATCTTTTTTGACTTGAAATATCAGGTTTACTATAATCAATTGTACTATCGCGACTATCCAATAATAATGTTATATTCTTAAAATTTTTAGGGTTTTTTAATAAAGCTGAATATACTCCTATTTTAATATTACTAAACATATTTTGTAAGCATAAATTGACATATTTATTTAAATGATCGTAATTTTCAATCCAAAAATTTTTATAAAAAGCATAATAACTTACATAGGGAATATTTTGCTTTATATCTTTACTAGTAATTCCTAATATAAGATGATAGATTAAATATAATCCTTTTTCAATTTCAAAATAAGGGGAAGGGTACTCTTTATTAGTATATAATTTAGTTAAGAAGAAAAATACAGATATATATCCTAACTTATTTAAGATTTCTTTTTTTATAATATTAATTTCTTTTATATTTTTTAATTCAGTTCTATGTTTATAATAATTTAATTTTTTTTTCCAATTATCATTTAAAAAGTTCCACTCATTCAATATAATTTTATCAACCTCATGCTGTAATAGTTCCTGATATTCTTGTTTTTCATTTTTATTTAAAATAGTATTATTGTATTCTTCAAATAACATCAGTGCATATTTTAATATATATATAAATTCAATTTTCTTTATAAATAGTATGCAAAATTATGTAATCTTTTATTTATAATTTCTTTAAAAATATTATGATATTTATTATTTAAAAAAATGTTATTGTCTGAATTTAAAATTTTAAACTCTAAATTGATTATAAAAAAAATATTTAAAAATATTTAATTTCTATTTATTTAATCTATATATTAAATTTAATTTATTAATTTTTCTATATTTAGTAGTTATAAATTGATTCCCAATAAGTTGGTGTAACCAAAATAATTTTCATAAAATTAAATTATGCATATATGTCTTGGCATGCATATATTTAAAAAATTTGAAAAAATAAAAATTGAATTTTTTTTATTATATAAAAAATAATACCTCATAATATTAAACATGAACAATACAATCACATTCAACAATGACAAAATCGTCCTTGATACCAGTAAATTAAGTATATTTTTAATAATAATAATATAAACATTAAAGAATTTGCTGAAGAAAACGATTTATGAAAAATATGATATAAATTATAATATTAAAAAGAATAAATTATTAATAAAACATAAAGCATCAAAAAAACAAAAAGACTCATCTAAAAATAATTTAAGTAAAGCGAATAATGAAAGAGATATTATTTCTGTTAAAAAAAAGTAAAGATAAAACATTAAAGGAAAATATAAAACTAAAGGAAAAATTACATAAATATGAAATTACTATGAAAATCCCGATACATTACCTCTGAAAGAAATAGTTGCCGAAAATTTAAATTCTCAGCAAATTGAAATTCCTCATATTTCAAATACACAGACAAAAGAAACATATGCTGAGAATTCAAATTCTCAGCAATCCTCAATTCCTCATATTTCCGATGCAATGTTAGAACACACCTCTGGTGCAGATTCCTCACAGGGTGATTCAGATAATGATGAATGTGAATCAGGTGGGGGTGAATATGTGTGTATGATTGCATGTAAGCCCTATATGGATAAATTAAATGATACTTATAATTGTACTTTTATTGATAACCTTATTTTTAAACTTGAAAAGAAAAAATATAAGTATAAAAGGTTTTTCAGTTCATACTTTAGATATTATATTGATTTAATAAAAGCAAAAGAAACAAATAGGGATTATAGTATGCAAATGTGTCAAGAGCAAATGTAGATGTTAATCATTGAATATAGTCAGATATATACACATGAAAATGGAAGTGAAGATGAATATAGTAATGATTCTGATTAAACTTGTATCGGCCATTAATGGCTATACCGGTTAGGACAGGCTTATTAACTATAGCAAAATCAATAAACAACTAACAGCTAGACAACTAATAGTAGGACGCCATTGCATGGTTAAAAGATTGAAGCACAGTTTTTACAAAAAAAAGTGGAGCTTATAGTACTTACTTAGAGCGACTTAGTATTACTAGTACAATATGTTATTGTAACATTGGAGGAATTGAACCACAACTGGCAGTACATACAGCTGCTGTGTCTCTACGTGTGTATAGTGTATAGAGTCTCATAAAAGGCAAAGGGTGAATGGGTAAGATAATTCTGTTATGAGCCCCAGAATGCGCAATCTCAAACGGAATGCACAAACTTGATAAAACTGATCGAGAAGCCATGATAAATCTAGTAAAGTAGTACGTCATGGAGAAAAAGGCATTTTGGGTAGCAAAGTAGAGGAGCAAGTAATAATGCGCGTCATGGGCGGAGAAAGCAAGCTGCCATCAGAAGAAGTGTTTTTTCTCTTCTCTTCTTTACTATTTCTCCCTCCCTTCTGCTTTTGCAGGTTTTCTTAAGTTTACCATAAAGTATGGCTTGCAAATACACTACTTCGTGGTCTTTTCGGAATAACATTGTTCGTAACTTCCATTATAGCCTACTTTATACTAATTACCAACATCGCTGATTGCAATCTTCTGCCTCTCGGTTCTTCGGTTCTACTTATACAGAAGAACCGGTTCGGTTCCGGTTCGGTTCCGGTTCGCTTCTTGACAGGAACCGAACCGTATTTTCTCGGTTTCGGTTCGGTTCGGTTCCGGTTCTACGGTTCTGATACGGATCCCTAAGCAACACCAAGTACAGGATCATCATTTACTTCAAATATAGGGTCAGCTTCTTCATAAAAAGCACATTTATTTTAAATACCATTCCTAAAAAAAAATTTACTCTCTCAACCTGATCCCTTTCTTTTCTCTTTTTTATTTTCTTTTCTATTATAACACATATCTTACCTTTCACGAACCAATGTAAATATTCGTATACTTTCTCTCCAATCTTAGACCCTACTTATTTGAACTATTAATCACCTGTGTATATCTTCTCCCAAACCATCACATATAATTAGCAGCACGTAAATCAATTCCGAAAAAATTTGATTATCGATCTACACTTTCATACACAAATATCATGAATTACACACTATCTATATACCATTATGCAATAATGTTACTGTATTATTATCATGCTACTTGTATAATGATTTTTAGATTATAAGAATCTGTACTTCTATGACCGTGCAAACAATAAGAACACTTTTATGTAGTTATATACACAGAGAAGTCAGAGTTCCAATGCATGTCAAGAAGAGAACAAGACCCTGCCTATGAAGAGTGATCTTGTCAAGGCTACCTCTATAACCACTGATAAACTGAAGACCATGAAGCTATGCTTCCAACAACAGAAAAATGTCGAACGTCAACAAGCTCTCGTCAATGAAGTCGAGAGAACCTACATTCAGCATCAGCAACTTAATTTATAAGAAACTGGTCAGACGAAACTGTAAAACTCATGCAGCATATAATATCTCCAATGCTTCAACTCCACTCATTTGATCCCCTTCTATACCAGTACCAGCAACGACGGCAAAAGCCGCAAATGCCGACTAAATAACTTACCACACTTCAGCAAGAATATGCGAAGTCTATGAAGATCCCAAGATCACCACTGCAGCCATTACCCATGATCCAACAAATAAAACCAAAGATACAAAAAAAAACACTCTACTATCATCAAAGGGCACCCGGTATCAACAGAATTACATCGCCAGCAATCAACGATACCAAATTAGCAGTGATGCATCCAACAATAAACAAACATGTGCTACGTTTCTACGAACAAATGTCAAATCTGAAGGCGTGTTTACTGAATACTTTATTATTAATTATTACTATCGGTTGACGATACATGTTTCAAAACGAGAAAGAACTTCTTTTCGATTCAGCACATACATATTCATTCACTAGAACATTGTTCCCGATCTGCTTTTCTAATTTATTATATTCACCAGCATTATCCCCATAACAATCCCTCATGTAAAATATGTACGAAAATAACGCAAAATCCAAGCAGGGAATAGATTCGGTACAACGGCGTCTCTAATCATGATTGACAATTACTCGGCCTTGATCTCACTGGGTAATCCAGCAAGGAAGACCTGAATATGAATGATGAGAAAAGTAAATCAAAATCCACCAATGGTAGGCAGGGCTTGATCTTTGATCTCAATCGATAAATCACAAAAAAAGTAAACTTGAGTTTCTGTTCAATTGAATTTTAATAAAGAACGCAAATTAATTACCATGGCATCTTACCAAGGCAATTGAATCGAAACATCTGTGTGCCGCTAAGAGAAATTAATAAATCAGGGAAAGCAAACAAGGAGAGTCACATCCAATTAGTACTTGCATACAGATAATTACACCGAAGCACACAGCCAACTGCTTTTTTATTACACCGAGCTAAAAAGAGGCTGTTTTGCCTTTGAAAGCACCATTCAAATGTCTTTAAACATCAAATCCATTGGTCTACTACACTTTGGTGCAGTTAAACAACGCCATCCTCTGTGTTGAAACAAGCGATTGGAGAGTGCGTGGTAGAGGCAATTAAATCATTTCATGGCTCGGTGTAATTAAAAGGCAGTTGGCTGGTGCTGCGGTGTAATTAAAAAAAAGGCTGTTTTGCCTTTGAAAGCAGCATACAGATGTCATTAAGCACCAAATTCATTGGTCTACTACACTTAGGTGCAGTTAAACAACGCCATCCTCTGTGTTGAAACAAGCGATTGGAGAGAGCGTGGTAGAGGCAATTGGACCATTTCATGGCTCGGTGTACTAATTAAAAAGCAGTTGGCTGTGTGCTTCGGTGTAATTAAAAAAGAGGCTGATTTGCCTTTGAAAGCAGCATACAAATGTTATTAAACACATAATCCATTGGTCTACTACACTTTGGTGCAGTTATACAACGCTATTCCATGTTGAAACAAGCTATTGGATAGTGCGTGGTAGAGGCAATTGGACCATTTTATCGCTCGGTGTAATTAGAAAGCAGTTGGCTGTGTGCTTCGGTGTAATTAAAATAGAGGCTGTTTTGCCTTTAAAAGCACCATTCAAATGCCTTTAAGCACCAAATTCATTGGTCTACTACACTTTGGTGCAGTTAAACAACGCCATCCTCTGTGTTGAAACAAGCGATTGGAGAGTGCGTGGTAGAGGCAATTGGATCATTTCATGGCTCGGTGGTGTAATTAAAAAGCAGTTGGCTGGTGCTTCGGTGTAATTAAAAAAGAGGCTGTTTTGCCTTTGAAAGCAGCATACAAATGTTATTAAACACATAAATCCATTGGTCTACTATACTTTGGTGCAGTTATACAACGCTATCTTCCATGTTGAAACAAGCGATTGGAGAGTGCGTGGTAGAGGCAATTGGACCATTTTATCGCTCGGTGTAATTAAAAGGCAGTTGGCTGGTGCTTCGGTGTAATTAAAAAAGAGGCTGTTTTGCCTTTGAAAGCAGCATACAGATGTCATTAAGCACTAAATTTATTGGTCTACTACACTTTGGTGCAGTTAAACAACGCTATCTTCCATGTTGAAACAAGCGATTGGAGAGTGCGTGGTAGAGGCAATTGGACCAATTCATCGCTCGGTGTAATTTAAAAAGCGTTTGCTTCGGTGTATTTGAATTTTGCTGCCAAGCGACATTCATTTTTATTGGCCTGCGACATTTATTTCTATTGGCTGCGAAATTACTTGTTGGGAAAACCCTGTTAGTTCGACTTGGTTATGGGCTGCTATAACCCGTTCCAAAAAGCTGGTTATAAGCATCATGCGAGTATTGCCTTGTGTAACACAGATCGTTTTTTCCATATGCCACAACCGGTAAATCATACGGCAATCGAACAGGTACTACTGCTGTTGTAATATTATTATTAGTATTATTATTATCGTTGTCGTCGTCGTCAACAACAAGCGTATTGGGTATTGGTCTTGGGACTTGAACTGTAGCAGCCAGCATTTGGACATTTGTAGTAGAGTTCTAGATACAATCATGTTTTTTTAAGGCTATCTATCTTTACCACTACGAAAGAAGGGTAATGCATAAACAGCAATGCTCTTTACCTCAAATAAACTAGGACAAATGAATACGCCAAGCTCATAGCTTTTGATATAGAGCTGAGAGTCGTTCTTTTGAAACTCGCCCCATGCTGCACGACTCAAATTCGCAGAGGTCAACAGATGCCATGCGATGCTGTTGTATCCATATACTCGGGTGTATGTCTTGATATGTGGCATCACTTTTTGTCGGCCAGCATCCACACTGATCCATTTACAAAGGTGCGTATCAAGCCAGCTTTTGCTTTGTTGATAGACATCTGCGTGTTGTGGTGGGTGATGGTCAATGACACAACGAAAAGAGGAAATTTTTTGAGTGCCAACAACATCGATAGACTTTCAATGTTATACGTACTATTTTCAAGACGTAAAAATCCGGCACTTGATACGATGCCTGTACAGCTAATAAGAGCAAACTTAGTAATATTGTTGATCTCACAGCAGTGGAGAATATACGGGGTTGATCACAATACCTTTGAGAAACCTCTTCAACGGTTGGATACATAAAACGGATCTCTGGTTTTTTGGCCATATCAGAATTCTCAGCCTCGGACATACAACGCGTGAAATCTCTTTGAAACCATTTGCCGCGTAGACTTCCAACACTGGAGCACTGTCCCATGGAAACAGACAAGTAAAAAAAAAACCATCAACATGCTGTACTTCCTCATCATTTTGTTGCTTCTTTGTGTATATATATTACCTGTGCAACAAGAGTCGAGCCATCCTTGGTGCATTCGGTATCCAAGTGAACATGAGCTTTCAAAACATTCACCAAGCGCTGTAGCCCCCAAAGATGCATTGTGGGTCCCTTGTGATAACCAGGCACGGAACCAATGAGTATTCCTTTGCACGAGGACCAGTCGTACTGTCGCACATCACTTCGGATGTCTTTCAAGCTTATACCATATGCATTCAGGTAGTTGATGAGGTCCCGTTCAAAGGGCGAGCCGAATTCCGAGCCAACAATGGTTCCTTCGTTGCCATTCAATGTTGATTCTTCACCAGTCTCCTTTAACGGGCAATGTGGGGTTTGATAAACACCTTGCGTCATCACTCTACATAGGTATAGCAGGTAACACATAGAACTTGCTATCAATAATGCCACAAAACAATACATTCAAAAAGTATGGTTTTCAGATCATCACAACTTACTCCCAGTCGTCTTGACAAAGATTTGCAGTACACACCACCATCCGGATGGATTTGGAACCATTGCGGTTAAAGTACAAGAGCATAGCCTGAAGCGGGATAAAAAGGACATGATGATGAGCAATCATCGTGAAAGCCTTTATTCTAGCAACAGCAGCCATGATACAACATGGACCTTCTTTTGGACTTTTTCAACGTATTTCTTACCTTTGTGTGATGTGTCCCTGTATCATGGGGTGGAAACAGCAAAATGCCAAGTTAGCAAGTAACCTGGGTCTGTCCCATTCTATTACAGACATAAATGTGGGATGTGGGGATGGCTCATCATTGTCATTATTTACCGTATCTGTCTTGGATATATGGAGCTATTAATCGCACGTTTGGCCAGCGCTTTGCTTCTTGCTGCATAGATGGAAATTCCAATACAACCATCGCAGTTATTTTTTTGTAGAGTTACTCGCCTCATCCCCATCCCATTTCGACATATCTCTCTCTCTCTCTCTCTCTCTCTCTCTACTATTAGCCATGGAGTGCTCAGCAGCTTTTTTGGGGTACTCTATATATGTATATATACCTGTATAGCAGCACGACTTTCATCATATCGATGACCATGGATGACAGTAACGGGAATTTTGGTACGAACAGCCGGATGTATATTTTGCATCAAATACTCGAGATCCACAGTAAAGTTAAACTGTACAATTCGTTCGAGATCATCCTATCATTTCCCCCGTTGTTTACAGACCCCACTTTTTTTAGCTGAATCTTTTCTCCATTCTTGCGCATGAGTAAAACGATAGACTTACATGATATAACAGGTCACGCAAACGTACTATAGTGAATATATATCAGCAATTAAAAAAATACCAACGGGTCTTGTCGGTGGGTGTAGTGTATATACTGTTGTCTATATAAGGGGTACTACTCCTATGGAACTTGAGAAATATGTATACCACAACCAACATTCTCTTCTTGCGACGCAGCATTGGAAGCGAGTAGTCGGATTCCTGTGTCGACGTGCTCAACTCGTGGACCGTTTTGCTGATTAGCAGTCTTGAGTCTCTTGAGAGGATGGGTGTCGTCGTCCTAGACATTTCCATGGGAAAGAGAATCAGACAATCAATCGATCGAAAGAACCCACCCTGTGGTTTTTCCATAGTGAACATAAAAAAAAAAATAGCGCACGCGATCGTGTTCTGAATCAGCATCGTCGGGTCGTGGACGTGTTGTCTTTTGCTGTTGTGTAGCGCTCATGAGATCACTGTAATAGACTTTCTTTTATGTTCGTACCACCCGCGTTTCAAGCATGAAAATAGGAAAAGAGAAACGGAATTTCACTGACTTTTTTTTACAGTGTATGCACAATGGTATTTTTCAGCGCAAAGAAAAAAGATGGGGGTATTTCTAAACATAAACATGGTACTACTACTACTAGGGATTGAGTGAGTTTGTGGATATGATGGTGACAATGTGGGGGGTACAATACAGCAAGAAGGAAAATTACTAGGACCCCTCCATGATACTACATGTTGAGATGACTTATATTTGGGATGCACTGCCAGCATCATTGGGTATTGGGGCGCCAGTATTACTGGCATCCTTTGTTGCTGTTGTTGCAGTCGGAGCATTATCATTATTATTAGTATCGTCTGTGGTAGTGTTGCTGTGATTCAGAGTCTGCTGTGGTCGTGGTGTTGTTGTTACATGCTGATGCACTTGCGATTCTTGTGATAGATTGCAGTCTTCTTTACTCGGTAACGGAGGTGGTGGTGGTGGTACGTCAGGCGTATCGAGTTCTTCGGTATAGTTTAACGGGAATATGCCACAGTGCTTGTGTCCTTGCTTGTCAATGACTTCACCGGACCACCATCCTTCGTTGATTTCTTCCAACACTGTAATGATATCCCCTTGGCTGAATGCAAGGTCTTCATCGTGATCGCCAGGGAAGTTGTATAGTGCTCGTCGTAATTTGGTGTATGGACTGCTGGCTGAGATGGCTAGGTGCATCCAACATTTCCCGAGATTGAGTATACCTAGTCCATCTTACATTTGTACGCTCGGATTTTTTTTTAAACATATAATAGTAACTTACATTGTTGTCTTGATGGAACACTACTTGAAGATCCTCTTTTAGAAATGACATCATCTGACTTGACACTTTGTTGTGATCCCATATCCGAAAGAGAACGGCGTAATTGATTACTGTTGAAAGTCGGCGGCGAACCAGCTGCTGATGCCGATGCGCTCGTACAGGATGCTGCTGATGAAGCATTCGTACTGGATGAACAGATGGATTGTCGGTCAGCTGGATGTAGATAGTGATTGTTATTACTACTCGTGTTGCTGGCAGAAATAATAGAGGGTCGTCGATAGTAATCATTATTGGTGCTGGCAACGGTGGATTGTTCGAATGCAGAATCCGTCGATTTCCTGTTGATGCTGCTTTTGCAACATGCTCCATCACATGTTGTTGCTGTTGTTGTCGCGCCTGCCCCTGATGCTGCTGATGCTGATGCTGTCCTCTTCAAATCAATTGCTGTTGGTGCTAAAGGTTTAGTATGATCTCCGGTATTGCTGCTATCATCGTTATTGTTGTTGTTTAATGAAGAGGTATTGTCATCATCGTATTCGGGTCCTAGTGGCCAATCGTCTTTTACGTCTTGCAGGATTTTTGCCGCTTTTAGGAAGCATCCGATCTGCAGATCCATAAAGTCATGTAATGCATCACGGTGCATCTCCTGTTTCAATGATTATTCCCGGTCCATATTAGTAAAAGATGTCTATTCAACTCTACACACGACAAACAATGACGACAAAAGACACACACCTTGAACTGTTCCAATTCAATCATTTTCGTCAACAAATCGCGTTGCGTCTCTTCATATTTCATTTTCGATTGATGTAACAATTGTTCAAGCTGCGGTTTCTCCTTTTTCGCTTTCTGGAGTCGACTGAGATGGGCTGCATAATCGAGTCGTCGTGTTTCGAGTTTTCGGCGCAGTTCAACAATCTTGTGATAGCATGCTCTGCTGTCGCGTAAGAGTGTCAAGTAGTCGGTGCCCAGTTGGAGCGTCAGTTGATCAAAATAGACTGCAATATTCATTTCCGCTTCACCGAGGTTCGACAATGCTGCACCTAATAATGTATATATATATATATATATAAATAGTATCCCGTACCCATTATATATTTTATTAGTATTATATTGGTTAGTTTGATATCGGCGATCCGATCAACACGCCTTTTTTTGCAGGATAGATATGGAACATGTGCGTCGGAGGAGGGGGGAGGGCCTAAGAACCGCGCTCCCCGTCGTCCCGGATAGACAAAGGATCGACATAATAAAAAATAACGAAATAGGTTGCACCTCTTTTTTCTTTTTACCTAGTTTGGGAGAGCTGCCAGCTATTTCACTGCCATGCGTCAACCAAGCATCTCCAATCGCAGAGAGGGGTGTGTGTTTTGTTCTCGACTCTTGTATTAGAGTTTTCGTTTTCGAAAGTTGTGCATGGGACAGTTTGATTGTTTGGTACATTTGTTCGAAACCTTCATGCCAAGTGTCCAGCTGATCTTCGAGTTCTTGAAGATCCTCGGTCTGTAATGTTGGTTTGGATGCACCTAATCGCTCACCGGTCCACTATGTATTGTTTTTTTTCCCAGTTTCAATATATATGTCAAATAGGATGCAGCAGCAGCAGTAGTAATGATAGGTTTTACCTGCTTTATGCGAGTTAGGTTTTTCAGCATTATTTTTCTTTTTCTTATTTCAGGGTTGATATCACGTTGAAGGATACAAGGTGTAGTAGTAGTAGTAGTAGTAGTATAAAGAGGTTGGGGTATGTCGTCGTCGTCTGGTGATGTATGTACACCCGAAAAGAAGAAGATAAAAAGAGGATGGGCTTTTCTGCTTTGTGTTGCTGCTGTTGTTGGTTTATCCCGGACAGCTGTGGTAGCTACTACAGTTTTGATACGACAGCAACAATGACCACTATGTGGAGACGATGTATAACTAACGCGTTGAGCTTACACAAGTGTGCTGTTGGATAAGAAAGAAAGAAAGAAAGAAAGAAAGAAAGAGGGTGGGGGGGGAGAATCCCAACTAGCCAGCACTTTTTTATATTCCAGAAGATTTAATCAAGTGTAAAAATTGGGGTAATAAGCAGGGAAAGCCCTGCTCAAACACACACACACACACACACAGAGAGAGTGAGCCAAACTAGTAACTGTTTCGCTTTCTATGCCTAGCTTGCCACGTTTAAATGACCCTGAAAAAATTAAAGAGTTTCATTGCGAGAGAGAGAGGAGGGAGAGATGACATGACATAAGCTGAACATGAATTTGTTGCTACTACTACGCACTAAACCAAAGCATAAGATTACACGATTCGCCGCCCACAGGCCCTTTCTCTTTGCTGGGTTTTTCTTTTCCGCCCTCTCGTCTCTCTCCCTCCCCCACTTCTTTTTCTCTTTTTTTACTGCCATTCCTTTTTTTTTTTTGCCCTTTGGTGACGAAAAAAATAAAAAATAAAAACATGGCGCCCTCTACACTCTTCCGTTCGGAAGAGATGTCACTTATACAACTGTATATTCCTGCAGAGGTAGCCCAACCTTGTGTTGCAGAGTTGGGTGAGCTTGGCAAGGTGCAGTTTAGAGATGTAAGTGTTTCTGACTTGTAATGTTTGAGAACGCCATGGACACAAAAAAAAAAAGAAAAGCGGTGCATTGACCTGCCCATCTCTTTTGTAGCTCAATCCCGAAGTAAACGCATTCCAACGAGCATTCGTTTCTGAAATTAGAAGACTGGACGAAATGGAACGTCTTTGCCGTACGTGTGTCAAAATAAAATAGCTTTACGGCAAAAGTAAAAACTTGAAACACGAAACTCCTAACCCTTATTTTTTATACATAACAACCCGGGGGGGGTGGTGGGGTGGCTATGACTCTTATAGGCTTCTTTAATACACAGATTGAAAAGGCAGAAATTCCTAGTCGATCCTTGACGACAGCTGCCTATGGTTCGCGTGCACGCTCGGCTCAAGAAATCGATGATCTTGAGGAAAAGCTAAAGGAGCACGAAGGCCGTATCGTGCAAATGAACGGCTCGTATGAAACGCTTCAGCGTCGCAACCTGCAACTCACCGAACTCCGACATGTCCTGCGCGAGACAGGTGGTTTCTTTGAACAGGTAAAAATACAGAGAGAGAGGACCTTGATCATTACAAACGAAAAGAGTCTGTGCGTGTAAAATGTTCATAAAGAAACCAACACTCAACTTGGAACTGCGGTGGGGGGGTTGGATATGGGTTCCGATGGGGCGGTGTATTTAGGCTGAATCACGTCAAGATACCATCCGTAACTCGATGGATGAAGGTGACGCTTCGACGCCATTATTGGAACACGACGTGGAACAACAAAACCACGACGAAATGGGCCGACTCAACCTGGGCTACGTCACCGGCGTTATTTCGCGTGCACGCATGCAGACCTTTGAACGTGTTCTGTGGCGCTCGCTCCGTGGCAATTTGTACATGAACTCGGCTGAAATCGACGAGCCCATTACTGACCCTGATTCCGACGAGGTCGTGGACAAGAACGTGTTTGCCATCTTTGCGCACGGTCGAGAAATCATCAACAAGATCAAAAAGATTTCCCAAAGCTTGGGCGCTACTTTGTATACCGTCGATGACTCTCCCGATAAGCGACGTGATGCATATCTTGAAGTCACCAGCCGTATTGAAGATTTGAACAATGTAAGAAGAATATAAGCTTGTTACAGGTGCACAAGTCCTATTGACTCTGAAACTAAACATTCAATGTGTAGGTTCTCTCAAACACAAGCCAAACTCGACGCGCTGAACTTCAAAAGATTGCAGAAAACCTTTCCTCGTGGACCACTGTGGTTCGCAAGGAAAAGGCGATCTATCACACCATGAACTTGTTCAACTATGATGTGAATCGCAAGTGCTTGATCGCAGAAGGATGGTGTGCTACGAATGATATTTCTATTATCCAGCATGCTCTCAAAAATGCTACGGTGCGTCTCTTCTCTCTTGTCTTTGTTGTGTGTATTCAAAAAATGAGTAGAGAACTAACATGCAAGAGGGTGAAAACGATTAGGAAGCATCTGGCACCAACTTACCATCCATTCTGACCGAGTTGACGACCAAAAAGAAACCTCCTACATACCATCGTACCAACAAATTCACAGAAGGCTTCCAGGCCGTCATTGATGCCTATGGCATTGCCCGTTATCGAGAAGTCAACCCTGGTCTGTTTACGATCATTTCATTCCCTTACCTCTTTGCAATCATGTTTGGTGACATTGGACATGGTTTCTTGATGTTCCTGTTTGCATTATACCTTGTTTTGTATGAAAAGAAGTTGGCCAAGGTCGACAACGATGTAAGTTATCTTGATTCTGGGGGGTTAAGAAAGCCTTACTAACGTTTTCTCATGATCGTTTTTCTAGATCTTTAGCATGTTCTTCAGCGGTCGTTACATGGTGCTCTTGATGGGTCTTTTCTCCATGTATGTTGGTTTCGTCTACAACGACATGTTCTCGCTGTCACTTGACTTTTTCAAGTCCGGTTTTGATTGGCCTATTGAATACAACTCCACCGATACCGTGGAAGCCACATCGAATGGCCATGTCTATGCCTTTGGCTTTGATCCAGTATGTATAGAATTCTAATTAGCGGATAAAAGCTTCAAATCACTGACCTTTACATTCTAGTCATGGCACGGTTCCGAGAACTTTTTGCTGTTCTCCAACTCTTACAAGATGAAACAGGCTATCATCATTGGCGTAATCCATGTTTGTATCACAAAAACTTGTTTGTTTCAATTCCGTTTCCCCTTAATATCACCTTGGACTGAGTGAGAAGAAACCCCACACACACACACACACACAAACTGACGATGACGATGGCTTTCTCTAGATGCTTTTCGGTATCTGCTTGCAAGTCTACAACCATGTCAACTTTAAGAACAAGATGTTTATCTGGTTGGAGTTCCTTCCCCAAATCTTGTTCATGTCCAGCATTTTCGGCTACTTGGTGTTCTGTATCTTGTACAAATGGAGTGTCGACTGGTGGGCTTTGGATGACAATGGCAACCATATTCATAACGCGCCACCCAACTTGCTCAACATGTTGATCTACATGTTCCTTTCTCCTGGTAACATCAATCCTGAGGAGCAGCTTTACCCCGGCCAGGTAAGAACGTTGTTGGATACTACTACGGGACAAAGTTCTTTTAATCATTCTGGTTTAAAAAAGGGTCCCGTCCAAATGATGTTGTTGTTCATTGCATTGATCTGTGTCCCATGGATGTGGTTTGCCAAGCCATACTACCTCAAGAAGCAACACAGCAAGCATCACTACGAGACCGTTGCTGCCGACGACGAGGTTGCGTATGATGAAGAACAGAACGGCCGTGCTGGCGGTTCGAATGAAGCTGAAGAGGATGATGAGGGAGAAGAAGAGGTAAGCTTGGTTTTGTTGTCTTTAAAAAGAAAGATACTCATTCGGAGGGCCTTTGTTCTTTTTTCTAGTTTGAGTTCTCTGAAGTCATGATCCATCAAACCATCCATACCATTGAATTCTGTCTCAACTGTATTTCCAACACTGCCTCATATCTCCGTCTGTGGGCCTTGTCTCTTGCTCACGCCCGTACGTATCCTCTCTCTCTCTCTCTCTCTCTTCATTGGAGGAAATAGAGCGGAACACAAAGTAGTAATTTAATTCTCTTTGTACATTGGTAGAACTGTCGAGTGTCTTGTGGGACATGACCTTCAAGATCTGGTTCGGCTTCAGCGGCGTGGTCGGCGTTGTTGGCTTGGTGATCGGTTTCGCCATGTGGTTTTCGCTTACCATCTTTATTCTGTTGGGCATGGAGGGTCTGTCTGCCTTCCTTCACACTTTGCGTCTGCACTGGTACGTATCTGCCCACACAAAGAATGGGAATGCTGTTGCTATTGTATCGCCAAGTGGCGGGGTGGAGATGATGTTCACTCACGTGGTTTTGCGTTCTTTAGGGTTGAATTCGATGGTAAATTCTACATGGCTGACGGTGTCAAGTTTGAGCCGTTCGCTTTCAAGACTGTTTTGGAAGCCAAATCCGAGTAAAATATAAAGTATAAAACAAAGCTCCATACTACGAAAGGGGGTGGGGAATAAAAAGAAAACCATTCACATCTACAGTCAGTCATTTCCCCCAGCCCTGTGCTCGTCTTGCCTTTGTCAAGAACATGCTATAATAGATTTACGTGCATTCTTGTCGGATTGCTGGTTGCTTTGCTTGTGTCACGTGTGGAGTAGCCATATCTATTAAATATTCACTGTTGTTGTTGCTATATCCTGAGCTGTCAGAGAAGTTTCTCTCTCTCTCTCTCTCTCTTTCTTTCTCTCTCTCTTACTTTCTTTACTTGGCTTGTTCTTGTTCTTCCCACACTCCGTATATTACACTTATGGCATTGTCGGATGAAACTCGTGCACCGCTATTATCACGCAATCGCATTGACGAATCAGCAGACAATCGATCCGAGCGTAGCAATGAAGAGATAACCGACTATGGCAGTAGCAGCGGCGTATACCGTTACCCATTATACCTTCAACCAGGCCAATTCACATCGCTTGAAAAACTAATGTTTTTCATTAGTTCAATACTGCTCATCTTTTTATGCGTATTTATTGGACTGTATGCGCGTAGTAGTTTTGACGATCGGTTGCAACCGCCTGTTCCGAGCCCTTCACCAACGCCTAGCGACCCGCCTGTAGTACAACCTCCTCCTGATAAGAATGAGGTAAAATGCATATTAAAACGTCGTGTGTGAGAAAATTTATTAAAAGAGATTACATGTTACATCGTCTTTACATAGTCGTACTGCTTGCAATCGAATTGTATTTTGACAGCAGCCAAGATCCTGCAAGTAAGAAGTGCTACTCTCATTGTTTAGTTGGCAGTTATCCCCCACCCCATAGTTTCTGGGTTCCTGGAAATGTGTGCATGAATGTGTTAATGCCCTTTTTTTTTCTTTCATCACAACAATTAGGACGTCAATCCAAACATTGATCCGTGCAGTGATTTTTATGCATACACGTGTAAGTTTTTTTATTGCTTTCAGCAATAATCCCCGCAACATCCCCAAACATAAGCACACACACACATACACATGTATGCACACATACGCAAACAAAGAACACACAACATTGAATTTTCAACACAGGCAGCAACTGGATGGAAGAACATGCATTGCGCGAAGACAAGCCAAAGACAAGCGTTGAAACCCGAGTTGACGAGAAAATCAAGAACCAACTGAATCAAATACTGATGCACTCGTTTGACGACGCCAACCCGCTTGACAACAACGGCGACGGTTCTTCGTTGCCAGCACCGGACCGTATACTGGATACACAGCTGTTTACAAAACTGCAAGACTTTTACGAAACATGCATGGATGAAGATACCATTGATCAATACAAGGTTGAGCCATTATACGACATGTTTCGTTCGATTCGACACTATATACCACTTGGCTACTATGTCAGTGCACCTGTCGATGGTCTAAGCCAGGCCATCAGTTACTTGGCAACCAACGACATCTGGGCCTTGTTCAAGATCAACATGGGTCCCGATCCAGAGAATCCACACATGTCAACCTTGTCTGTATCTCAAGGCGAGCTAGGCTTACCGTCCCGCGAGTACTATGACGACCCTGACATTGTTGCTGCATACATGCAGATGGTGACCGAGATGCTCGAGCTAGTATTCAAACAGGACACCCACAACGAGTTTGGATGGAAGCAATGGAGCACAGTAGCAACAGCGCGTCGTATTGTGGAATTCGAAAAAGAACTGGCGCTACAATCCCTCCACGACGATCACCATCATGCTCAAGAAGAACCCCAGCATTATTACTGGACAATCACAGAGCTACAACAAACAGCGCCCTATCTAAACTGGACCACAGTGTTTGACACCGTCGGTGCATCGCATGCCAAGCAAGTCTGGATCCCGCGTCCCGAATTAATCACAGGCGGACTCCAGGTGCTCAAGGCAAGCAACAGTCGCACGTTGCAAATGTATCTGGTGTGGCGTTCGCTGTGGCGGTATTTGGATACGTTGGGTGATATGTTTGTCGCTCCTCGACGCAAGTTGGATGCCAAATTGTCTGGCGTGGAAGCAAGAGCCAAGCCGCCACGCTGGCAGTTTTGTCTTTCCCAGGTCGATCGTTCGTTGGGCTTTTTGTTGGGTCGCTATTTTGTGTTGCGGGATAAAGATGCGACCGAAACGACTGCAAGGGCGGAGGCCATGGTGGAGCAGTTGACGGAAACTGTGGCGGGACGATTGGGTCGGGTGCCTTGGCTTGTAAGCGAACAAGACAGAAATGCTGCGCTTGATAAGGTTAGAACATTATTAAAAGACTTGCCAGTACTGTTCTCCATTCGCTAAAACCCCATTCTAGATACAGCAATTAGATCGACAAGTAAGCTGCCCAACGGTAGCGCCAGATACCCGCTCACCGATCGCACTCGCCGAATTCTATCAAGATGTTGTACCTGACCGGGAAAGCTTTTTCAAAAGTGTCCAAAGCGCTAGCCAATGGAAAGTCAAGCATAGCTGGGATCGTTTGCATCAACCCATTGATCGTAGCTCATGGGATCTTGTTCCTCAGCATGTGGGTATGGCCTATAACCGTGCTCTTAACAAGGTAAAAACTCTCCTTTACCCAATCAATCGAAGCTTTTCTTTTTCTCATATTGTTTTATATTAGGTTCAAATACCAGCAGCCATGCTGCAACCCCCTTTCTTTGACCCCAACGGACCGGACTATCTGAATTATGGAGCATTGGGTGCCATGATCGTCCACGAGATTATGCATGGATTCGATAGAGGAGGACGACACTACGATGCACAGGGCAAACACGGCACCGATTGGTGGTCAAGCGAATCACAAGCAGCATTTGATACAGCTGCATCGTGTCTCGAACGACAGTATGCAGGGTTCAATGTGAGCGGACCCAACCATCAGACATATCCTGTGGACGGAACACAGACTTTGGATGGCAACATTGCTGATTTGGGAGGTTTGTTGCAAGCTTATGCAACATGGAAAAAAAGCCGGCAAGTCAAGGATAGCAACGATAGGCTGTTACCGGGATTGGATGACTGGTCTCGTGATCAACTGTTTTATATTAATTATGCACGCATGCGGTGTAGTAAGAGCACTTTGGAGAATAAGTTGCAAGAGGTATGAAAGTGTTCTTTTCGAAAGGGTCATGAAACATCTTAGCTTTCTTAATTGTTTTCGTTTGGTTTAGTTACATACGAGTCATCATGCACCAGATCGATGGAGGGTCAACGGTCCACTGATGAATTCGGAGCACTTTGCAAAAACATTTTCTTGTCCTATTGGAACCCCAATGAATCCTCCTGATAAATGTAAAGTTTGGTAATGCTTAATATATAAATTTGAGACTTTGTATCTATGTATTTGTTCTCTCTCTCTCTCTTCCTTTATCTCTCTCTTCTGTATGTATGACTTGGCTTATATATGTATAAAAGAGGTGTATATATTTTGTTTTTGGTATTATGTTATGTGTGTTCCATGTTGATGATGCTTGCTTTATATGCTATACTACCATTCTGAATAATTGGATGCATCGCTCTCAACTTTTGTTGCTGCAAAGAACTGGTTCCTTAGGTACCAATTTCGTCAACAACTCGAGATCTATGGATATCGTGGCTCCTTAGTCATTTATCAAGTGCAGGCGTTTACAGTCAAGTCATGTGAAATAAATTCAACGTTGTCAAGATGCGAATGCACTCATTAATAATCGATGTTGTATGGGCAGGGTCAAGTTCCTGCTGCCTACATCAAGGCTCTGGGTTGGAAAGTGTTTGTCGAAGCATCAAGTCTATCTGCACTGATGACATGTAAACAAAACACATTCAAGATAAAGAAGTATATAGCTCTTGTCGTTTTTATTGAAGAGTCGATGATGGAGAGTTTTAAACGGCTTTCATGATTTAAGACACACATGCATAGAGCTCAAGGTACCTTAAGTATATGAGGGAGCTGACACACCGTATCAAGGGCCACATCGTCAAAGTGTATACCATCGACTTTGTCACTGATCACCAGCAAACCGATACACGGCCTATGGGTGCTTGACGCAGACATCATCAATGCACCCAGCTACAAAGATGGGAAAAAGATCGATTGCTGGTTTTGGACGAGGACTGACACGATTGACGCGACATTTTGCCCAACGGACGACGAGGCAATGGTCGGTTTGAGGGGGAGCGCTTTAAATTACCAACTGGACAAAGAAGAGCAACAGCCATAAGCCAGCTTGGTGGAGCTGCTGCAACCATTAGGGGGGATGTCAAGAAGCCTTACTATAATCAAGCCGCATCATCGACTGGCCTATAAGAGGGAAACATCTTGAGTTTATCAGTTTGAGATAGCTGATACTCAAAGCAATCGAAAGGTGAAAATAGCAAAAATCCATGACCATTTAAGCAACACCACAACCCTCTGTCTTAGAAATAGACATCAATTGGAAGATGGGGAGCTGATATTCAAAATCAGATATACATACGACGGACAAGCTATCTAGGATGTAGTGTCAGTTTTGTAGAGGCTGGAGCACAGCGGGAAACAGGATTACAAGGATATACTCAGCGAATGACAAGAAGTGAAAATGAATCTAAAAGTGCGAGGAGGGTATTGTCAAGAACAATCACTCATCTTGATGCTTCAGAACATAGGATACACAGTAAATACGTAGCGAGGGGGAGCTCGAGTTGGTTACAAGTAAGTAATCACAAAAACGTAAAAAGAAGCCTGGGCGGGTTTTTGAATAGCTTCACAAGCAACAAACTCAGAGTCGAGAACAGTTACTAGAATGCAAAGAAAAGTGAAGCAGCTATCGAATAGTGTCATACACGCTAGGGCCCCTCAAAGAAAAGGTCCATTGTTCAAATGGGTAACTAGCATGTCGTTCGTTCGAATGTGTTTTCATATTGATCAAAGCTAGAGAGTCGTACTCTTGCTTTCTTCTGTATTGCTTTCTCGTTTCGGGCTTGATCTCAATTCTGTATTGACTCTTCAATGCTTGTCCTCCTATTACTGTCTTGATGGTCGTCATTACCTGGTCTTTCACTCGTCTCTTATCCATTCCCCCCACCCAAGGCTTAGCGCTGTCCGTACGTACACGGACTTGTTGGCGACGTAACAGCATGTTGTTCACTTCTCTGACGTACCCTAGTGCTAGCTTTTGCTTGCCTTGTATGAGTGTCGCATCAAGAAGCACGCACAACAACAAGTACTACTACTACTACTAAGCTCTTCTATTTCAAACATTTGACATGATGTGGTAATACTAGAGACACTCTTGTTTTATTACTGAATTAACGTTTGTAAAGGAATGCTTGATACTTGAGGAAACGGATTTGCTTTACTAAGCACAGCAAACATCTTTTCGTGGGAAAGATATGCTTTCATGTAACCCTTTTGGAAACAAAAAAAAGGAAATTCGTCAACAACAACTGAAATGAGTCGATCCACCTTCCCTTTCAATCATTTTCTGTTTCTTTTACCTTGAAGATCATGTTGGCCAACATCCACTCGGTTTCTTCTATATCCACTTCAATTCCAGATATTTTCAGTGCAGCTTGGAATGTAGATATGGGTATACGAGGATTATTATCTAAATGAACGTAACTACAAAATAAAAAATATATAAATCTGTTTAAATGTGCCTCTTTTTTTTTGTTTTACGAACGACAACACTTAGCAATCATAAAAAAAAAAAGCGCGAGAAAAGGTTTAGCTTACACTTTACGAAACAATTGTCTCATGGCAATATTTTGTGCCTTCTCTACGGCCAAATACGTTCCTTGACGAAACAACACTTGTTCTGCTAACTGTAATTGGTGCTTAAACACGTCAATGTTACCGGACTTGATCGCTTCGACAATATGGCCGTAGGTCTTTTTGATTTTCGGGAACCGCTTGAGTAATTTCTTGCTAGGCATTACACCACGCATGAGTCGGATAGGTAGTAAGGTCTGTAAAATCAACCTACAGAACATGATATTATTGGTTGGTTTTTTTTTCGTTTGACGTTGTAGCTAGGACTTTTGTGTGATTGAGAGCGATTGCATAAACATTAAGATCCAAGGGAGGATAAAACATACTCTTTGTTTTTGACACTTGTGTTGGAGCACTCTCTGAAAGCCAGATCAAGCTCATTTTCAGCCTTTGTAAACGGGGAAAATTGCAAGTGAGTAAAAAAAATAAAAAAAAAGGCTTTTTTAGCACTCTCTTTCTTCACTTACTTTGCTGTATTCTTCCTGTAAGAAATAGAGTCGACCCAGATAGTAGCGAAAAGTAACACGGTCGCACTTTGGAAAATAGTCGATTTCAGGCAAATCCGCTGCTCGTACTGCTCTTAGGATGTTCTTGCATAGGTTTTGTTGCTTCAACTGAGATTTTGACACAAACAATTCAAGATAAAGCTTTGTTACTAAAAAGAACGCACAGACACAGCAGCAAGGGATCATTGAAATGATGGCCCCTCCTCACAAAGTTAATATACCTGGAAATAGGTACGGAACATTAAGCCAACCATACGGTAGGTGCCGACTTTCTTTGATACTTGTAGGGCGTTTCTGATTAAAACAGAGCACGCAATAAATTCAGTATTAAAGACAACATCAGCAAACATAGTTCCCAAATATTTTTTTACCTATCCGTTATACAGAGTGTAAATGATTTGCTCATCACGTTGGCTGCTTCTTCTAGCTTTTTGCGTTGCGTCGATTCCCCTGCTTCTTCATCGTCTGTCATTAATACTTTAGCATGTCGGTCGGCCTACAATGTTACATATCAAGTCATAAGTTCACTTTCCCGTTCTTGTTTGGGTATTGTATATCAATAGCCGCGCGCGTCTCCAGAAAACTACATGTATAATACCTCTCGAGCCAGTGCACGTAGATCGTTATTAACAACATATAATACTGGCAAGCACCACTGCGTGAAATTGGCCATTGCTCGTTGAAACATCCTGAGTTTTTCCATAAATAACAAATTATGTATTAGCTTCTACGACACGCATCTATATATATATATATCATAGCATATAAAACACACACACAGGATACTAAGTGGAACTTACTGTACGAGTTCTTTTTGAGTGTGAAATGCTAAAGCGTGCTGATTCTTGGAATGTAAAAGCGCAGCTCTCAAATGCAGTGCAATTATATCGTCCCAAGGCTGCATGCAACTACTGCACGCATTTTCAATCGTTTCAATCTATTCATTAAAAAGTATAAAGAGCATAAATTGTGCGAATCCAATGAAACGCGACGCGTTATACCGTGGACTTAAGAAATTGTAAAAAAAAAAAAGGTGTATATAATTACATCAATGTTTAGGTCGAATAAGCTTTGGACATGTAAATGCGATAAAGATAAGAGCTGTGAGAGTCGGTGACCGTTTTCGGTGTATATTTGCTGGTTGACACTGTTAAGATATAGCGTGATCGCTCTCATGGTGAGTGTTTGAAAGAAAAAAAGATATTTGTTTCGTCTTCAAGGTGTGTTATATCAAGGAGAGTGATTTTTCTCAGTTCCTAGTAAACTCTTTTACAAGCTCAGAAAGCAATAGCTGAAATTCCCCATTTTGACACTTTTACAATATTTGGAATGTTTTAAAGTACGTACAACTTTCTTTGCAGAGAAAGAAAGGGGTTTCTTTGGTTTGTTTATTATTACTGTACAAGAGCGCTGCATATGTGTGTTGCATGGTTTAAAAATGTGGGTAGGTGGAAAATAAAGGTGACGAAGAAAGAGCATATTGGATGGGGAGAACGTCAAAAATATATGTGGGGATCAAGAGCAGTTTTGATTAAAAGTCCAACGTGCGCTCACTGTCCTTCTTGATGAGCTCCATCATACCGGGTGGCATGATGGGCTTGCGAATCGTCTTCTTCTGACCGTCCTTGGTGGTGACTTCCTTGGTTTCGGCAATGTAGCGGTATGGCAGGTTGACGGATTCGTGTTTCGAGAAGAATACTTCGGGACTATCAATGTAAGGCACCTTATCCAAAGGCACTACAATAACGCATATGACCAGTTGAGTATATTTTGGGATCTGTCTTCTTGCATTAGTTTAGGGAAAAACAATACCTTTATCAACAACGACGCGCTTAGTCACATTAACCGCGGTATCCGTCGACATCTGGATAGGACCCAGATGTCTTCCAGCAAATCCAAGCTTGCGCAATTCCTTGGTGCGATCTATGGATACGCGTCAAACATTGAGTTATCATCCTCCCCATATCTCTCTACTCGTCGCACATCATTTCCCATGCAAATACCATACCTCTTGGTGGGTCGTCACCAAGGATACCACCGAACAAAAAGTACTTGTAAGTATCGGCGTCCTCAGGCTTCAAAGGCTCGGTAGCAGAAGGGTCCAACAAACAAATCTCTTTGGGATCAATGCCGGGCAAGTGCATCGTGTCTTCCTTGTGTAAGTGGGCCTCCTTGAGTTCCTCGGGCATGGTGGCCAAACAAGCATCGGACAAGGACGAAAAGTACATGTTGTCCTTGCCAACAACCATAATCATGTGCTTGTACTCCAACACGCACCATTCGTGCATGCCGTCTTCCATGTGATCCACAATGAATTTTGACATTTTTTTTTTAATATTAGTTCTTTCCCGCGTTTTTGAAAGGTTGGACAAGAGTGGGAAAAAAAAAAGATTTTTTTTTCTTTTTCGGCAGCTTATTGAAAACAGTATCTCCGCTGAGGAAAACGCATGTTAAAACGGGTCCGGGATATGCATCCGAGAGAGCGTAAATCTTTAATTAAGGTGCGCATAGTTACTTTTTTTTTTCTGTCAAGTTATTCTAAAAGCACGTTATCCTCACGAGATATGGAGAGTGAGCGGGAGGAGGAAGGGGGGCTCTCTTAGTACTGCATCAATCAACATGAGGAGATCAACTCGATAGTGGGTTATAATAAGCATGTTAAAATAGGAGCGAGTGGAAGGAAGCCCTCAAGGTTTGGATGATGTGTTATTCGAGTGGTGATGGTTGTGTTACATTGGCCATTTTCTTTGTTCTCGCTCTCTCGCCTTTTTCTTCTTTGTTCCCTTTTTCTTCTTTGTTCCCTTTCTCTTCTTCTCTCTCGTTTCTCCCTTGCCCGTGTTCATACCCTATATATAAAGTCATGCTTTCACGGTCACCACCGTCTCAAGACAGCAGTAACAATACTGGCACGACAACAATGACAACGACAGCAACACCACGTTCACAACCCGTCAGGTACTAGTGCTTCTCTTTCTTTCTAGACCCTACCTATCATGCCCCCCCCCCACACCATATCACTACAGCATCGTTTACTTTCCGTTGACGATATACTATACTCCAACAATGATCAACCAGACGGCGCATGACGGATGATCGGGAACAAGGCGATGAACCAGGACCCAGTCTACCGCGGTCGAGAAGACGTCTCAATAAAGTGCGAGCAGATAATGATATGGAATTGGTGTGCTTTATCTCTTCTTCCTTCCGATAGTAGTAATCATCATTTCCTCGCATGAAACACTAAAAAGAAAGAGTCGCGTTTTTTTTAAATATACATGCAAGGTGTACAACTGTTCACGTCAGGTCAGCGGCACTCTGTCTTCGCATGTCAAACATAATGAGCTACCCACTATTGATACACTCATTGACACCACGAGACGAATGTTGCGTACATTGGACGATGCAAGAGAGCAATGGCTAGAACAGCCAACTTGTACTTCTAAAATAAGCAACTTCTCCAGTTCCTCTTCCTCCACAGCTATTGTTCCTCCCCCTCCGCCTGTTCCTGCTCCAGCTCGTGCACCTACACAAAAACAACGGCAGCAACAACATCAAAAGGAGCCAGCACAACTGTCCAAGCGGTCAAGGGTAAGAAAATCAAATATGAGCGATAGCGGCGGAAAAGATGTAAAGGCATTACATGGTTTTTGACTTTGCATATATTTAAAGGAGCCCTCAATCGATAAGCCAAAACAATGCCATTCTTGCCAAAGGTAAGGAAAAGAACTCATTCTCGCATTTTTTTTTGTTTTTGCGCAACCAAACAAACATGACGAAGGGAGTGAAGAAAAAGTGGGGATGCAAGGTGTGGATAGTGAGAATGAGATTTGCTTATCAAGAAACACGCGTTCATTTACACACAATATGCTGTGCATTAAATAGCACGGAGACACCAGAATGGCGTAAAGGACCCATGGGCCCGCGAACTTTATGTAATGCCTGTGGCCTAAGTAAGTAGGACAAACAATATGCCTCGGGCACTTGAGAATACAAAAAGAAAAGCGGTTTAATCCTAGCGGCTTGATACAGTTTGGGCAAAATTGGCACGTCAACAAGGGCATCCGGAAGCACAAGACGAAATAGACTCCAACAGCAACGAGAATTCTCAAGGTAAAGCAAACCGACATCATAACAAACGCATGTATGGAGTAGTATCAAAGAACTGATGATCTGCTCTCTTCCTTTCCCTGCGGATTAGAACTCCAAACAAGCAGTGATGATGCAGCAGCAAACAAGTATGCCCTTTCATACTTGTTGAGTTGAAGATCTTGAAACGGAAAAGAAGACGAAGAAAAGAACAATGCTTATTTTTGTCATATCCCTCTCCCTCCTTTTTTGTGTATTTTAGCTACTATGATGATGATGAAAATAATATAAAGAGAGATATTACAGAGCACTGTGGTATTGGGCTTGTACACTTCGTTTGATGCGTAACATTTCCTTGAACGTGTCTTCATTACCGTGTTGGACTTCAAAGTCATGCCATGTCTGCCAGTATGTGGGTTGCACCTTGGGATCAAAGAATTGGGAAGCATAGCCGTAAATGGCTCTGGCACGATCAACTTCGCCCAGTTTTCGTTCCAGTTCGGCATACTTGAGACACATGGGGCGAACATCCTTGTCTGGTAGACTTTCGATGGCACGTTCGTAAATTTCACGTGCAGCGACAATGCCAAACGATGCTGTTGCTTTAGCAATATAGTAGTTGAACATCTAGATCAAGTAGTGAAAGAAAAAATATTAGATCAGAAACTGTCCCGTGAAAATTCCATGCGTATCATTTTCTGGTTTCTTCTCCATCAATTCACACACCTCCAAACGATCCTCGTCCGCAACACCTTTGGTAGCTCGATCGTAGATCCGCATGGCATGACGCGCTAAGCCGTGATCTTCTTCCAGCTGACCATACATGAGAAAGATTGACTTTGCGTATTTGGGTGGACACTTGTCAAGTGCTTGTTCGAACAAATCTCTTGCCCGCTCAAGTTTAGTGCCGCCCTAAAGGTTGCATAAATGGAACAAATTAATAAAAATGCTTCTCGACCTTTCTAGTATAAGAAAAGTTAGAGAAACTTACATAGCGCTTCATAAATCGTTGCAGATAGATATTCCACAGTTCGAAAGCAATCGGCCATCCAAAGATTTCAATACCACGTTCATACACTCGGAATGAGTCTTCGAAATAGTTGTTTTCCTCCAAAAATGTACCGTAATTAACCACAATCTGGGGATTGACGATACGCAGGTCCATGATCTTGTCATACACAGCCTTGGTACTCTCGACAGTGCCAACGCTCTCCTCTAAATCGACATAGAATCCCCACAGGGTTAAGCTCTTGAACACACGTGCTTGTACCGGTAGCGTGTCGTCATTAAAGTTGATCATCTTGGGGTTGACACCAGGGATACGCGGCGTTAAAGTAGCACGTGCCATGACATCCAACGCCTGATCAAAGTTATCATGTCGCACCTCCAATTCCGCATACTCGCACCAGACTTCAGCCAAATCATTGACATTCTTGTAATTGACCTTGACGGCCTTATCAAAAATGGCTCTGGCCGAATCCAGATCTCCACCGTCTTCATAGAAGCGTGCAAACTTGATGTAGAGTTGCTGGAACTTGCCATGGACTTTTTTAGGATTGATCGTTTGGACTGCCCGTGTATATGTGTCGACGACTTTTTCCTTATTGTCACCCCACAACATGACACGCTTCTCCCACTCCAATGCATTATTCGGGTTTTGACGTAGTAACACATCATTCACCAAAAACGGACGTCGATCCATCAACCGCTCGAACCGCAATAACCGTAAATCCAAATCCAGATCTTCTTCTGGATCCTTTTCGCCCGACTCTTCACGTTCAGCTGCCATTTCAATCTTTGTCGTGATCATTTCCTCTTCGAATTCGGCATAGGCATCAAAGATGGCTGTGAAATCGCGTACTGTCAGAACCGTCGTGATGCCTTCTTCAAAAATGTCACGTGCTTTTTCGAGTTGGCGCATCTTGATCCAGTACATGGCGAGTCGACAGTAGAGCATGCCAACTTGGTCTGTAAATCGTTTGATACCGCTGCGAATAATCGGTTCGACTTTGACGCTCGTGATATCCCCGCAGTGGTTGACGAGGAGTTCGCACAAGTCTTGCCAGAGCTGATAGTGAGATTTGCCTCGCGCGGATACGAATTTGGAGTTGTTGAGAATCGAGGCGAGTTTGACAGCTGCTTCGTCGTAGCGTTCCAAATCGTTTAAACTGTCGACGTAATTCTCAATATAAGATGGATCGAACTAAATATGATAAAAGAAGAGCATCAAGTTTAGTCATTTCCGTTTCTATCGTTTACGTTGAGTTTGCTTTTTCTTACCTTCAAATACCTTCGAAGAACACGAATGGCAGTTTCGCCACCGGCATCCTTTGCAAACTCAAGGTATAAATCCCAAACGCGAGAGTGTTGAGTTACTGGTAATGCCCGTAAGGCGCGATCAAATGTGCGTCGTGTTCTCGTAACGAAAGGCTGTTGCAACAAGAATTCGCAATAATCTAACCAAATCCGTGGCATCTACGGCCATCAAAGAAAAGAAATACGCGTAGAATGCGTTAGTCTGCTTTTTTTTCATAATAGTTTTCCGTTAAAAGACGTCAATTGAAAAGTCAATCTTACTTTGTTAAGCAGTGCCAATGCGCGTTCATAAAGTTTGTTGATGGCTTCATAGTGAGCTTGATGCTTGACCGGGTTCAGATTGCGTACTTTTCCACGTCGAAGATCCAGATATTTTTTCCAAAGCTTGTATGAGCCAGGAAGTTCCCGAATGGCACGTTCATAAATAAATGATTGCTCTTGAACAGTGCCTGTGCGTTTGTGATCAATGTATCGAAGCCAGCTTCGAAGTGAAAAGGGATTACGGAGCAGTTCCTCTTCGTAAGGAATGTCGAATTGGCTCTTGATGGAATGATAAGAGATTATACAAGTTTTGTTAGAGCCTGATCTTTATTCTGAAATTTATTGCGTCCTGTTGCACTCACGATCGGTAGACTTAGATCTGACATTGGACGGCGGGTTTGTTATGAGGAAAAGAAGGTGTGTGGAAGTCTCCAAGAAAAACGAGCGAACCGGAATTAGGCTACCACTACCCCCTCTGGCACTTTTTAAAAAAGCGCTGCTGAAAAGAAATAATGCGTTTATGTAACAGCAATATCCACCCATAGTGGCTTTGCATTATCATATACATAATTCGTATCTTCCTTCCCAAACATGTATTCCGTCTTACTCAATAAAGATGCATTTCGACTATATAAAGAGTGGTAAAGGTACAGAAACATATATCCATGTCGTGAAAGGAAAAGAGAGCGGTGGGTAAGTGCTACTTTATAATCAGGCTATTATATGTAGGGCAGCAGTTATTGTCGAGCATTCCCATGCCATTGTTGACCGCAATCATATGTGTGTATTATTGGTCTGTATGCGCTCGTGCTTCTGGTAAAAAGTGGGCTTCAAAGAATTGCTCTGGAATAAATTGTTGTAAAAGGAATATGGGCCTTTTGATGAGACTTCAACGCTAAATGTGGCCAGCCACAGTCTATGCGATGGTTACTAGTATGAATTATGTGCAATCGCTCAGTGTTGTCGTAGGTATCGCACATAATACTGGGCCCACTAATCTCCTCATAAAGCATGCAATCGTAACAACCCCGCGCTTATATATTAAGCCATGATGACGAAAACCGTTATGGTATTCATCTGGAGTTGGAGTAAATCAGGAATCATCAGATAGAATGATGATCTATATTAGCAATCCATGAGGGAGTAACTTACTTAAACAGGACAAAAAAAGCATTGAAGAACATGGAGTAAGATGGCAATAAACAGTGAATTTTTATTCGGGAAAAATGGATGATAATAGTTCATAGTGAAAGGCGTGGTTTACTCTAAGCAGGTATGCCACTTGCAAAGAGTAGCATCCGTTTCCAGGATGCGCCAACGAGGAGACGACACACCTTAACATAACATCATCCGACCTCCACCGCACTCTCACCATATGCCGCCATGCGGTTCCTGGACTACAAGTAATATTATCTCAACGGTGGACTGGTACAAGATTATACACATGACGTCACTGCACCTACTTGCGATACTAGCACAGGAGTTTTCTCTGAAAGAGCTTCTATTTCTGTTTAAGAAGAGAGCACTTGCTTTTCGTTCCCACTTCACCTTTTAATTAGCCAACTTTGCTATTCACAGTGACTCGGTGCTGTAGGTTGGATAGTTGATATTGCCGATCTGATCGCAGCAAAACAAATGCAGTTGGAAATAGGTAAAAGGTAAAAGCAACGTACATTCTATTAGCTGCAACCCATTACTTTTAGTACCGTGTTGTTATAGCCTATGCTCTTTGTTAGTCATAACTAGCATTATCATTCAAATGCGTTCCCAAAGTCTGAGTCAACGATGGGTATAAAAAGATACACTGATCACAAATTTACGTGGGTAAAGCTTCTATTTGTTACCTTCTATATATATAGAGTGATGGCTCAAGACCCCACATTACCTGCTACAGGAAGCTAGTGGAGCATCAACATTGTGTGGGAACGAGGGACTCATTGCTGGGTTGATATTCGGCTCGCTACTTAAATGCGGCGTCATCATTTATCTAAATCTATGGTATAAGCTTGAAAGAAATCTTAGGTGATGTGCGACAGTACGACTGGCTCTCGTGCAAAGAAACTTTCGTTGGTAATATGCCTGGTTATCACAGGCAGTATGCATCTTTGGAGAGAGTACAGCGCTTGCTGAACGCTTTGAGAGCACAGAAATACTATCAAATGTTTTGTGTTCAGCCCCGATCAGCTCATACAGCAGCGTTTATTACAATGCGACAGTAAGAGTGCTTTCAGGATTCACCAACATATGTTTGCTCTTTTTAGCTGTACAGATATCCGTATCAATTGCCGGCTTTTGTATTTTGAAGATAGTACGCATAACATGAAAGCCTATCGATGTTTGTCACTAACATTCCCTCTCACTGTATTATTTACTACCACCGCAGATGTCTACATCAGCAAAGCAAAAGCTGGTTTGATACGCGCCTTTGTATATGGATCAGTGTGGATTGAGGCGACGGAAAGTGATGCCACACATCGAGACATACCCCCGAGGCTTATGAATACAACAGCATCGCATGGCATCTATTGACGTCTGCTAATTTTAGTCGAGCAGCATGGGGCGAGTTTCAAAAGTGCGACACACGGCCCTTCATCGTAAGCTATGAGCTTGGCGTATTCACTTGTCCTAGTTTATGAACATTGCTGTTTATGAGATACTCCTTTGAAAAATAGTAGCGGCAAGGACAATCAGCATAAAACACTACTGTATCTAGAGCTCTACTACAACGGTCCAAATGCTGGCCGCCACAGTTAAAATTTCAAGACCAATACCCAATTCGCTTGTTGACGACGACGATATAATAACAATAGTACTACTAAAACAGCAGTGATGCCTGTTCGACTACCGTATGATCTACCAGTAGTGGCATACGGAGAAAATGATATGTGTTATACAAGACATTACTCGCATGATGTTTATATTCGGTTGTTTGAAGCTGGTTATAGGAGGGATGATGCACTTGGAATGGATGGACTGAAGCCGTATCCACTAATTTTTTAATACCAATTTACTAGGCGTCCTTTCATTTGTGAGTTGCTCATATCAATAATGTACGGACACTTTATCATCTGCAAACCAAAATGCCGGTTGTGCTCGCGGAAAACGACTTACCGAATATCATAATAAAGACTTTGGACATAGGCTAGAAAGAGACCGTCGTTGTTAAGCAAGAGTCTCTTTTTTTCTCTAAAAAGAACAATGTTACTCATGTAAGGCACTTCTCGATCTATAGGCTCATGACCAGAATGTTGCATTTTCCTTCAGCACTAAGATATTGAGGTTTGGGGCCCTGAAGCACTCGGCTTCCAGACAAGAATTGAAAATACTCATAATCGCGGCACAAGAGCAAGCTCTTTCCCAGAGCTTCTACCTAAACTGCGACTAGCTTAGACTTTTCAGTGTCCATAGCTACATACTTGGAAAGGTTAGTTTGACTATTTAATTGCTACGTTGATTCATCATGTGTCAATTTCCTACACAAAGATATACTCTTGTTTGAAAGCTCCTGCTCCTCAGCTTTTGATAAGCATAAGGCGGCCATCGGCGACGTTGAACGGAGGTATTCGGTGAAATGATTGCGATCTATCACATCCAAGTAGTTTGCCATACTCGTGGGTGCTTTCCATGAAAGCTTCTAGTGACAAGGTAGAACAATTCTTGTTACCTATAATCGTGATCGACGGACGGTGATTCTATCTTGCTCATAGCTGGAATTCTTGACTTATCGGCCTTGTCACAGCACAAGCTTTAAAGCAGTGATGATCAAGACAACAAAGCATTACGTAGCCGGTACACTCATTTTTAGTCATGGGAATATCAGTCAACTCATAGACTACATCGTCACTAGATAAAATGTCACATCCGGCCTGGACTTGGTTTGCACAACTGCTTTCCCTCAGCCACAAAGACCACAGCATCTGAGAGTTACAATTTGTTGTTTGTTCTTTTCTATAGATATGAACGGTAATCTAAGAGCTGGGATAGCAGCAGTAGTAGTGGATGGAATTAAAGAAAGGGATAGGCTTGACGCAGCAGTGAGCTTGGCAGGGAATCCGTGGGTCTTTGAGGACGAGCTCAAGCAATAAGTCTTCCCAAGAAAGAGTATGAATAGCTGGTACAACTTAACATAAAATACTAGTAGTAACATGGACCAAGAGAAATCATAACATATGCCCTATGTGATTCATAAAAGCATGCTGACGAACTGGCGAATTTCGAATCTTTTAACAATAGATTCAAAAATGCGTCATTAACATCCTAAGTTTCCAATGTTCCACTTCTATAATACATACTTACAATCAGCCTGCTATTGACAATACACTACCAACAGCAGATTAACTTGCAGAGTGTGGTACATTCGTGATAATAAACAAGCTCATGAGAGGTTTACTAAGTATAGCTGGACTTTCCTTTAAACCGCTTCTTGCAGTCATTCACAACTTGCTCAACTCATGTCTCAATTTAATTGCTAATCACAAATTACAAGCATTTTTGGCTGCATAATGTAGCTGCTGTTACTCAAAAGCAGTGATGCCTAGGGATTCGTATTAGAACCGTAGAACCGGAACCGAACTGAACTGAAACTGAGAAAATACGGTTCGGTTCCTACCAAGAACCGAACCGGAACCGAACCGGTTTTGTATACATAGAACCGAAGAACCGAGAGGCAGAAGATTGCATTTAGCAATTTTGGTAATTAGTATAAAGTAGGCTATAATGGAAGTTACGAACAGTATTATCCCGAAAAGACTAAGAAGTAGTGTACTTGCAAGCCATACTTTATTTAGAAACTCAACAAAACCTGCAAAAGCAGAAGGGAGGGAAAAATAATAAAGAAGAGAAGAACAAAAAAAACACTTCTTCTGACAGCAGCTTGCTTTCTCCACCCATAACGCACATCATTACTTGTTCCTCGACTTTGCTACCTACAATGCATTTTTTCCATGACGTACTACATTACTAGATTCAGCATGGCTTCTCAATCAGTTTTATCAAGTTTGTGCATTCTGTCTGAGATTGTGCATCCTGGGCCCATAACAGAATTATCTTACCCATTCACCCTTGCCTTTTATGAGACACTATACACGCGTAGAGACACAGTAGCTGTGTGTACTGCTGGTTGTGGTTTGATTCCTCCAATGTTACGATAACGTATTGTACTAATATTACTACATCGCTCTAAGTACTATAAGCTCCACTTTTTTTTGTAAAAACTGTGCTTTAATCTTTTAACCATATAATGATATTGTATAAAAAATGTTTACATTCTGTTTCTCTTATTCAATTTGAAATCGCTGCTCAATGTACAATAATAAACTATTTTTATTTACTACAATATTCAAGTATACCGCGATATTTGAACACACATACATCAGCTTTCATTCAAAGATACCGGATTTTGCCTTTTTATATATATGACGGGCTCGGTTCTACGGTTCTACGGTTCTCATCGGTTCTAGTCGGTTCGGTTTTTGCTTTGGACGGTTCGCTTCAGTTCCCTTTAAGAATCGAACCGAACCGAACTGTGTGGATCCCTAGTGATGCCTAAAAATATTTAAGTTGATTATTTAATAATTTAAATTGAATTTATCTCATAGTTAATATACAAAGCTTTTATATTTTTATATTCTCTATTAGCTAAAAATTGTGTACTTATATCATAAAAGTTACATTACAAAAAAGAACAAGAAGAACAAGTATTGATGAGCGATGATTGTAGTATGTAGTAGTCTATATATAATGCTATATGTACAGTTACAAGATTGTAAATTCAACAACATGATTTCTTGGTGTAGTTGGTTATCACGTCTGTCTAACACACAGACGGTCGGCGGTTCGAGTCCGCCAGAAATCATCAATACAACCTGGAAACAGGTTGAAATCATTTTTGTGTTTATGCACAATATAATTTTTGGCCTTTTTTTATGCGTTTTTTAATCACTTTCTTATTACATTATGTAGTACTTTCTATCGATTTTTATAGAGAAGAAGGAGATACTATCGTAAAAACGAAGTTATGGAGAGAAAACATTGTAAGTTTTTTGATGGTGCTTATTCTATGCGGGTAACAGTTGTAGTTAACAACCGCATTTCTAAGTTGATGATTTATATGGGAAGCTATAAGTACAAAGACGTAGTAGCAGCGGTACTGACTATAGTCACACTACACATTATGCTGAAGCATGTATATCTCGGAAAGGGTAAAATAACAAGATGCAACTAGTTTATAATGACTTCAATAGTGTTGCTTTTGTACTTGTCGTAAAGCAGAAAGGGTATCATTCATACTATCCGTCCCCTACTAGTTGATGAAAGTAAGATCACAACTACTTGATGTGTACGTGTTCGATAGAGCGGTACGTGAGTGGAGCTCAAGTATCAAGACTTTATTTGGATGACAATAACGATTTGACGAAACATGAATTGAGAGCTAACCAGACATTCCTCAAGCCAATAACCGCAAATACAATAGTAAGCCCAAATAAAATATTAATTATTCTTCGTGCTACCTTTGAAGAGAGGGGAAAGAAAAAGAAACACGCCATGTAATCTCTGTATTGTTTCCCATGAGTTTGGCTTATTTCACCTGCAACTTCTTTGTTTGCTGCTCTCGCTATTTGAAGCTTATGAGCTAATGATCCAAATACCTGTTGATCTGTTTCGTTGCTCGAACAATAGCGCTTGTAATTTCGCTTCTATGAAACATTGTCATCTAGCGGCCAATTGACCGATCTCAGTTATTATAGAATAGCTTCGAGTCAAAGCTATATAAAAATGATGACGCAAAGCGAAAGGAACGTCTTGCTCATAGCATATCCAGCGAATATAAATCTTCTGAGATGTATCCAAGCATATACAGGCTACACAAGGGATATATTACTTGTCGCTAAGGTTACTAATCGCATTGCGTGCATCTTCGGGATCATGATATACAACGCACAGTAGCACTATCATGTTTATTGCGGTCCCGAAAGAAGTTATATGAACGGAGGGAAACGTGTGCAATACAACATTTCTTGTGTACGTCATTCATCTATATTAGGGCAATACTTCTACAATTAGTACAGCTTTCTTTTTTATCTGTGAGAGTGTTTAATAAACATATTTCAGAATCCATGAAAGCAGTAACACGTGCTTTCTTATTTTTAAAAACAGTTGCACATCATTCAAAGTGTAAGAAAGCCAAGATTTATTTGATAGAGGGTCAAACTTACTGGATGGTCATGAGAGTTGAAATTTACAACTTGATGGACATAAGTGTCAGAATTCATCCTACGAAATTATTGGGTTGGATCTAAAGTGGTAGATAAAACTCCCATCTCCACGCGTTTAATCGTATTCCTTATACCCACGGGAGGTATACGGATGTCATACTAGCTCTGAGGTGGCTTGCGGTTTGGTCTTAATATGCCATCGGCACTGTTCACGTTATCGGTGGTCGTATATAATCCTATTCCCTGGCCCGGCAGCGGTCTGGAAGCAAGCGTTACAGTATATGTATGACAGATAATAATATCACCGCTATCAGGAAACCGAAACATGCATGTAGTGCTGTAACGATGTCAATTTTTAAGCAGCACTGCAAATACAACGGTAAGTGGGAATGGCACCAGTATATCAAACCAATAGACTTTGCAAGGTAATGGATACCGAAAAGGAAGATACTTGATAAAAAAATTATTTCTAAGCGTGATCGACATTACGACGACGTCATACTGCTGTAGCATGTGCTACACCTGTTCTTTATGCGTCTATAAATATGATTGCAGCACACTTTTAATGTAATGGCTTATTATAATACTTTTAATTGAGAGAATAATCTTCAGCTTTGTGATAGTAATCCTTTAATTTGTGAAAAAAAAGGGAAATTAAAGGGATGGACTGGTAATTCCTTTGATGAGTAGATTCTAAACTAGAGAAAATAAAGCTCTTATTCAAAAGTATTTGTGTAAATGACTTCGGATTGCTTGAAGCCATTGAACTTGGAAGCGGCACAAATGGTATATGCGCCCATGTTCTCCCAGTAGATCCAGTCACCATCATCCAATACGGGCAACTTGGCCTCCTTGGCAAGACAATCGATCGAGTCACATGTAGGGCCCCAGATGCTGCTGGTGAATGTGGGTCCTTTATCATCCTCCACCTTCACGTTGTTTTTCTCTTCATTATCAAGGGCCAATTTGCCACCTCGCGTCAAAACCTGTGGGTACACCTCTTGATGGTCAAATAAGATGCAGTTGAACGAGCCGTACATGCCATCATTGACATAATCTAATCAACATTGTGTTACACACATATATAAGTATCACAAATTTGGTGTACAAACTAGAAATTAAATAAAGCAATTGCTTACACATATACTGCGTCTCATTTTCAGCAACAACGGTACGGCGACCAATAACATGAGTGCAGACAGTAAACGCTGAAGCTACATAGTAGCGACCTGGCTCGGCGATGACCTGTGGGAAGCAAAAACCTAAATTTAGAGGGTCGGGTGTATGCAAAACAGGGCGATAATGTATACATTTGGACAACAACACGTACACGAACTTCAGGCGGAAACAAGGCATCCACAGCAGGACCCAAGACAGCAGCGACCTTTTCGAACGTTATACCCTCCTTGACATTGTTCGAAGGGAATCCGCCACCAACATCGAGGATGGAGAAAGCCGGAAGACCAACTTTCTCGGCTTGATCAAACACACGACGTGCACGGACCACCGCATCCGCAAATGCATTCTCATCGTAGCAGCCACTGCCCACATGGAAGCTAAAAAAACGGATGCGTGAGTGAGATATATATATATATATATATATATATATGTATATGTATCGCATGATTCAATATCACCCAGAAAGAAGGAAGAAAACCACATGACTGGCATTGCATGAGTGGATTAATCACGACAAAAAAATTAAGTTCTTTACCTGACACCAACAACATTGAGATTCAAGTCCTTTGCAGTCTGCAACAAGTCCTCAGTCAAGTCCAAAGGAGCACCAAACTTAAGCCCGAGCTGGCAAAGCGACTTTGAATCATCAGTCAGGATACGCAGCAGCAATTCGGCGTCAGGGTACAGTTTCTTAATCTTGTACAGCTCCTCGGCATTATCGAACGTCATTCGAGCAACGTTGTGTTGCGCAGCAAAGCGGATGAACGAGGCTTGCTTGCAAGGATTGGCGTAGATGATGCGCGAAGGTTCGACGCCCACGTTCAAGACCTGTTGGATTTCGGACTTGCTGGCGCAATCAAAGCCAATACCCAACGACGCCAAAAGCTTGACAACCATCGGATCGGGGTTGGACTTGACGGCTATTGCGTTTTAAGGAGAAGGAGAAAGAACAAACAGTTTAGCGCCAATGCAGTCGTAAGGGAGAAAGCTTTTTTTTTCTGTGTCTTACCGAAAAAGGGCTCAATTCGTGGCAGCAACGCCTTCCAACGCAAATGCTGGCGATACACTTCACCCAGATCGCCTACGAAAAACGCATTTTCTTGATCGAGTTCCCATTTCTGGACAGACATCGCGTCGAGCTTGTCCTTGATGACTTCTTTGACGCTGCGCGTGTACACGGGCTTGTCTTGCATGGGTTGTTTGTCGAACAACTTGGTTTGGGGTGCTTGGTCAAGCAAAACAGCGGTTTCCAACTCGGTGTGCATCGGTGGCAGTAGTATATATATGTGCTTGTGTTGTAGGTGAAAGAAAAAGGTGTGCAGGTTCTTTTTGGAAGAAGAATAAAGGTGAGGATGTATAAGGCTTCAGGAATAGCAGAATATGATAGTTAGAGAGGAAAATTAAAGGGGCCCCGTGTAGTGGAGATGGGTAGATGTTGGAGAGAGAGGATAGTAAGAAAACAGTTAAGAACGATAAATGAGATTCTCCTTTTTTAAATCAGCAGAGTCTCAGGCAAGCCAAGGAGGAAAGCCCCGCCGGTTGTATAAGCTGAAAACAAGTCTGGTTTCTGAAGTCGTGATGGGCGACAACGGGTCTGACTAGGGACAGCCCGCGAGAAGCGAAAAATAAGAGTAAAGCCGAAGGTGGTAGATTAACTGAATGTACTCAAAGAAATGTAGTACTCCAGCAATTAATAAAGATAAGTGGATGGGTTAGGGTTATTTAGTTAAAAAAAAGGGTAAAGCGTAGTGCAGATGTGTGCGAGAGAGATGCAGTGATTGCGAAAAGTAAAGAAGAAAAAACGAGAATCGTTAGTGTCGTTTCAATTTGAGAGGAGTTATTTTTAGATGTGGATTGTAAACATCGCAAAACGTGACTACGTTTTTACTACATTGCGCAGTGTACCAAAAAAAAAAAACGGGAATTGGCTCGAAATGCCTCAATAAGTAAAGTAAGAGAGAGTAAATTAAATAGTCTATTAATGCGTTCTTTAATGTCGTCTAGTAAGCAGTTTTTCCGTCAGTTGTATTAAAGCTGACCGAGCATCTGAAGGAGGAAGCTTCTTGATGGCGTCAATGGCCGTATTGCAGTGTTCTTCGGCCAATGCCAGTGTCTTTTTTAAGCCGTCGCTTTGGTATACTAATAATCTCGCCTAACAAGCATCAAAAAAACCCCGTTAATTCGTTATTATTAAAGATCCTTTTGCTTTCCCCTCTCCTTTTCCCCAATTGATCCTAGAGCAGGCAGTACCTTTTCCACATCGCCTTCGTTAGCAAATTTCCGCTTGATCAAAGGCTCTAGTTCAGGGAATTCTTCCCATGCGAAGAGCACAGGAGCAGTCGCCAATCCCAGCTTGAGATCTGCTCCCGCCGGCTTGCCTAGATCTGCAGCAGTAACAGTAAAATCGAGCATATCATCGACCAGCTAATATAACTCAATTAGTAAAATCCCTACAAGTAAGTAAATGCAACACATCCATTCACACAGTCACACACACACATATAATTATCGTAAATACAGCGATCGATCTAACGATGATCACCCACTGTTAAATAGCTCACTACTACTGCTACTATCCAAGAAGACCAAACCAAACCAACGCACCTGGAATGCAAGGCCGAGATTCCGACCGAATTTAAAAGCAATATCTGCCACTTCAGGTGTACAATCGGCCAGCACTGCAGACGATTTACAACTCTGTGCAATCAAACTACCCGTCTTCATGTATGTCTTTTCGATATAATAATCAAATGTCGTCTTGGCTTTGCCATCCTGATCTCGCGTGTTCTTGAGCTGCATGAATTCACCCTCGACAAGGTTTGCGAGACACGTTGCCATCAGTTCAATGCATTCTGCGTTGCGTAACCGGGCCAAAGCCAAGGATGCTCTGGCGAGTAAGAAGTCACCCGCCAAGACAGCCATCTTGTTACCAAAACTGGCATTGGCTGACGGCAGGTTTCGGCGAGTTGCAGAGGCATCAATCACATCGTCATGGAGTAACGACGCGGTGTGGATCATTTCTGAAATCTCGGCCAAACGTCGCTGTGTAGGCAAGATTGTGCAGCCTTGGTGTGTGATCGATGGAGTATAATGGGTTTGTTGGTCGAATACGTCCTTTTCCAGGATGTTTTGCAAGCCATTCGAGATGGGAGTATCAATCGATCGAAAGTTGTGCATTATTTTTGTTGAGTTTTCGTCGTTATCGTTATTATTATCGCTTGCTGATGATAATGGTGCTGATGATGATGAAAGGGCTGTGTTGCTTGTCTTTTTAGGTGCTATGCTGGTCGCTTGTGCAATCAAAAGTACCAACAGCGGACGAATATGCTTGCCGTCTGCACTGAAATAGTGCTTCGCGACCGTGTTGAGTGAAGGGTGTCCACTACCCAAAAGTTTTGCAATGTTGCCCTTGATATCCCATAGATCGCGTCCAACAAGTTTGGTCGGGTCAATGATAGGTTGTGGTTCAAGTTTTTCGACATCGTCCTTGACTAGACTTTGGGCTTCGCGTACGGCTTGATTCCAAGTGGCTGCTTCGCCAGTGAAGGGTACCGAAGAGGAGCTATCGTTGTTAGCAGTAGCTGACCGGAGAGGCATGACTGTGGATCGCAGTGTGCTGTTGATACCTTCGGCGATCTTGCTTAATGGCGACTCGTCGACTTGTTTTGTTGCTGCTGTTGCTTCTGCTGCTGCTTTACTGTATGTGCGCGTCGACGTTGTTCGAAAGCTGGCTGCACAAGATATGCGTAGCCTGGCCGCAGTGGTACGGGTGGGCCGTGTCGATGCTCGAGTAATCGCCGGTATCATTGTCTTTGTGTGTCTTGAATTGAGAGGGGCGTCTTATGTTGAATAAGTTATATTTTTTTTTGTTGATACGAATAAGAAAGACTCGGGCCATTTTTGTTCCCGCTGGCCCCCATCCCCTCTTGCACCCCTTCCACACAACATTTTCGAGATTTTCGTGGCTGAGACGCAAATATCAATATGCGTCAAGTTGCTTCTTCCGACTCCACGTTCTCGTTTTGTCATGCTCACACTCTCTGGGCTGTCAAGCAACAGCCAGCGTTTATCTTAATCTTCACTATCAGCAGCGAGCCTAGCAGCTCAAAATGTCTTAGCTACATATCACTTATCCGCTTATTGACAAATCTTATTCGTACACTGCAATTTGAAAACAGCAGCAACAGTTGTCCAAAGAAACATTATCTGAAACTGATTGATTTGATATTGGCACGTGCGAGCGCGATTTCCTCGCTTCAAACGCAGGGGGTGGTGAGGGATTGGGAAGAGAACATTCACGTAACCCGTGACGAGCCCTCATGCCGTATGCTGCAGAGTAAGGTTTTTATGACAATTATCATAAAAGCGGTAATAAAGCAGTCATTACAATTTACCCGGTTCTTAGTCTTAAAGTAAATATAAGTTTAGTCTCTTTAGTACGGCTCAAGCTACGAATCAATGGTTTAATAATAATCGCAAGGCTGGATAGCTACGGATGATGTACTCACCACTACAGTTCCACGTAGTGCTATAATGCACCAGCTCTTGGATATATCAGAAACGGCCAAAAAAAAGCAAAAACCACCATTGCACTTAATGACCATCATGGTCTGGTCAGTTTGTCGGATTTTTTGTCAAGTAGTTTAGAGAGTGAGAGAGAGCGAGGTCTCGCCAGCTAAAACAACAAGGTAATAGCTGCAAACTTTTTTTCACTGCTTTACCATTTTTGAACCTGAGGTCTGGTAGCATCTTGTAATCACCGTCGAAAATGTTCTTTTTCCACCGAATAATACAATCCAGAACAAAAGAAAGACTTGTCTTAAAACCAGCTTGTTACTGAGCACACACCGTTGAGGTGTGCTCGTAAAAAAATTGAGATAGCTCTGCTTAAATGTGAGTCTGTCCCGTGGAAGAAGTACCTTAGAAAGAAGGAAAATGGCTTTTTTGTTATACACTCAGCATCTACCAATAGGTACATTGTCAGAGGACACTGGGATCCCTTCCTGCAGTAAAAGCTTATACCCGGGTAGTAATCGGATGTTATTTTATGACAACCGACACAAAAGCAGGCCTTGCTGAATATTTCGTTGCTCTCTATGCTATAATAAAGGCCACAATTACAACACACAACCGCTATTCCACAGGATATGAAGCGGCTTTGGTCCAGTGACTTATATGATGCATCGCAAAGTGGAATCAACATTCGACATCAAACAATAGCATCGGCAACAGCAACAATAATACCGGCACTATTTCTATTTGCTTCCAGAAGGATACATACCATTATGCAGTCCCATACTGACTGCGAGTGAAGAAGCTCTCGAAGGCAACGATACCATAAACAAGATCGATATCTGTTAGCCCTTAACAACGCACATAAATTTCGGACGACCACCACCATCTTAAGCGTCCACAGTATCCTGACCAACGTAGCAACAGCAATAGCAATGGCATCATCAGCGCCATCATCATCTTGATGCTCGTTTAATCTTAACTTTGATATAGCAAGTCGGGATATGTAACTTATGCTGAAAAGCAATATGAATAGTAGCTAGTATATTGGGAAGGAGGGGCACAGCTGAAAAATAAACACACGAGTATATGTATATTATTATGATTAGCATTACAAAAACTCATGTTACTCATGTGTAAATGGTTAATGAAATGGTGTATGGGCTATTGACATATGAAGCATCACGCCGAAGAAAAGATGATTGCGGATACTAGGTTTGAGATTGTTTTCAGATAAAGATCGCGTTCAACAAGAACCTGTTCATTATTAGACAATGGCGAATATTGTATACAGTGGATGAGTATCTACTAACCAGATATCTTCTGACTCAATAAGAGTGTCGAAAATTTAAAAGAAAAAAACGATATTGATAGAATAGATGGGGGTATATTACTAAATAAAAAGTAGGTATAGCTCATACAGAGTGTGGTGATACAGATATGTAAACAGCTAGAGCGTGATCATCGATAAAGTATCTATATAATATATGCCTATCTAGCCAGTCCTCGTATTCGAGAGTGCCGTCGCCGATGTTTAAAGCCCTTTTACGGCACGCATGTATAGTGTTGAATGATTGTGACGCATCCAGCACCAAACACCTCGTAAGCTTAATCCAGAACGCACTGCCACATCTTCTGGACTTTTTAGAGTCCAATAGGTTTTGTTCAGGTCTCAGCAACATCATCCACTTCCTCCTGCTCACACATCATCTCATTCAATACAGCCTTTGCGGATATAAATACTACAGCATTGGCTAATCATATTGGTCTAGACAGCTATAGTTGTAATGTATACTCACCAGATTACTGCTTAATTTTCAAGCAGTCTTTTTCTTTGACAGCAATACTGACGGCGGCGTCATGCCATTTTAGTCTCGGAATACCGCCAGAATCGCGTCCGCATCACACTTGAACCACGTCGCCAACTCTGCACTTTCCTTCTTCTACATAATTGTTCAGCTCTTTTAGTAGCACGTGGGACTTCAATGCTCTAATTGGATACCTTCACGCAGTACATGTTGAATTCGTCCGCAACGCGAGCCACACAAAGAACCATTCGTCGCATTTTATGCAACAAACTGCTCAGAACTATATAAGTAGGTTCTCTCAGATAACTTCGGTCAGTAGTTCTTTTTCACTCTCTTTCTTCCCATTAAATAAAGAATGTCATAGTTTTACCTTTCTTCTTTTTGTTTAATTCGACACGTCACTACGCTGTTAGCAGATGCTGCTATCACTGTCATTAGATCTGAAGTAGGTGTGTACGCTTAGTTGTGAACGTACCGATCGCACTGACAACGATTTACTTTTCGCTTCTTCACTTACGTGAGTAGCTGAGAAGTACAAGCACTTTACAGGGTGGGATATAGCTCACTAGATACTTCGCTACTCTCAAAAGGATAAATGAAGTATTTTTTCGATATGCTGGCGCTTGTTAAACACATACCACGTAAATCTTAATGCTATTATAGTATCTGTGATGTTCAACAACAGGAAGGGACCAGAAGCATTTGAGATTGCTTTTTAATTCTATAAGAATGAATGATTTATCCTTCACTTGTTTTCTACAGCTATTTATACACGACTAGGATCTGTGACGATGAAAAGAAAAACCAGATAAATGATAGATCCGTTCAGCAATCTGACCAGTACATGTTGACACTGATTTCTAATCGAAACCACTGTAAGTCAGCTACGACAAAATCAGATCCTTTAGTTGAGGTCTTCATCAATAACAATATATGCATTATACCAACTTTTTTTTAGTGCTGATAAAACGGGCAACTATTCTTGAACGTGTATTGCCGCATACAATCAATCAATAGTTCCTCGTTCGATTTCCCGGATTCTGGCGGAGAAGGTCTGTACGTAATTTATATGATCATACTATTACATATTCTCCTCTGCAGCCTCTTACTTTCCTGTGGATCTTTCTGACTCCTTGGGGACGCGAGAAGTAAGTGACGACACTAGATACTTTGTGTAACAAGCATATGAAAAATGATTTGGCAAAAGAAGTAAAGAAAAGCTAATTGAGAAAAAAACTTAGTACGAGAGCATGAATTCCTTAAGTTCATGTGCTGCTAGCTGTACCGGGGCGTGCGAAACAGGTACGACAACAAATACATTGTTTGCACATACATTCGAGCAAATACTATCAAGCACAGTTCTTATATAGTACCATTCAATACTTTTCTTTACTAATTAGAAAATAGGCAGCGTCCCTGCAAACATAGACGGCGATTTATAGGTGTACCAAAATAGGTGAGATACTCCTTTTTATCTTTCCTGTTGTAATTTGGAGTCCAGAGTCCAGATATAAGCCGTGACATAAAATCAATTTCGCGTTAGCACTTCTGCAGCACAACTGTTTTCTTTACTTTTCAAAATCCTATGTCAACAAGCAACGATCGTAGCAGCAATCTCCATAACAACAATATCTTCACAACATCAGTATTTTCATAAAAGCAATCTCCAAAACAACAGTATCTTCACAACATCAATATCTTCATAAAAATAATATCCATAACAACCCTCAGACCTGACCCTACGATTTTCGTACTAAACATTACAAGACTTGGTTGGCTCTCACTCTCTCCCTTACCACAAGCATGTATTCATGTGATAACAACAGAATCAGGAATGTCAGAGAGGCCGATGTCATGTACAACCATTGGGAATTCTAGGGAAAAGTGTTCTGGGGGCACAAACATCAAGGCACATAGGTAATTTATATTTTTTGTTTTTGTAACTGAAAATTTCTGATAGAATAGTATAGTGACTAAAAGAAAACTTTATGTAAACAGAAAAGAACTGGGCAGCAAAGCGAATTCCAAGGCCCAAAACTTCAAAAGAAAGTTATCAGCGATTGAACATGTGGAAAACATTAAGACAGCGAGAAAGATGGACATGATCTTTGCAAGTGGCGAAGTTGAATACAGACCTTTGGAGATTGGTCAAAAATTTGACCTGACAAAGGAATTGCGAGACAGTCGTCTCAAATTGCCTATCGTCATGAAGGACCAGCTTTTATCTATTTATCATACGGCACCCAAGCTCCTTCACAACATTCGAATTCTGGGTTACTATATCAATGGTATATCATTTACACCAGAAAAAGAGATTGTATGTTGATGTTTGATGTATACTATAATGCTTGTCGAAGTAATGTCTGTACAGTGTGTTTATAGGTTCCTCTTTTGAGCTCATAGAAGTCCCAAATGGTATTAATTAAGAGGAGTAATCCTTAACTATTAATAATTCTCTAATATAGTTAACTTTGCAAAAATTATATTATAAAAATTATATAAAATTGATGTTTCTTACATTTAATATGTCTTTTATAAATAATATATATAAAAGAAATAATAAAAGTAGCTTAATCTATCTATAGATATATATTTATAGAGAAAATAATAAAATTATCTAAATATTTATTATTTAGAATAATTTATTAATTTTTGATAATTAGCTTTTTAAAGATTAATGATTGAAAAAGATGAAACATACAAATGTTATATCTAATGATTAAATGATCCCCCCAGAATAGTAATGAAGAGGACATTAAATTACAGTAGTAACTTGCTCTACCCTCTAAAGTTGTAAGTTGTAAACTTACAACACAACTCTTTTGTGGTTCTTTTTCTCTAGAGAAATAGGTTTTTGAGATGCGATAAAAATCTTTTGTAATTTCAACATGTGTATCTTATTATAGATAAATCTTTTAAATGTAATTCTTTCAATGACCTATTAATAATGATAATTCTTCCAAGTACCACTGGCTACCTGATGAACAATCCTGCTTAGTGCATCGCCAGTTTTTTTTTGCATGATGATGGACTTGACGACGCACCCAAAGGATATGTCACCTGTATACGTCGCACCAAAGTGCTCAATTTTCCGTCATCAGAACTTGACTTTGCCTCTCGCATGTCGTCCTTACTCCAATTGGCCACACTTGGTAAAGCGATTGTAGAAGAAACCGAGAAACTTTACAGCGAATACACGCCTACAGTGCAGTCATGGATTCAAGCAAAAGAGGATTTCCCGCCATGTTACCCAATCGACTGTCCAACAAGCTCAGCATCAACATCAAAATCTCCTAAATCGTCATCCTCAAACAAGAAACAAAAGTCACAATAACTCTCTATATACCCTCAATACAATTTTCGTTGCTTTTCACTATGTACATTCTCTATTCTATGTTATTCATATGCAAAAATCTCTTTTACTTCAGTCACTCAAAATACCGTTCATCTTCTCATCGACACACATCCCTCGCATACCCTTAGTTTTGAATCAAAGTTATCAATACATTTCTTCTTTTTTTTTTACCGTACTAGTAATCGATACATTGCGTTAAACTGTAACACCCCTGGTTAGCGAATATCACAGATATGTGGATGTTTAATGGTAGCTACATGTACGATTTACATATAGTGATTATTACTTGTGTGAATTTAAGGCGCACATGAAGATATCGTACGCTTCAGGATGATGACTAATTCCGCAGTTCTGCTACTTTATAATTTGTTTAAATCCAAGAGAGAAAGGCAGCTTATTAGGCGGACAAAAACAATGACGCATGAATGGCGATCACCATAAACGAAGGGCACACAGCTTATTGGTGAGGGTCAGTCCGTTGGACGAGCTTGCTTCTTGCTGGGTTTGCTGATCATATCTTGTTATCACCTAGGGGCTAGTATTCTCAACTTACTGGCATATTTGAGCTACCAAGCAGCGGTATGCTTATATCAAATGACCAATGTCTGCACCTCATACCTAAAGTCAAGCATAAACACAATTGCGTGAGCCTCCTCTCCTCGAATCAGGGGGGTGTGGAAATAATGTCAGCATTATATCAAGTTCTGTATACTCGCATACTCCATGTGCGTATACTGTAGTGCGCACTGTGCCCGACCTCTTATTAGCTCGCCCTTTTTTCGATTATAAGGTACTGCTGCGCAGAATATTAAGCTACAGTCCTCAATTCCCGGTCCATTCTTCGTTAGCCGATGTCCTCTCTTGTTGAAACATCGAACAAGGAGGAATCACCTCCTGTACCTGCAGGTGTTCAAAACATTCCTGGTATAAATGTAGCAAAAGAGGGATTTATTGAGCTAGTATTTATATAACTAGTAGTGATGTATAACTGCAACTATTAAATTAGTTGCAACAACAGCAGACTGTCATCATATAGCATTTTTATGCGTGTTATTTTTAACTCACTGTTTGCATAAAGAACATCGATCCCTCGCCTCAATCTAACGAACTGCAAAGTGACGGCTTGACCATTTTATCCTAAAATCTGTATTTATAATGACAATTATGGCTCGTAATGTGGAAGTACTACATTCGAAGAATAGTAATTATTCACAGAAAGTAAGCTTATATTATGGCTATTCACGATAGAAATGCATCATAAAGTCTCCCACCAAAAATATATCGAGCAACACAACAATTCCATTTTTGCTATCTATCTATCGACGGAGTAGCTAGTTGTTATTACGTGCAAGTATTTTTTTCTGGAACAATAGGCCTACTAGCTACGATCGCCCAAACGCGTGATACCCGTGTTGGCCAGATACTGAAGATTAGCTGCATAAATCACCGCGCGTGTAGCGCGCGCGCGTCTCAATTTCCTGCTTATTTCAAATATCACCTTTCTCTCTCTCGCTTTCTGTATAATTATCCGCGCAGCAACTTTACGAATGTCAGACGTGGATCCAAATGAAGCATCAACTGTCCCTTACGACATTAACAGTCTGGGATCATTTTCCCTCTATGAAGAATACGAAAAATCTCCTTCCAAAGAAGCCGATGAGCTCGATGCACGCGACGACGAGGGAGACGGCGAAAGCAGTATAGCCAACAGAGGCCAAGACAGTACTGCTAACGCTAATGACCACATCAATAGTAGTAGCAATAGCAACAACAACAACAACAACAACGAAGGCGACGATAATGCTGGCAGAAATGACAGCCCTGGCAGCATATCTAACAGTAATGAACAATTGATCACCAACAGTAATGAAACCAGCAACACAGTTACCTTGATTACAGAATCGTACCAAGGAAGTCAAGCGAGCTCTGTCGAAAGACAACACAATGAAGTTCTTGATGAACGCTACCATGAATCACAAGACTCGGTTGCACCGCCACCGACGAAAGTTCTTCGGCAAAAACGTAACATGATGATTAGCAGCTCTGCACCAGAAGCTTCTTATTCTTCTTCACCTGCGAAACGAACAAAGTATTCTCTGCCGAGGACAACGAGTGATATTACGGACGATCCCGAGTTAAAAGCTCAGATAGTGGAAAAAAAAGACGAGGAGGGACGTGTGATAGGTAAAGCATCATAGAATGCAGGAAGCAAAGACTGAACCACTACCAGATTGTGTGTACACATTATATTCGTTGATTACTTTCAAGTAAACACCTCGCTAACTGAAAAGACCAACCAATCTCTTCTTTATGCGTGTATATAAACAAAAGTGCAAAAGCCGCCCACCCGCCCAGTGACGTTTGCGGGAAATTTGAGGTCAACACTGAGAAGGCTTACACCTGCTGCTACTTCTGATCGCGAACGACCGAGTGATATAAATATCGAAACAACAGACGCGAGGATTCTTATGCCACCACCAATTGCCGAGGAGACCCTCAGAAAGAGAATGCTTGCAACGTCATCCAGCAGCAGTATGGACAGCAATGTAGCATCAGGTAGCTCTAACTCAATATCTGGAAAAAACCACGATCGTGGCGGCTCTCATTTAGCCGCTGCTCCTGGATCGCCCACACCAATACATATATCCCAAAGCCAAGTGGATGCATGTATTGCTCTTATGCCGGATCTGGCGCCGTTTCGACGACCCAGCTCTAGTAATAACAATGAAGAATACCCAACTTCAGACCCTGAGAACGACGCTTTTTTTGAAGCGAATTGGCTCCGTCAAAGTAATCGTGATAAAACAGAAGGAGAGGACGAGGAACAACAGTTAGAGGGCAGCAGGGAAGATATTTCAGGATCGAATCGAGAGGCAGAGGAACAACAGGTAGAGCCGTAAGATAAAGAAAGCAGTGAGATTTGCGAGTTGGCAAGGATAAAAGTGTAAAGTTTCCGAATGTCCCTTTTGACATTTATTTTTCTTCTCTGGTTGATAGACTGCTGACACTAATTCACCGATTCGTATACCGACTGAAACGACGACAGCAGAGAAAAATGATGTACAAGCAGCAGAACAGCAAGAGATTGATGAAGGAGAGAATTCGAAGGGCGGTGGGTCAAAGAAGGGGAAGAAGAAAACAACGACCGCTGCTGCTAGTAGGCGGACGAGAACTCCAACAACTGGAGAGCAACAAAAACCATCAAAGTCAGCGTCAACCACACGTCGCATCACGCGCGCTGCCACACAGCGATCTAGCCCACAGCAATCAAAAAGATCGAAGGGAAAAGGTCGATAGAGAAATACTACCCTTTCCGTTTACCATTCTGCCAAGCGGCCAGTTGGTTCATCCTTCATGTGAATATATTACCTGCGCTTTTACTTTAATGAATATAATTACTAGACTAGCATCATCATTATCATCATCATGACGATGGATACAAATGATTGGATACTAGGAAGTAATGGTGGAGCCAGTAGTTAGTAGTAAGTGTGTCATGGTGATCCAACTTGATAACGAATCCCTTTGAGTATCCACTAATTACCATCACTGTTGTTTCGCGTGATAATGAACATAATAATGATGACCTCCAAGAGTTTATGAAAAATTTTGTCACTGTGGTATTAGGCTAAATCGAGTAACAAGCCTTCGTGCCGAGTAAGTTGTATGTACGGTGACAAAATTAGCAACCTGTCAATCTCGAGCGTAAGAAAGAGAAACCAATCCATTGAACATTAGCTCCCGTGAAGCTCGTGCTTCTCTACCGCGGGAATGACTCTAGATGCCAAGGAGGAAATGACGTTGACGTTTCGCATTGGCATGATATTCAATATGTAAGGCCTCAACAAGCGTTCCTTAAATAATAATGACGTTACGTTTAATCCAAAGAGGAGTACTCTGAATTTGGTATAATAATACGGAAGGTGAAAGAAGGCAAATCATCTTAGCGGCATGAATAGATGGTCGGAGCTGTGATGAGAAAATCCATCATTACCAGGAATTAACGTCATATTGACCCACGTATTAAAAAATTTCATCCAATAAGTCCTAAGCTACTAATAGTATAACCCTTGTAATCGATATGAAAAGGATGAAGTAATTTTCCCGCACAAGGCAAAAGAACTTAGCATCATAGACAGATAACACCGATTAAAAAGGATATAAAAAGGCGGTCGATCGAGCAAATTTGTAAATATTCATCAAGTCAAACAGTCTTATTTTTTGAAAGATGTCTTACAACCAAAACTCCAATAGCACTTCGAACGCTAACAACGCCGACTGGAAGTACTCTGGTGCCCAAGTGGACCCATACACCAATGAGCAAGCTTCCAACGCCACTGGATACACCGGGTCCACTAACGAGCCAAGCACTCAATCGTCCCGTCAAGACCAATCTACCTATGGTCAAGCCGGCCGCCAACCGGGTTACAACACACGCGGTTCTGGTAATTCGGGCGCTTATGAGACTACCCAGTCTGCCGGTTATGGATCGTCGAATCAGCCTTCTACTACTGGATATTCGCAACCGCAACAACAATCTGGTCGCCAGCAAGGCTATGGTTCGCAGCAGAACACTTCTGGCACCCAATCCTATGGTTCGTCTGCTCAAGGACACCAGTATAGTTCCTCTGACAATGCCTCGGGTAATCCTTCGTTTGGCGATAAGGTGAAGGGCACTTTTGAGAAGATGGGCGGTCAGATTAAGGGTGATCCCACCCAGGTCGCTCAAGGCGAGGCCCGTGCCAGGGGATTCGATCCAAACACCAACTTGCACTAAATAGTACAAAGTACCTCACTCTTTTTTTATTACCTCCAGTATCCCTTCTACACACAGATGTAAATAGCTTTTCCCTCTCGTTTCCCATGCTGTGCTACAGTAAGGAGATTCCAAACACTCTCAAGTCAGTAATATATATAAAATATTGTGAAAAACATTAAAATGTTTCGCGTAAACATGACGGATTAGCATTTTTGTAATTGTTGTTATAAGCATATTGGAAAAATAGATATCAGTGTTTACGCAGTGTACATTCCGCTGAACGCCCAAAAAGGAAATAACCAGCGCGTTTATGATTTTCTTCGCTTCACCCCGTTACTGCTCTTCTTCTTAGATATTGACATTTTCAATCCGTCACTGATTTTTTCCCGTGACAGAATGTCGGACCCAGCAAGTCAAGCAAGCACATTGCCTTACGATCCGAACAGTTTGTCTTCCACCATCCCCTCCTCAGGCCCAACGGACATCACGTCGGGATCATCAGTTCTTAATGACGCAACTGAGGGTAACCATGGAGAAGCAGCAGCAGCGCCGCAGCAAGTAGCGTTCAGCGAAAATGACAGCGACAATAACACCAACACCAACAACAGAGATTCATCGCGAAACACTTTCTCCGAAGAGAGTAGTAATGCCATTGGCACCGATCGAGAAAACACTGATGAATCAAGTTCCCAGGATTCAAGATCACCAATACCCGCGTACAAGAAGTTCTGGTCAGGCCAGACCGTCAATGTGGCCTCTAGAATATATGAAGGGGCGGATAAACCCGAGCTCTTTCGACAACATATATGGAAATCTCTCTCTTACAACGACGGTGGGGACGAGAATTCAAACCAACCTGTAAAGCGCAGTAAGAGCCACCAAATACCACCCATCACTGTAGCACCACCTGCAAATAAAAAGTTTAAATCGGACTCCACCGGCGTCAACGACAAATGCTACACTACCCCATTCAACCAGCTTTTGACATTGGGATATGTCGTTTCTAGCAAAATGATTGATGGAAGTAAGTTGGCTAAAGAAAATATTGTTTAGGAACATCTGCCCAAAAAACCCTTCTGCCAACTTTTATACAATCGTGACGCTATGTATTAATCTGATGTTGTGTTGTTATATTAGAAAAAACCTTAGAATTAGAGGAACTACCATCAAACGGACCCGTATACCCTTCAACACTTAGCTTTACTGCCAGAAAGCTGAAAGCAGACCCTTCTGGGGATGGCGACGTTCTGTTCGACATAGCACGACCTTCCACCGAAGATCAAATAAAAACAAGAATGGCCCAACACTTAAACACGTCCACCACAAATCAAACAAAAAATAGAATAACACAACACTCAGACACACCCACCGAGCCCACCGAGTCCTCAGGTTCATCAACAAACAGCATTTCACCGGAGTCGCGGAGAAATCAAGAGTTACAACAGGCCTCGAGAGAGCGCGAAAATTTATCACAATCTCCCTTGAGATATTTTGCTGACGAATCACCAAGCCGTCGATACCACCGTGGCCTTGTACCAGGCTCGCAATCTTCTTGGGATTTCGCCTTGTCTTCACAAGACCATGCGCCTCGCCCTCAGGCGGAAGAGCACGCAAGGTCTTCAGAAACAAGCAGAAACTGGATTGCTCCACCCGGCGGCTTCCCTCGCCGACCCAATTCCCCACAAGAGGGCGAGAACCTCTACTATCCAAGCTCGGTAAATGGTGAAAGTGATGCAGAAGACGATACAGGAGAAGGCGATGCACTTGTAAGTTCTCAGAAGATCCATAGGGGGGAAGCAGAACGAAACTAGAAAATATGGCTCGACGTGTTATTGAACGTGTTTAAAAGAAAAGAAGTCACTGAATAAGTATTATATTATTGTATAGGGCTCTGACGAAGAGGGGGATAACAACAGTTTCATTGTAAGAGGACAGAAGAACAGTTATTCTGTGATAAAAAGTGATTGTTGGATGTAATATTCGAGTTTGACTTTAAAATATTATGCTGTAGTTTTGCTCGCAGGATAATGACGATGAAGAATGTCAGCTATCCCCAGAACCACCAGAGCACAATGTACAGGAAGAGCAGCAACAGCCAGCAATGATACCTCAAGCACCACAAGAACAACGTCAAAGCCAAGTCGATGATGAAGGACAGCAGCCACATAGAAAGCTAAGAGCAAAGAGAGCACAAGCGAAACCAGCAGTTGGTCAACCGCTCCGTCGATCATCGCGCAACCGCTCGTCAAAACCACAAAGGTCAGTTCAGGAGCTATTGCTGATTATGTTGATCCATCCACTGATTTCGCATGCTTGGTAAATGATCCTGATATTTGTATATACAGTGGCAGTGATTATAGGATATGTTTCAGTAACACCATAGATCCCACTTTGGTAAGTGATAATCGTGACAGTTATAAGGGCAGTGGAATGTATGTGTGTGTCTGTGGAAGGAAGCTTTTGGTAGATGGAGTACACGTTGTCTCCACCTGAGAACTGTGGCCCCAGTCAAAGCACTCAATTTTTGCACTCGTCATTTGTTTTTTTATTTTTATCTAGAGTAAAAAGATCATGAGATTCTTTGAACAAACAGGCAGGGCTACGCTAGACAAGGCCGATTGTACGGTTTTTGTGGTACCAAATGAAGAGAAGCGCACTGCTAGCTCTTATTGTATGCAGTTCTCTGGAAAGGACGTTATTGATTTGAAAGCCGCGGAAGAATTTACCAAGCCGCAAGCATTCATAAGTAAGTCATTCATCACTGGAAGAAATAGGTTCTTTAATGCATCTATCATTCATTATTGCATTCCATTACATAACTTTTTTAGGCTACAAGGCTAGATACGCGGTGAATGACCGAGACGCGATCAAGTCAATGAAAGAACAGCGTATCTACTTTAGTCGAAAGTTTGGGTTCACGTCTGGAGACCTTGAAATAATCCAAAAGGGTCCTTTGGGTAGCTGCGAGGTACAACTGAAGAGAGCAAATGTGAATTTATTACTAGGGTAATTGATCTAATTTATTAAAAAAATATAGATTGTGAAAGATCCTTTATCTGTGGATGAGGATACTCTTGTGGTGATTCCGGATGAACAAAACCAAAGCAGTGAACACGGTGACAAAGATGAGCAAGGGGACGATGAACACTTTGATGATGGATGTAAAATTGAACTCGCAGCAGATTTCATAGATCGTTTGAGCTGTTAGGATATCTTTACCGCTTATATTGTACGTTTTATACAGATACATATATTTAAGAATCCATATGTATAAAATTATTCTTCCGCATCGGAAGATGACGATAAAGAAAGGCTTATTCTGATGAAATATAAACCTCTTGAATATGTATGCTTGTACACTTACTGGCGATGATGAATGAGGCTTAGTATGTATTTGAAAGATGGCTGTTAGCTAAATAATGATATGGGATATATTATTGATCATGGGACTCTGGATGACTTGTTTGAGTGGATGTTGTGGTGGTGCCTGAAATGGCTCGCTGATCTTTTTCTGTCAAAGAACCCGCGCGCAGCATTATTTATAAAAAACAAGTGCCTATTTTTGGAAGAGACAAACTTCTACATGATCGTTCTGGACTAATACTGTAGCTTTTCGCAACATCCAACTACTCTAATAACGAGAAGCATCTATCTCTTGGTAACATCGAGTATTGTAGAAGCTTCCTGGTTCGTCGCTTGAAAAAAAACAAGCTAGATTCTTTTTACGAGTCTATCTTGGCTTTCCCGTTCCTGTTAGCCATGTGGACAAGGTCAGATCCTCTTTTTGTTAGACAGGCTCTTTCTTCATCGCGCACGCACAATTTACTTGTTTATCGCAAGCTTGATGTTGTTGTATTACTGCATTCCATGCTTATTATGCACCATACGGAACGAGATCCGCGGTATTGGCATGGTGATGATTTTACTGATAACAAAAACATGAATGCGAATTTTAAATGACATGCTTCTGTGTTTTCGTTGCTGATATGTTAAGGGCCATCGAGATGCTATGATCCCCAACAAAAGGTCATGTCCTTTCTAGACTGGGTGCTTGGAAACAATAGCATGAAAAAAGAGATCATGCAGGGTTGTACAAAGCCAACTCGGATACACCTTTACCATTTCAAGGTCATGACGCAATTCGATTGGGTAACACGTTCGGAAGGGAAGAGTTATTTTTAATCGAGTAGATTTGGCAAGAGAGAAGAGGTAGGAGACGAACAAAAGGAATTCTTAAAGGCAGGTCTATAAATATGACGGGTAGAGTGGACTCACCAGGTCCCTTTTCTTTTCCGCCCTTCCCTGCTACCACAATAGCCAACCATCTTCTAGCCCCTACACACAATCAAACACCTCCCCCCTAAATAGCGCGTCGGCCGTCTCTCTTTTCTTTTACTTTCTTCTTTTTTTCTTTTACCACTTGTAGCAAAACAAAGAAAGCACACCCAGTTCAAAAGATGCTTCGACGACGGCTGGTGGCATCATCACAGCCATCAATATCATCATCGTTATTAATCCTACTACTGCTATCCTTTTTTGTCGGATCCAGCCATGCTTACTTTAATGCAGCCAACCTACAAACGGTATTACCGTTCAAAAGCGTGATGGCATCTACACAGCGCAACAGCTCACTTGTCCTGTTTGGTGGCGAGAATGCGACGAATTCTTATACCAACGACCTATTCCAGTTGACACAAACCTCGACCGGATTCACATGGACAGCGCTACCACAGAACAACACACCACCACCCAACTCCTTTGGACGCTCAGTCTACATTGACGGAAGTGACGCCATGATGCTTCTGGGCGGCATCACGCAAGATACCAATAACCAGCTCGTTCCGCTACAGATGTATCTTTACGATTTCGCTTCCGGAAACTGGCAACCCTGGGCCGGCAACAGTGTGAACACGTCGTCCAACGCATCGCTTGCTATTCCGCCGAACCGTAAAGAGTTTAGCGTATCCTTGGATAATCAAAACAGCCGCGTCTATGTCTATGGTGGCTCCGTCAACCAGACGATAGTATGGAACGATCTTTGGGTATTGGATTTGTCCACCATGGCCTATTCGCAGCTTCCGAGTTCCGATGTTGCACGATACGGACATACGACGTCCTTGCTGAGGTACAATAGAGAATTTTTTTTGGGGGAGAGCCGGGCTGTTTCTTTCTTTTAAGTCTGCCAAGACGAACCACTTTTTTTTTTTAACGCAACTCTTCGTACTGCTATTTCTGATAGTAATGGTCAGCTTGTTGTCATTGGCGGTGTGATCGTCACAAGCACGGGTGACACGGGTCTAGCATCTATGGGACAGCTTTATATTTTCGATACTCGGACGTCAACCTGGTCGATGCAAAACACTACAGTTACAGGCGGTGGTCTCCTGCCTTCGACGCGATCGGCACACAACGCCGTTGTCGGTAAGTGACACAGAATGGAAAGCATTTCCTCCCCCGCCCCGTGTTGTGTTCCCTCTCCATTGTTAACACACATCTCTTTTTTTTCTAGGCGCGAATGATCAGATCGTTATATTTGGAGGCAAGTATGAACAAGAGCGGACGAGCTACTGTTGTAAGAGAACTTTTTTCATTGACAAGCTTTTTTTGTTCTTTCTCTCTGTTTATGCAGGTGACAGCGGTGGAGATGAGCGCACGCGGCGGTATATCAATGCGGTTGCCCTATTGGACACTGCATCTTGGACCTGGACCGTCCCAACCGCTCAGGGGATTCCACCATCCCGTCGCTCCTATGCAGCTGCTGCCATACTCGACGGCACTCACATGACCGTAGCATTTGGTAGGAGTTGTTCTAAAGTTGTTGTTGTTTTGTACGACCATAACAATCCTCGTCTCGGAAAACACTAAACATTAATTTCAGGTGCATCTTTAAATATGCAATACAACGATATCAATGTGTTGTCACTCGACAGCGGCAAGTGGTTGCAGACTTTCGAGCCTGAAGAATCAGAAGAGAGTTCGGGCTTATCTGCTGGAGTGATTGCTGGTATCTGCATTGCAGCAGTTGTTCTGCTGTTGATTATACTTTTCCTTTTATGGCGTTTCCAGTCGTACGTACGTTGGCTGGTTACTCGACTCCATGGTGATATATGGCGACCAAGGTAACAAAAAAGAAAAAGAGGATTTAAAAAAACGATGCTAAATATAAGCCCCACACATGATCCTATTTTAGAGCTGGCGAACCGGTATGGGCCGAAACGACACGCATGTGCTGCAAAGTCTTACTATTGTTCGTATTTGTCGCGTGTCTCTTCTTTATCATTCGGCAAGCTATCACCAGTCCAAGCGTTATCCAGCGTATTGAAGAACCTGTTGCTCAAGTGGATGTGCCTGGTATGTCGAGTAGAGTCTTCTCTTGGTTATAAAAATAGCATATAACATTTTGATCCTGTTTCTATTTTCTGATACATTCACTCACGCCTTACTGCTACAAACTACAATCACCAAAAAAAAAAAAAACCTCAATAGATGTCCGATTTTGTTTCGAGGGTTATCCAAGCTTTCCCAGCCCAATGGATCCAAGAAATCCCGGTGTCGTATGCCAGACCGACATTGGCTTTTCATGTTCAGAGTATGTGCAAGCCTTGAACATGAGCGTTTTTACACCTGTGTATGCTTCGGGTCTTGGTGCAGTCACATGCTTCCTATTCCGTGCGCCCAAGTATTTCCAAATGACCGCAACATCGGGTGCCAACAACGGCTCCCGTCTCCTGTTCTATCCATTCGGCGACCAATCTGTTACCTATGGCCGAGTGCATGTTTCGCTCTATCCAAAGGAAATGGACCCCAACGTCAAACTCTTTGGCATCCAAGACGATATACCTGTAGTCATGTCCGACATGGACGTCTTGAACTGGATGAACGGCGAGCGCAACGATATCCAAGTTTCCAACGTGTACGATCTGCAGCCAAACTCATATGGTGCCATCAGCTACGAACTCGTCGACCATCAGTATTTGCAAGACGTGGGCTGGAACTATGTCGGCTTCTCGCCTATCACCAACTCGACGCCTGAAATTGAAACGAACTTCCGTCAAGAAGCACCGAATCCAAACTATACAGCGACACATCCGAGCTTGGGCCAAATGGTTATCTATCCATCCGGCTTTGTCCACGCGCGCGACCGTGAGGTGAAAATGTACACTTTACTCAATGCACTTGGCTTTGTCGGTGGTATCTTTGGCTTGTTGCTGGCATTACAGACCTGGTTGTTTGGCTATCGTCCCCGTTCCCCATGGGGCGTTGTTCAGCGTTGGTCGATCGGTGACATGAAGCGCTCGCTCTTGGAGGGACTCAGCAGCAACTTCCGTACAGCATCAGAGACGGGTATTCCTTTTATTCATCCAGTCCATCGTCGGTTTAGCGTTTTGAACGCCGGCGACATCCATGAATCCGAAAGAGAACGGGTTTCAAGGGTCGAGGAACGTATGCAGATCTTGGAACTGTTGTTCAAGGCTTATTATGTGGATGACGAAGTGTTCCGGTCCTTGGATAATGCTAACCGTCGTGAAACCGGTATTGTGCCGACTTCGGATAGCGGTCCATTGTTCCCTCCGTCATTATTTGAAAAGGACGAGCCTAGCAGTAGCCGTGATAGTCAAGAAAGAGGATTCTCCTCCGGATTCCATCATCGAAGTGCCAGCACCACAAGTTCGGATGGTACTCCATCTTCTCGGCAGCCTCTCAATAATATTTGAATAGTTTAGTAGCAGTAATATCTTTTCTTATATCAAACCTCTTCCCGCCTGCATCATCTTTTTTTTTTGTTTTCCATTCCTTTTACCACGCACATATTCTTTCTCTTTTAGATATCCCAAAACATTGTACGTACATTTCATTCTTTCTTTTTTTGTGGAAAAAAATTTTAGTTATACATAGTCAGTTTTACTACTCTAAAAACAGATCTTACATGCTTCGCTACACAACTGCCAAGAGAATCTGGTATGTCTCATGATATGGTACAAGAAGGACCTTGTGGACATAAATAGCTTTAGGTATTGTTGAGAAGATGATCCAAAATTAGCAACCGATCTCCGTTTTGCACACTTGTAGTGTCGTCAGTGTCTGTTGTTGATGTCGTCCAATGCGCTTGTTTATGTAACGGGAAGTGTCTGTTTGTCTGTTCCATTATTGTCGTTGACCAAATGGCAATAACAATGCTGCGTTGCTCACGCCTTTGCACCGAGAAAACATCGGTTATTCGGTCGTATCTAAACGATATGTGCTCATCCGGACTTATGTTTCAAGGACGGCGATTTAGATAAATACTTGCTGTATTTGTGAAGCAGAGAAAAGGTGATCCTCTTGGAGCAAAAGTCGTATTTGCTATATCTGTCTGCCATATCAAGCGAACATACTGTGAGGCAAGCCAGATGTACAAACTGTATGACTGCAAGCACTGTATCTTTGGCGGTAACAATGTTCCTTCCTTCAACATATTTCCCCCAATTGTTATAGCTCGGTGCAGCACTATAAACTCTTGCTTAATTTCTTCTTTTTCATTCATCATAGCGTATAACATTATTTTTTCGCATCATTGTATTCTCGCCGCCCGCATAATTGAGATCTTTTTGAAACAAGATGCTGTTGACATTTATACTATGGATGTGTTTCGGTCAGTCATTGTGTTTTGCTACATGTCACTCCTCTGTTACCTATGAGAGCAGTGCACTTATTTGAGCTGCTTTTCGTTGTCAAGAGACAGTATTGTTTTGTTGTCCTTAGCATGCGTGGAGATAAACGCGTTTCCACCAGCTGTCAGGAGGGTGGAGCTGAGTTAGCGACATATTCTCACTCATATAAAGAGAGAACGCGACTTCCTCTAGTAACGAGTAACGACGCACCAAATGACCGACGAATGCAAATGCCCAGAATGCCCCAACGACGTTCAAAAATATTACACGGCTGACGCACTGCGCAGACATATATGGAACCTTCACACGACGAGAAGTTGGGTCACGTTTAATGGTGAAAGTCAGCTTGTCGAAAAAATAAAACCTAGCAACAAGCAGAATGAGGTGTTCCACTGCCCAGTCAAAGAGTGCCCTAAAAAGTACGAGACCCTTCAATACTTTGCAAAGCATATTGTGCAGCATGGTAGAGAAGCATCGGCAAAGGACCTGTCTGACTCTCGACAAAAGCGTGAAGCAGATGAGGACTTGAATTCCGGGCCAGTGTAGGATTTTGCCGTCTTGCCGTCAGTCGCAGCAAAGCTTGACTTCCATATGCCAGCTAAAAAGTTAAAGACAATGGTAGACCACGACACATCCATTTTGATTGCCTGCGACGCTCTCGAATCATCAAAACAATGCCAACAAGATAAAATCATGCTTTCAAAGATCGCCCGCTGCCAACCTGTCGTACTAACCAGCGACAACGAAGAATATCATTGTTTAGCATCTGCGTCGACTGTGGCAAGACTCGTGAATTCACAGCCACAAGCATTGACGTTCACAGCCCTGACCAAACTAGCTCCATCCGATTGCAACAGTGAGATAATCCTGAATACAGCAACCACGACTGATGGTATTATGGAGCATCTAGTCCACAACAGCCCTTTGAACGACACGCTATCCAGCAAGCATTTCATTGAAATAGATCAGGAATTATGCAACTAGCTCAACTAAGAGATATATATTTTTACTTAAAACTTTTTTTGTTTTATAAAACTTGTCTTTTAGTCAATAATATAAAAAATATCTTTTATTTTATAATTTTTACAATAATTATCAAAATATATTTTGGCAATATCATTTTGTGTTTAGTGCGGGTCCGGACTCAGGTCCACAGCATAGCGGGGACCCAATCTTGATATCCAGGAAAAAAAAAGAATTTTCGAAGCTTCGCCACTTTTCTTTTGTCAGGCACATCTGTCAGATTCCGTTTCCTTCATCTCATTTCCATTCCTCATTAAATCGTTCACTATCTTAACAACATGAGCAGAGGTCGTGGTAGCACTGTTACTCCCGCTAGGAGAAGCACCGCCCGTTTGGCTAATCGCCCGGGCCGTGTGGTGGCGAGTAATGGTGCCTCACCACGTCCTCTTTCTCTCCCTGTCCCTCCCCCTCTACCACAGTATACTTCTTTCATGAGCTCGCAAATAGAGTATCAAGCTGCTGCTGAATCTGCTGCTCGAGCTACATACGAACAAGCACGAGGAAGCCGTCCGCAGAATACAGTTAGATCGTATTCTCCCAGGCAGGAAGAATTTCTCGAGTGGTGCCGAAGACGCTGTCCAAATGATCACACTAACCAGTTGATCGACGACAGAAAGCTTCATCTTTTTCTTGTGGAAGAGGTTAGCCACATATCTGTTCGCAATCTATATATGTACGCATGTCTTACAATTGTGTTCTTTTTAGGTCGTCTTCAGAGAGAAGCGTAAACCTGGAAGAAAGAGAAAAGAGCCAGAGAATTCTGTGCTGTCGCCCGCCTCGTCACCCGCTCCTGCCATGCGTACCATCACCACCACCATGCCATCATCCTCGTCTGCTGCTGTTCTCTCGCCCGCCACCGCCGTCATGCCATCATCCTCGTCTGCTGCTGTTCTCTCGCCCGTCACCACCATCTTGCCATCATCGTCGTCGTCATCATCTGCTGCTCTACCTGTACGCGATGCTCCGGGTTATACCGTTGAGCAACCTGTTGCGCCTGATGCCCCCGCCCCCAAAGTCAAGCTTGCTACCGTTAAACAATACATTACTTCCATTGTCGATCTCCATTTTGAACAAGCCGAAACAGACCCTTGCTTCAATCGTCCGCATCCGCGTGGCCCGCTTGTTCATGCACTGGTTGATCATTTGAAACGTGTGGAAAACGAGCTTAGTCGACAAAACTACGAAGACAGAGGCATGCGTACGACAGCAGATGGATATTCGACATCAGCTGAGATGGAGCGTATTGTAGATCATTTTCTGGCCACCAACAAGCAACAAGGACTGCGAAACTGCACTGCTTTTCTTCTGCAACACTATGGACTTCTACGGGGCGAAAGCGTTCGTATGATGGAACTTGCCGATCTACAAACGTTACTTCTTGAGCGCGAGGGTGTCACTGAATGTCATGCGTTGGTGATGGTGCTTAAGCAAGGAAAAACAAACCAAGAGGGCCGTGTGGAGTTTGCTGCTGCGATGCGTAACGCCAATGTTGTTATCTGTCCTTTGATGATGCTTTCCTTTTATCTCTTTCATCGGTGGCACGTTGCTGGTGAGGCATTCCCTTGTTTCCAAAGCAATCGAGATTGGTTCGACATCAAGCTCATCAGAGGCAGAGATCGCAACACGCAGTCCATTACGTATGATCGTCATCGCGAGTGTATTTTAGAAGCATTCAAGTCAGTCGGCATTCACAGTAAAGCGGTCACTCACGCTATGAGGGGTTCGTCAGCACGCATGGCAGAGATATCTGGAACGAGCGAAGAGTCTATCCGGCGATTAGGTCGTTGGAATAATTCTGCTTTATCGACCAGTTATCTAACCAATTTGCCTCGTGATATCTTGCGGACCATGGCAGGATTCACTAGAGAGGCTGGCCAATTCTACTTACCTCGTGCTGCTGTTACACCACCCCTTGAGCTTTGCAAGAAGGTTTTTCCTGAAGTCGATCGGTGGCGGGCGCTGCTGGATGCCAAACAAGTGGAGGACTCGTGCGCGGCTGATTCGTTTTTGCGTCTTCTTGTGCAGTTGCGTGTTGTATTTTTGCAAGATTCGGTTTTGATGAAAAAGCGCTGTCCAGGTCATCATTTGTGGCAAGATCCTTTGTTCCGTGATCCTTTGTATCTTGAATTTGAACAGTATGTGCTGGTGGACTACAGTCTTTCGTTTATATACTAATTATCCTTTTAAAATAGTAACTTGAATCATGCACTTGAAAACAACGAAGAGCCCACTGATCTGTTACTTCAACGTGCCGTGCCGATCATTGAAAATAGACTTGCCATCTTGCAACAACAAATACAACAACAAATCGCTGCTCAGCAACAAGACACCAATCGCATTGTACAATCTTTCTCTAACGCCATACCCACTCTGGAAGCACTTGCGCAGCTTGCACCAAACATGAGTCGTATAGGAGATATTGTACAGCATTGGGACCGCATCGCCAGCGGACAAGCGTCCTTGAGCGTCACGCTCAACTTGGCAGGTCAGCAGCAGCAACAACAACAAGATCAGCAACAACAACAGCAGCAGGAAGGTTGGGGCTCGGTTTCGCTCCCGTCCTCGTCCTCCTCCCTCCCATCCACCATGACAGCAACTGTGGTACTGCCATCAGCAGCACCAGCGCCATCATCATCTTCGTCGTCGTCGTCAGCAGCACCAGCACCAACATCGTCATCATCATCGTCAGCAGCATCAGCACCAACTCATCACCATCATCATCACCCCCAACAACAACAGCCCATATATCCATCCATGAACCGCACAAACGTCCAAACAATCCCACAATTATGGACTGAATGGTTTGACGGTTGGAATGGCGGCATGTCTGTGATTAGAATGGAAGAAGTGTACAAAACTGCATGGCGAAAAAGTGATTCAGACGGCAAATGGTTTCGTAGAAGACGAGCGATTATTCGGAAAGTTCAAGATTATATCGAAAGAAAAGGAATGCAAGAAAGAGTACCAGAAGCGTTGGACACTATACATAGACACTATCTCGCTGTCGGCATTACCTCATTAGATTCACTATCGAAAGACTTATGTTTTTTTGATACACTTTAAACTTTTTGTATATTCATTTCACCATCTTGTTCTTTTTTTCACTCGCTAGCTTTCCCTTTGACACGCTTTTATTTCAACTTTCTAACATTGGCCTTGCTTGGCCATATTTTTTTTATTGTATTACTTTCATGTTGTGGTCTGTTGGCCATGATGGTTTTTGCCTCGCTTTTTTTTTCTTTTTAACTTTTGCTTGTTTCGTGGCCTTGTTTGGCCCTTTTTTTTTTCAAAGAATATATAACTTTTGTTTTGTGGGCTCACGAGGCCTGTCCTAAAAATGATTGTCAATGGTTTCGAATAGGGAATGCTTATAATAGTACGTTTTCTGAAGCATGATGAAATGCATTTGATAAATTAGTTGCACTTGATGCAGAGCTTAAGATGTAGGAATTAGATTATATATATACACGCAGTACTGGATATGGCTCTAATATTAGTAATTTAATAATGGACACTCGAGACGACTGTGTATATTACGAACGATACATGGTTAGCAGCATGGCGATAATGTATTACTGGGAACAGAAATATGTTGTTTAAATGAAGGCGATGTAGATTAGTTTTTCTCTCCAAAAATGTTCGTACTGCTGCAGATGTTGCGCTGGTTTTTCGCACCTTCCGCTGTCAAAATGCATTGTGAATACATAAATCTTGAGCAGTTATCAAGGAAGGATAGTCATTAGAACTGCTTATAGTTAGTTCATCGGTCGATAGCGATTACAAAGTGGTTTTATAATCGTTGCAATGGCAGCAATAAGTTGCTGTTATTCATCAGTCAGGCAAAGAAAGGAACAAGATATGACATGTTCCTACACAACACTAACTATCTCTACCTAGTGTCTGTTACATGTTCAAAGTACAGGAAAGGAGAGAAAACATTGTTAATATCTCAAGCATAGATAGAATAGCGTATACCGTTCAATCCACTGAATCAATGTGCCATCTATACCAATGCTTTTTGAAAGCTATCAACAAGGTACCTGACGAGACAGAAGAAAGATAGGGTTAGTCTGAAGTGTAGACACTGATGTTGGATCTACGTGTATGTTAGAGTGTAATAGTTTTGCTAACACCATGGCATCCATATCACTGTCATCTAACATTGAAAGTATTGGAGAGATCACTAAAATGTAGGCTCTTTGAGTGGTACAGTTGCTGTATGTAGCTAGCATGATACAAATTACACGACCTAGAGCAGCTCATTCATTAAGAACAGCACGATTTAAAAAACTTATTCTGCAATCTCGGATGACATTAACCTTTCCTTAAATACATGGAATCAATGCCCGGTTCATTTAAAGCATTTTGAAGGTTTTCTGTAATAATTCTAAAGATACCAAGCTCTTCTTTTATTAATAACAAGCAGGTCCACGGCTCTACTTATAAAAACGGTCCCCAACAATTGATATTCGCAGATATCATTCGGTATAACCAATGATATCGCTGGATATCACTGTGGTCCTGCTATCGGGATTTCAAAAAATGGTGGACCCAGGTGGACTTTGGTGGACCTCAAGATTTTATACTTCATATGCACATTTTTTACAATAATTTATAATATTATATTTTTTATTATAATAAGGAGTTATCTTCGGGGATTGGCTTGGGTCACAAAACTGAGTCACCAGCCAAATTGTGACCTTACACACAATAATCGCATTGTAGAAAAAAATGGAGTACCCGCTAGGTCACCGCTATGAATCATTTATGACACATCTTGCATATGCCTTTGACATGACACACATCCTTAGACTCAACGAGCGTAGCAGTAACAATGCAATAACACGTACATTGACTCATTCTCAATTAGATGAGCGTCAGTGTTTTCTTTGCTATCACAAATGATATAAATAAAAGACCGTTTACTATTCTCAAAAATGTTGCCTTTATTTATTTGCAAT